AGGACAGGACGAAGAGGATTTTCGTCTCGTCCAGCGAGAACTCTGACCGATAGGCACCGATGTAAGTGGTGCACGCATCCACAAAGCCCAGGTACTTGGACTTGTCGCCATCGAAGTAGGGGGGATTGGCGGCAAGGGTGATGCGGTGATGTCCTGACATGGTAGGAGCAGGTGCGGTAGGTGGGGGCGAGGGTGGTTGTCTGGAGGGTAACTCGCCAAGGTCGGGGTACTCGTCTTCAGGCGGCGGGAGGGCAAGGTAGGGGTTGGAGGGCCCGGGTTGGTTTTGATGCGCCAGATTGGGCAACGATGGTATGATGGGGGGAGGGGATGGACTCCCAGATGACGATGGGAATCGGTACGAAATGGTGGATTCGTGTGCTGTACAAGCACTCGAGGAAAGGTTCTTTTGCTAGCAAAAAGATCCTGGGCCTAGCTCTTCACGTGCCCGATGATCCCGAGGTGCGTTTTCCCAAAGGTCTCCGCAGCACTCCTTGTAGCTACCGTAAGGCTTGGGTCGGGCTCAACGTTACCCGTGGCCTGGTGCTGTTTGCTCGATATGAACCTTTCACTGCGATCGCAGAGGACAACTAGATGATTCGGTAAAAGGGTAAGTGGGGTGATAAGGATGAAGAGGATATAGCGGGTGTAGCGGTGCGGTGATGCAGGGTAGGAGGTAAGAGGTACGAGGGTATGAGGGGAGTCTTCGAATTATGTGACAATCAACCCAAAAACAAAGTCGAAAAGAGAAGTGAATTCGAAGACTGGAGAATACAACCAGGTAGCTACAGTATTTATACCCAAATCCAGTCTGAGTCATATCTACAACTAATGAGTCATAAGACTATGTACCGCATGGAACGCTGGTCATGGGTTGTAGTAGAACCTTCCGGAGCATATGTCGCGCAGCCTCGAATCGATAGAGATAACCCCTGGAACCCCTAGCCCGGACCGTCTGATGCCGTGATCCGTGATAAGATAAGTCGTGCCAAGATAAGATAAGATCGTCGATGATAAGATGAAAAAGTGGTCGAACTATGACACATAGCCTTATGACTCATTAGTTGTAGATATGACTCAGACTGGATTTGGGTATAAATACTGTAGCTACTTGGTTGTATTCTTCAGTCTTCGAATTCACTTCTCTTTTCGACTTTGTTTTTGGGTTGATTGTCACATCGTTCCATCTTCAGTCTGACCAGAAGCTCCGTGCTTCTGTTGAACTTGGTAACAAGCGTCGTGCAGATGAGGTGCGCCGAATCGGTTCCTTTGAGATCGTGCAATCGGGGGTCTCTGATATTTTGAAACAGCATTGCGGCAACCCATCCATCACGTAGGGAATATTTGTCAGGCGAAGGCATTGTCGAGTTCAATGGGGAGAATCCGAGGGTGCCAATGTTTGCCACAAATCCAGATGGTTCGGCCACTGTCCCAAACAGGTACCCTTCTACTCCTCTTCCCCGTGCCATGCTGATCATCACTTCCTTAAAATTTGCCAAGTTTGCACCATCTGTCATGAGCTTCTGCTCGTCGGGGAGAACTGGAGTGGCAGGAAGATTGGTTTTCATCCTGCTTTAGGGGTAATCTCTTGCGGTACTCGATGCGTCTCTTGAGTCTGCAAGTTAATCTGTTTTTGTGCTGCCAATTGTTGGACGTCTCGTGCAATAGCATCTGACTGCGAATCTGTAGACGAATTGTACATAGTTAGTCCTCAGCCACACCAGATAGTGGTAAGAGTCATTACACCTGTAGACAAATTGTACGTAGTTAGTCTACAGGGTAAAGTAAGTAAGGTGAATGAATAGGTAAGAATAATCACGTACCCTCAGCCGCACCAGATAGTGGTAAGACTGAGGGCCACAAAACAATCGGAGAAAATGTATAGCTACACTCGATCGTCCAAATAAAGGTCAAACACTGCTGAGCACCGTGTGATGACATCATCCTTTAACAACTTGGTTGTATTCTCCAGTCTTCAAATTCACTTCTCTTTTCAACTTTGTTTTTGGGTTGATTGTCACAACTGGCAAACCTGACAAGGGAGAGTCCAAAGAGAAACCGAGTTGGGGACTCTCCTTGTCAGGGCCCACAGAACAATGAGAAGCACAGAACAATAAAGGGCTGGATTGAGGAGAACAATGGGAGCTGGACCACCAGAACAATAGGGGCCTGGGCCAGAGGGTCACATGGACTTGCTTGGCAGGGAATTCCGGACCGGAGCACATGACACTTGACAGGTGACATGGTGCAATCACATGCAAGATCCCATGATGATCGGACAAAAGCAGGGGTTCCCCTGACACAGTTATCAGCAAGTTTGAATCTGAGCATGCGTGCAATGAGTATTGTCATGCATTTGGAATGATGCTGTTCATTGCTCCCATGGATAACAACACTTGAGAGCCACCACTTTTATCCTCATCTATGTAACATTTACTTACCCTACTTATGTTACCTATGTTGCCATGTACTATGAATACTATGCTTTACAACTCCGGGGTCCATCTCTAGTGCAAGACCAATCATCAATCAATCAATCGGACATGATCTCCAAGTCTTGCTTCAAATTGTGATGCTCCGAGCCTCCATACAATTCAGCTGGGCAACAATGATTTTCAAGAGAAGATACCCCTCCTGCCCAGACACAAGGAGATTTTATGAAAGGATTGTTACATTGGTGCAATCCAGCTCTGATCCCACTTGAATGATTGAAAATGCACATAATGAGCACCTCAATAGCCTTATCAACAAAGACCCATAATTGCATTGCTGATCCATTGTTCTCATACACCGGTGGTGAAACGGTATCATGCTTGCCTTCCATGTGTGTGAAGTTCATGTTAGCAAGCGGCACGGGTTCGACTCCCGTCCGGTGTACGTTTTGCATATCTTTGCTACGCACTACCATCTATCCCTTTTCCAGCCTTGTTGTACACCGTAACCATCGCATCTCATCTCTTGTCAGCTATCTATGATCAAGGTTTGTCCCAATCACCAAATTAACGTCATCGCGCTCTCTTGTCTCGCATTTTCTCCACTTGGACAGTCTTTTTTCTTCAGGTATCACATTCCAGTCTTCCGTTGAGATCCAAACAATATAGATAATTGGTATAACCCTAAACCCCTTTAATACGTCGCCGCGTTCAAGTTGTTGAGGAAGGACGGGTCCTTGACCTGCACATTCGCTGCGCCGAAATCGGTATTCGTCAACGCCGCCTGTGCCGCCGCAGGGAGATCCTCCCATGCAATGAGGGGCTGGGTACCGCCGACGGTTGAGGTGAGCATCGTCGAGTGGTCGAGCGGCCACGTGCTGGAGTACTCGATGAGCGGGCTGCTGCCGCTGAGCGAGAAGCCGTTTGTGCTGCAGTCCCAGCCGCCGTGTGCGGAGGGGCAGACGGCGATGATGTTGTCGGGGCTCGTGCTTGTGGCATCGCGCAGGTAGACGATCGTGCCCTCCCAGTCGTGCCGGTGGCCGATGCCGGTCGAGGGCTCGTCCTTCGGGAAGTACCACGAGTAGAGCAGGCCGTATACGCCGGCTGAGTTTAATCCGCCGCGCACGTAGATCTGGCCCGTGCTCTTTGAGCAGTTGCTCGACGAGCCACCACTCGGCTTGAGGCCGCCGCTGGAATTCGTATCGCGTTAGTTGGGAGATTCCGCAACGGAGCGAGTGGAGATCACACACCTGGTGTTTCCCTGCGCATCGACGGCGGGGAACGGCACACATCCGTTGTTCACAAACAGGTGCGGCTGGTACGCGAGGTAGACCTGGCCAGTCGTGCCGCTGGGCACGGTCTGCGGGAAGCCGACGACGGCGTCGTGGGCGATCACCGCGCGCGACTCGAGCGGGGCGGCGTGCACAGCCGCGATGCTGAGCAGTCCGCAAGCAACTGCGGACTTGAGGAACGAGAGGAAGTGGGCCATCGCGGTCAGCTGGGGAACTAGGGGAGGAGGGAAGTAAGGAGTGTGGGGGGGCGGATGGGAGAGAACTCCGAACCGCTTCGCTGCCTTTTGTGCAAGTATGAGTATCGGTGGTGTGACAGATCGTCGGCGTCGCGCACGAGGTCCCATATTTGACGAAGACTTCTTTGATAGTTTCCTTGCGCACCAATGCTTCCGAAGTGCATCGCCACAGGCGGATCAACGCCGATCCAGAGTTCATGCAATCTAAGCGCATTGTGTAGACAGCTGAACAGGCCTCTCTCGCCTCGGGGACCGTCCCCATAGAGGATGTGGAAGTTGTCCTTTCTGTAAGTTATAAAGGTTGCCGTAGTCGAGCACCGACAGAATTCGGCAGCTGATAATCCAATTTAGACGCTGATTTTAGGCACGCCACGCATGGCTGACAGCCTGACAGCGCACGTGGCTCTGCTCGCTTCTCCAGAACGTGCTCAAAGTCTAAATTAGTCCTGTAACGTTCGCGGGATAGGCGCTGGCATTTGTGTTGGGGTCGCTCGTCAGATGGCCCATGAAAAAGATGGGGCTATGTAGACTATCCGGTAAACTTCCTGAGTCGTTCATTTTCTTGGGTCGACTGCTTAGGAACGTGCAGTCTAGTCCAACAATGAATAGATTATCTGACACTCCCCGGCTCATGAGACTAGCCATTCGTCCGATCTGGACCCAGTATACCCTGTCTGCGACCCGCAAGTATGCATAGATAATATGCTGTTTCATTTCCGCTGGAGTCGATTAGACTAGACGGACCAAGGGTTCCTATCTCTCTTTCAACATAAGCATCGCAGGGTCCGACTATTGACACCCGGGACTTGGGACTGCCGAGCGGGCGCAGCGGCCGCGCCTGGTTCAAGGAGAATCCTAGAGAACCTGGGATTTCGGCTCGCATCCGTCAGATCAAGCAGCGGAGGTTTAGAGGATCTTCTCGGCTGGGTGTACAGTGAGATGGTGTGTGAGTTGCTTTGTTGATACTATAACCGACTGCTGATTGGGGAACGAGGAGCTGGGTCATTCAAAGCCGAGCGTCTCATGATAAAACAATGTCAGCCGAATGCCCGCCGGCGGAGAACATGTCGTAAGATAGGTGCTGGCTCGCACTGCATCAACCGTCATGCTGGGATCGGTCGGCTTGGAATGTGGTTCCGAGCTAGATACTTAGAGAGAGTCGCTGAAATACTGTCGCTGTCAACGAAAGGTCTTCTCAGAAGCAGAGCTGCAATCCACTGACACAGAGGCGGCAAAACGGAGACTCCAGGAGGCAGTTCAAACGAGCCGTGATATCGGGAATTCCATCTGACCCCGTGTTCATCTGACGGAGAAGGATTCCGGCGCGCTGGGGAAGCAGATTGGGACGACACCAGATCAGGCTGGGGCACATCGTACACACCTGACTAATCTCCCCCATGATAAGCGTCGTTCGGCCCAACTATCTACAGTAGATCTATCTAGATCCCCGTCCTCAATTCGGCATGTCCCGATGCCAAACGCCGCGATCATGATTCAGAAGTGTGTGCACAGCAAGGTACCGGCAGATCCTTGGACGAGCTACCAGTCGATCAGAGCATACTATGACCTAGAGGGAGAGAATAAACGGACCTCCTTCGACATTGCAGATTCCGATGCTTTCCGGTTCCAAAATGTCCCGGATTGAGTTGTCCGCGGAGAAGGCATTTTTCTGCGCGGAAAGGCTTGGGATCTGGGTGTTCGGGTGCCAGTGCTGAGGCGAAGCCAACGATCAACCTCGTCGCGCAGTGCTGCCGAGCAATCTCGAGTGGGAGAGGTACGGCAGCCAAGGCCGGCCAGCCATCTTGGGCAACACATCCGCTATTTAGATCTTTCTCTGCGCGTTCTCGCGATCCCGGAAAGCTGAGCATCGCCAGGAGGAAAGTGCCGAGCGAAGTCGCCCAGCGACGGAGGGTGTCGCAACCGATGCATTGGCGCACGTGACGTTCGTTGTCGGACGTGCTGCGGAAGACAATTTATTCGGCCGTAGCCGCCGCACCCGTCTCGGGTTCCAGTGCACAGCGCGTGGGTCTACTTCGCGAAGAGGGTGAGTCTAACGATGAGTGACATGCGGACTCTGGACAAACGATACGTGGGGCAAATCGTGGTTGATTACTTTCCAACGTTCAGCCTCGGTCTCGAAGCCGTGCATCCGGCATGCAGCTCGCAATGTGTTTCAGGATCAAGGATGTGTGCGGAAGTAGGCTGGGTGCGGTTGGAGGTAAGCCCACATCAGAGAAGAGAAGCTAGTGCCCTCACGACGAGAAACAGGTTCGAATTCCATAGTCACTTCTTTCGCCGGTCATGTGCACCGGTCGTTGTGAGCGTCCGTGTCGATCTCGTAATAGATGTCCATCATCGCCGCTCGTCAGTGACGCAGCTGATCGCTGTGAGCAGGCATCATCCGCAGTCAAGGCCGACAGAAAACACAGCGCACGTGATATCCAAGCACACCACGTGACATGCCTTGATCCATCAGACCTCTATGTAACTAACACTAGGGTGATCTGCGGCTGACGGCCGAGATAAATCCACACATGCGCCGGAGCTGGAATCCCTTCGTATCTCAGCAGACCGGACCCGGATGGCGGGCATGGACGAGTGCACGGCGATGGGCTTGCCGAGCACATCCGAGTCTATTGGAACGCGTAACCGCGGGCGGCGATTGAGTGGTGAATGCAAGCCCAACTGACGATGTTCCTTGCTCTGGTGCGCAAACGTTTCCCACACGCGGCGGTCGGACGGCATTTTGGGCAAAGTACCGAAAATAAGACGTCGAGGAGGGCCAAGCGGGGTTCTGAGTGCCGCATGCGTGCGGAGGCGTGGCCAGAAGACGGATAGTGCCCCGATGGCCAGTGCGGCATCGGGTCACAGGCTTGGTGGACATCGTGTTTGGATGGATGCAAGGCAACCGGTGTTGAATGGGGGATCAGGGCCGTGCAAGTAGCTAGGTGAACTCGCGATTTTTTTGTCAGGGTGCAGGCAGAGCCAAACAGACAGAAGTTGGATCGGAACCATTCAGCTAGCTGGGTTTAGAAAAGGTGGATCCCCATTCGCATTTGCTCGAATTGGCGCAGATTTGGCGGCAAAACATGGCTCTACCGAATTTTGAGTCTATCCCCAGAGCGCTTGGGTTCTTTAGAGCACAACTTAACCCTGTTTTGCGGACGGAAGAAGTCAAAATCCGACATTGAGTTGCCGCGGGTCCAATTACTTACAATTCAAGCCCAATTTCAGACGCAGATGCGTAAAGGGGATGGCCCAGGACAACCGAATAGCAGCTTTTGACTGCGACGTCGTCAGATACTGAGTGTTAGACAAGCCACGGACAAACAAAACCCCACCCGCTTACAACCAGTCGGAAGCCGATACCGCGCCGCTTTCTCCGACCTAACCATCACTGTGGATGACAAACATAGCATCGTTTCATGTTGGACGTAAGTACTTCCCCAGCATCAGGCGCTGCCGCTCCCGTCGGGAGTCGACTCTCGCGGGCGCCGCTGCCAAATGCTGTCGGACACCGGCATACATATGCTGAATTGGCAGTCACGGATCAGCAAAGAAAGATAAAGCTGTGACACTTCCATTATGACGAACAGGGCTGGGCGTGATACGCTCAACAAGAGCCGGCAGTGCACCCGATTGGGTGGATGAGAACTAGCAGAAGCAATCCTCTCTATCCCCGAGATAAGAATAGTATCACATGGAGGATGTATTGTAGATTGGAGAGGAAAATAACGAGAGGAGGTCAGACGTAGCGATGAAGAAGAAGAAAGGCCAGTCAGATGAACTGATCGGAAGAGTCTGCGGAACAATAGTAACACGCTTTCTGCACGCAACGCACGATCATGATGCCCAACTCGATCACCGGCAGCGGCCAAAACCTGCTGTGCTAACCCAACGGGCGAGGCGTCCTAATCCAGCAGGGTCAGAACCGATCTGACGACTGTCCCGGGAAGCGAGGCGCCACTCTGACAATAGCACCTCGCAGAAACGGGCGACATGCCACTTTGGGACCGTGCGCAGTCAACCCGGCCCCGAGTCATCCTGTTGCTGCTTCTGCTGCTTCCCAACCACTCGCCCAGCTACGATGACGACCTCACCCGTGTACGCCTACTTCGTGCTCGCCATCGGGGCGCTGTTCGTCTACTGGCGACGCCTCCGCGCGCACACGACGCTCAGACCCCCGCCTGGGCCCTCCGGGCTCCCTATCCTAGGCAACCTGTTCGACATGCCGTCCGACCCTCGCGTGTGGGAAACTTTTGCGCGCTGGAGCAAGGATTACCGTACGTTGGTCACCACTCGATCGGCGCCCGAGGTCACGCAGTCAACAGAGTCGGATGTGGTGTCCGTGAACGTGCTCGGCAAGCCTATCGTCGTGCTCTCGTCCATGGGTGCCATCCATGATCTGCTGGATCGGCGCGGGGCGATCTACTCCGGAAGGTGGGTGGTCTTCGCGCCATCCGGGTCGTTTACCTGGATGCGAGCAGGGGCCGACTGACGATGTTGAACGAGTTGATGGGCTGGGACTTCAGCTTCGGTTCGTCCGTCGCTCCTGGTCGCATATGGGAAGGGATCTAATCGGCTTATCCGGCCAGGTCTGATGAATTACGGTGCGCGGTGCCTGAGTTTCGCTATCTGACTGCGCTTACGTTCGAATTGCAGGAAGCATCGTGTATGGCGTTCAATTGTATTGCTATTGAGTGCGGCTTCTGAGCGCCTCGTGTCCAGGCGGCGCTACCGGCGCATTTCGCTCGAGCAGCTGCACCCCGCGGCGATCAAGCGATTCTATCCGCAAGAACAGACATACGTCCTGCGCCTCCTGCGCAGATTCCTCAATGATCCCGCACCGGCGGATATAACATCCCACTTCAGATGGTGCGCGGCCGGCTGCAATGCGGACGGATCATGTTTGTTCACAGCACCAGGTTCGTGGGAGCGGCGATGATGAACATCATCTACGGGATCGACACGGACGCGCCCGATGACCAGTGCATCCGGCTCGCGAAAGAAGCGATGCACGCGATGACTCTCGCCTTGGAGCCGGGGGCCTTTCTCGTTGTGCGTGCTTCTCCGATCCCGGTGTAACTTCATCCGACTGACTGTGCGTGCAGGACACGTTCCCGATCCTCAAACACGTTCCGAGCTGGATGCCCGGTGCCGGGTTCAAGACCAAGGCGCGTCACTGGAAAAACGTCAACCACGACTTGCAGCACGTGCCGTTCTCGGAGAGCTTGAAGGGCATGGTGCGTGCTCCCTGATTTCCAATGCCTCATCCGCGGAGAAACGAAACGCGCTGTGCACAGGAACGCGGGACGGGTGCGGCCGAATCGTTCGTCTCGTACTGCATGACTGAGTCCGACCCGCCCGCCAATGCATCGGACATCCGCCCCGTTGCGACCGCGCTGTTCGTCGCTGCGGCTGACACATCTGTCTCCGCGCTCGGTACATTCATCCTGGCGATGCTCAGCAATCCAGGCTCGCAGGAACGCGCCAAGAGCGAGTTGGATAGCGTCCTTGGTGCGGGTGTTCTCCCCACGATGGCCGACCGGCCGCAGCTGCCGTACATCTCGGCTATCGTCAAAGAAGTCCTGCGCTGGAAGGTGGTCACACCTCTTGGTGCGTGGATCATCCGTATACTACCTGGTTGCTGATACTTGATCCGCCTTGGCCAGGTGTTCCGCATCACATTGGTGTCGCGGATGAATACGAGGGCTACGGCATTCCCCCGAATTCGACCGTGATCCCGAACATCTGGTGTGTCGTTGCGGTTTCAACGTCCGTTGGTAGCTCACAACGCCAAGGGCTTTGCTGCATGATGAGGTCGGTTTAAACTCCATCCCACGTCGCACTACAACTGACATTTCACAGGAGATGTATGAAGACCCAGAGGCTTTCCAACCGGAGAGATTCCTGATCGACGGGAAACTCAACCCGGACATTCTAGATCCAGAGACCATCACTTTCGGATTCGGGAGAAGGTCCGTCCTCCCTCTCGCTGCACCTGTCTAGACCGATCGACAAATGACTCTCGGCAGAATCTGCCCCGGCCGGCACCTTGCCGTAGACACCCTCTGGATCACCATCGCGAGCATCCTCGCGACGTTCGACATCGAGAAGATTCTTGACGAGAGCGGGGATCCGGTCGAGCCGAGCTACGCGTACCATTGGGGGATAGTCAGGTAAGCTGGGCGCTCGTTTCTTTGGCAGTACATCACGTCGTCTCAATCATCTTCTCCAGCGCGCCGGATCCTTTCCCTTGTCAGATGAAGCTGAGGTCGGAAGCCACTTTGCGGTCGATTTGAGACGCGTTTGACCGCCGAAAGCAATCTAGACGTCACCAATTCCCATGTAAAATCAGTAAATGAGACCTTTCCTGTCTAGGACTCGCATCGTTCGTCCCGTCGGTCGATCGGAGCAGGTATCGATTTCTTGCCGTGCCCCTCACTGGACTATTCGTCTCTGGAAGTCTCCCAGAGCAAACCTGAGTGAACAGAATTCATGGGATCTTCGATTACGGCGTGAAAGAACCACTGCAGCCTCGATACCAGTCTGACTGATCGCGAGCGGATAGTTGCTGCGGTGCGAGCAAGTTTTCAGCTCAAGTCAACTGATTGGAGCTGGGATGAGTTGGTTCTGCGGCAGTCGCCGTGAACCGTGCTGCTCCGTGCGGTATTGGTCGAGTGCTGGGCCCGGAGACTGCCAATCCCTGCTTATTTATGTGCAGTAACTCACATCTTTGTACTGAAATTTCTTGAAGATGGATGCTTAAGTTGCCAACTTTTCGTATTCCAGATCCTTTTCTGTTTGACTCTCAAATGGTATATGACGGCAGCAAGCCCCATCTTCAATATCGTTGCAAAATCTGTCCCAGAACCGCTCAGTAAGCCTGTGCGTTAGTCTTCAAGTCATATTGCACTTGTATATCGGTGAAGTACATCGACGTAACTTTTCATGAAGTCAAATAATGCAGACAAGTTTGCTTGGTCTATGTGAGTTTAGAGTGAAATTGTGCCAATAATCCCGGGGCTTTCTAACCTCACGAAGTCTCAGTGAGTCAGCGTACGTCAAAATGCAACTTCAACAGCATCTTCACGAATACATCAGTCTGGGGTGTGGCATCAGTTGATGCCATCAAGTCACATCTGGCTGCATCAACCGTGACCCCATCGCACGATTCGCACTCAGGCTGTACTTACTTGAATCCGCAGCAGCCAATCTCTAGACGCTGGAGTCGATGCGAGAACCGATGCCCTGTTATAGAGGCGCCACACACGACACAATATCCTCTTAATCTACAATCAAAGAAGATCCGGCGATATCCCTTCTAACCATACCATACAGTATGTCACCATCCAAGAAGGTCGTCGTCGTAGGCGGGCACGGCAAGGTGAGCACCGTCATATCCGAGATCTTTTCGGACTTGTGCTGACACCGTATCTCAAGGTCGCACTCCGCCTCACCGCGCTCCTCACCGCAGCCGCGCACCGCGTCACATCGATCATCCGCACCGCGGCCCACGCAGGCGCCGTCCAAGCCGCAGGCGCGACGCCGCGCGTCCTCTCGCTCGAGGACTCCCCCACGGCCGACTTCACGGAAGCGTTCCGCGGCGCCGACGTGGTGTACTTCAGTGCGGGCGCGGGCGGGAGGGGCGGCGAGGCGCGCACGAAGGCGGTCGACTTCGACGGGGCGGTGAAGGTGTTTGACGCGCTTGAGGCGGGGGAGGAGCCCCGCCCGCGGCTCGTCCTGGTATCATGCATGGACGTCCGGGACCCGGAAAAGGTGCCGGAGCACTACGTTCGTCACACATCATGCCCGTCCGCCCCACAGCTGAAGCGTTTCACAGACTGAGGAGGACCTGGCTGTTTCGCGCCAGATCCGGGCGAGCATCGGTGTGTATCTCAAGTGGAAGTACGAAGCCGACAAAGATCTCGCGCGACGCACCGCGTTCCGGTGGACCATGCTGCGCCCTGGTGGACTCACAGATGAGCCCGGCACGGGCGCGGCTTCGATCGGCCGCACGCATTTGACGACCAGGATCTCGGTGCGTTTCTATCTCCGCGCGTGCTGCAGCTCAAACTCATGGGTCTCCTGCGCATAGCGCGATGACGTCGCGATGGCTTTGTTTCTGCTCCTCGATCGCGAAGGCGCTGCAGGTCTGGGAATCGACTTCGTCGGCGGTGAAACCCCGATTGCGGAAGGCTTGGACGTGGTCATTCGGAAGGGCGAGTCCGACTTTCTGGGCTGAGCAGGCATAAAACACGTCGAGGATGGTATCACAATAATCTGTATGACTGTGTAACATATCTGCACTACGATGAGCCAAGCTTCATACACGATGTAACAGCAGCGCACCTGCCAGGGCTTCAAGGAGCAGTAGCGGCCGCGGGTTTCGACTCCTCGGGCGGTGGAGCTATCTTCATCCCCTCCGACGGTTTCGGCTCGTCTTTCGTCGCACTCGCCGCTGCCGGCGCATCCGCCACAGCGTTTGCGCGCCTGTCCCACTTGTCCTCGTTGAATGAGTTGTTGAAGCACGACCCACAGCACCCCGCGACGTGGTTCCCGCCCCCGCTCCCGTACTGCTTCGTGTTGCAGAACGGCTGCAAGATCGAGAATATGACGGCAGCTGAGACGGTTCCCCGTGAGCGTGCTGGGGCAGGAGGTCCGAGGGCGACTTACAGCAAAGTCCACCGATGCCCGCGCCGGCCTCGGCTCCTGCGTCGTTGCTCATCGTGTACGGTGTGTTGAGTGGGAGGGGGGTACGATGATCCTTGACTCGGGCTAGGAGGTCGAGGGTAATTATAGACGCGTACGAAGGGCGGTGATAAAGCAGTGCATCGTTCTTTTCTGCGGCCCCCGTTTAGCCTTGAGGATGATCGTATTGCTGTGCATTGATCGGGAGCGAAGAACCTCTACCGGGAACTGAGATATGCTCCGCCCGCTTCGTTGTTAATATGAAAATTAAGTGAGCTTTCAATGCCGTTGCCTCCTGCTCCCTCGGCCAGGTGTGCTAAGCCCAAGCGTTCGACGTTCGCGCGTGAGTGATGCATGCAAAGGTTGCGACGGAAGCCACGCCAGGTCCTCAGAGGAGGCTCAAACGAATCAGACCACAGCGCATCGTCAGTGCTGTAGAACTGCTGTAGCTCTCCCTCGGATCAGGGGCGGACCTTTTTAGTCGGGGGCTGTGCACTGAAATGCGAGTTGTCGGTTTTCTTTGGCGGGTTTGACTACTTCCCGTGCGCGTAACGAATGGCATTGAGGCAAATTTGATTCATACTACGCCAACATCATCGAGTTCTCCCCTCGTTGCCATTCCCATAGTAAAGTTCGCCCCTGGTTCTTCTTTCTTTCTTCCTCACCCCTTCCATTCGAACTGATCGTTTTTTCTCGATGAATTGTGTCCTGAGAAGATTCTGTGTCTGGGCATGACTGGCAACGACGAGTGACCGCACACGCATGCTCTGAGCTTGGTACTGGTCTCCATTTCCGGACAACCATCTGACCGCCGAGGTCCTATCGTCCTCACAGGTGACAGACAGGCTGTGCTGGTCTCAGCCGATTCTTTTTCTGACATGTCCACTCTGAATCACATCGGTCCTAAACTACTACATAGTACATATGCTTCCGTCAAATAGGTATGGGATGTTTCACACCAATTGCCGAATCGTTTCTGCTGAGGTAAAATGTTGGAGATTAGATTAGATTGACATCTTGGCCGCTTGGGCATCCTCGGTTATTGATTACTAAAATTATTACACATTCATGGAACTCATTAGATACAGGTAGAATACGCTAGATATTTTAGTCAGTAGTATATAACCTTTACAATTGATCCTGCTAGAGCATCAGTTTGGTCTCAGCAGCCTTCTGCCCTAACAGTGCTTATTGCAAACTCTCTCACCCTCTTTATCTTATCCCCGCGCTCCCACTCAGCTCCGAAATAAGACATACCCGGAATCACATATTCCTGAAAGACCCTTTGCTCGAAGGAAAGCAGACATGAGTTGACACCACATACATCCGACATGAAGCGATTCATGAGAAAATCTGTTTTCCTAGATTATTCAACTCACGTAGGAAACAGATTTACTTGTCCAACAATGTCCGTCGAGAAGAGATCCGGCACGAAAGGAATTCCATATGAAGTATCTCTTAGACAGTAAAAACTCCGTTTATTCGCTCTAAAAAAACTGGGTGTGCACGCAGTTCATGCACATTGCATTCTGCAGCATGTATTAAGGCTCCGAGTCAGTGAAATCGCACAGAACAATTACTATGTTGTGCAGAGGTGACTTGAGAACATCCATCTCTCGCAAGCCAGCAAGTACGCTTCGAACGATCTCGGCCTAGGATTAGGAAAATCTCCAATTTTTGTAAAACCTATTAAAGATATATGTTATAGGCAGCCCTAAGTAGCGCGCAGGCTTCTATAGATTAAATGTTCTTGCATATGCGCTGATTCTACCGAATATCGCTCGGAGACAGTAGGATGCGGTGGACTCGGCGATGTTCCAAATGTGGCAGGTCCGCTGGAAAACGGTGAATGAGTAGGGGGAGGCGCAGAGAAAGTTCCGCGCAAACCATTGCGTATGTAATGAGCACCATATCCGGCCTGTTTATTGCCGGGTTGGTGGTTCCGCGCCACTCGATGCAATCCTGGCGATGATCCCAGAGTGCCTGCAGAGCGAAGAAGAACAAGAGCCCGCAGCCCCGGTGTGACGGAAGCCGAAGCCGCGCAAAAAGATCGCGACCGTGGCCAGCGACCGCAAACGCTCACGCGCTGAGGATCCACAAGATGAGGATCTCCCAGCTCAGAAACGCCCAAAGCGGCAGCAGCGCAACAGGGCTGCCGCGCCGGCCAGTAAGACGCCAGCGCCGCCTCAAGAGAAGGCTCGAGTGAATCCGGGAAGCAAAAAGAGGGTTTAGTTGATAACTACATACGACAGCGCATGCGCAATGACAAAGGGAGGTGCAGCGCGTCAGTCCCGACGTGATCGATAGCACCGTGGGTGGTGCAAGTGATTGAGGAGATAGTCGTTGAGCACGGGCACCAGTAACGTTGAGTTTGATTGAGCACGAGGATGCGCAATGAGCTGCAGCGGCGGAAACGAGCCGAAGCACGAGCATGACATTTCCGACAACGAAGGTGATGCACAAGCCAAGCCCAGGCCCAAGGCCCCAAGCCACGCATATGGCGCACATACAGTGCCAAAATTATGGACAAAGTTGCAGAAAAGTTTCACCGGTTCAGGTTGCAAAATGCATCGCTTCGAAAGAAGACACCACCTTTGACCAATGCCTAATTTTTCACCGCTCCCAGGATACCACAAAATGACATCACTCAATCTCAGTCACCGAAAAAAGCACCGGTTCTCTTCTCACATGAACAATGCACCACTCTAGGTGCACCAGTTGAACACAGGTATTGGAGCAAATGATTGAGCGTGACAACCAGAAATGATCGGAATGTTTGCTGATCAGCGGCAGCAACAGAATGGACTCGGCATGACCGGCACCTTTTTGGTGTTTGATCCCCAGCTACAGTTAGAGGTACTTGACCTCATTGGATGTTTTGGTGACTTGAAGGACATAATGGCAATTGCCCACTAGCTGAATGAGAGAAAATGCTGAATAAGGACCTAATGAGAACGAGAGAACAAACTACAGATTGAATTCGAACCATGGGGATGGAGAGCAATTGGAGATCAATTTTCTACATGCAGATGAGAATCCCGGGCAGTTATTGTGCCATTATTATGTACTCTGGACCCCACTGAGCCTCTCGACAGGCCGAGATTTAGTCCTTGCTTGCAGGTCATTGATCCAGAGTTTGAGCCCGCTCCGTCCGTAGTGTCAGGAAATCCAGGCAAGAGTGGCTGGAAGCAAGCTTGGTTAGGGCCTCCAAGCTGACAATGCAAGTGTCCCATGGATCTGGCAGAACATTGTTCTTGCAGGACATTGTTATGTTGTGTTGGGAGTTGCAAGATTAGGGAGATTAGGGCAGTGCTCAATTGCTTTGATAAGCTGATCAGATAACAGGTGCAATGGCTGAGGTCACAATCGGCTGAGAAGCTTCAAATTTGTGTTGCTAACAGGGACATGAGAGGATTGGGAACGTACCAACAAAGTTGCAAGCCCTCCATGTCAGCAGTAGCATTTCACAGTGCAAAAGACTGGCCAGACACGGGGAGAAAGTCCCTGAGTCAAAAGACTGAGATTGCCAGAAGTTTGTTGCAAGTTTGCTGCACTGGCATGTAAAGATTCAAATACAAAGAGAGGAGAAGGTTCTTCACGGGTTCTGGCAATTCTCAAACAAATTTGGCGTGATAATCCAAAGTCCAAGCCATCATTTATTGCATACAATGATGCCTATTTGCTTCTGTGCCATATTTTCACCCAGAATCTGCAATCACACTGGTTGAAGACCATGAAATTTGTTATGGGTGCTTGGCATTAGATTGGGCATTGTGCCAGCAATGTTCTCTGTTGTGTATGGTGCTGTCCTGCTCCTACAAATTGTTCCTAGCCAGATCTTATCCATGTTGTCACTGACATGTTGGGAGCTAAGCATCAGACACGTGCTTTGAACACCGAGACTGCTGCGCAGCTAAATTCTTGGCTGACAGGATTTAAAGTGCAGCTGCAACAGATGTCAGATTACAATTATGACTTCCTAGTCCACATTGCCTTCATGCTGTATGCAGAACGTACAGATAAGCAAGTTCAGGACAAGGAGCATCAGTTGGACAATGACTTCTGGACTGCAGCTTTGCATGAATAATTGTCCATTAGTACCAGGTAGCTCTGAATATTCAAAACCATTTGCTGTCTGCCAGTCTGCCAGTCTTGTTTCTTTCCATTGTGTCAAGAGCTTTATGTTTGCAACAGATGTTGGATTTCAACTACGACTTTTTTGTTCATGTTTTGTTCATGATTAATTCAGAGCAGGTGGAGAGCCAGGCTCAGGATAAGGAGTGGAATCTGGATGACAATTTCTGGGAGGCGGGCACTTGGTACTAACTAATCATTACTTCTACCATTTTAAATATAATGGTCAAGTACCTATGCAACAACATAAGAAGTCAGTATGGTATGGTGAGGTCTGTTTTAAAATGTCAGTCATGTTGCTTGCTTGAGCAAAAAAGCCATTATCAGAGTTACTCATATGCTCTGTAGGCAAGGCTTGACCAAATAAAGCAAAGAAAGATTCAAGGAGAATACTAACTACTCAAATTATTATTCTTGTACTCAGGCAGCAAGTACTGCCTAGGAATAGCACATTCCTAAAATCTCACTGTAATTGAATGACCTGGTCACCCAAGAGGCTTGACCAAATAAAGGACAAACAAAGAAAGCAGGGGAGCGTTCAAGAAGAATACTAGCTACTCAAATTATTATTCTTGTACTCAGGCAGCCAGTACTGCCTAGGAATAGCACATTCCTAAAATCTCAGTGTATTTGAGTGTTGGTGCACCCACAGATCATCTTGGTGACGCTGGAGAGCTCAGTCCAGGAACAAGTGACTGGGCAGCTTTCACATTTACTGAAGGAAGTCACTTTATATGTGTCAGGTCAATGTCAAAGCACACGGTTACCATAATACAGCTTGCTTTTCTGGAGCATGTCTTGACAAACTCCAAGCACATGTATTACTGAGTGCTCTTTGTTTGAATTGCAATGTTTTGTTGTGTTTTTACTGGACAAAGGCTCCAAAAGCAAATCAAGATTGTGTTAGATTCCATGAATGCTTTGCTGTGGACCAAATTTGTGAAAGAACTTGGAAGTTCAAGTGATTTGACGCATAATCTCTTCTTCCGGTTCAGTGGGGAGGAGTTTGTTTTGGGCTAGTTAGCTACATATTGTCTGTACTTGAAACAATGTTGAGCAGGACCTATAAATGTTCAACTGACCAACAGCATTGGTTCAAGCCCTTTGACCATCATCCACCGCCCTTCCAAGATTCTACCGCAAACCACTGGCAGGGCGGGAGTATTGGGTGCTAATTGATACATTTGTTGCACTGGATGCCTCTGTCTCTACTCATTCCTGTGTGAAATCAAAAGCCGGCCTGTGGATGCAGCCGTGATCTCAAGTTTGTTGGCCAAAGAGTGACTGGATCTTCAATTGTCCCTGAACACAAGGCCTGCACTTTCCTATTGGAACTGAAGGTCATTCTTAGTGGAAGAAGTGGGTCTTTTGAGCCTACCGCAGTCTGCTGCAAAATGCCAAGAGCTGCCGGAGACAAGGAATGCTGGCCGTTGATGTTCAACTTGATCAGCTTGATGGTCACTTGCTGGTCACACGGGTGCTTGTGTTCACTTGATCACTTGAGCAATGCAGGGTACCTGCAAGTAGAACAGGTGGTGGCTTTTCGGTGCTGCCTCTCAGGCGGTGTCAATTTGGAAGTGGTGAATTTTTTGAGTATCTTTGGAAGCGGGGTATTTTTCAACTTGAGAACAACGAACATGTGTCTTTTTGTGCTACGACTCAAAGCGGTGCATATTCTTTGTAATAACACTCTGAGTGGTGTAAAAAGTGTCGTTTTCACCTGACCAGTGCACTTTTTTAATTTTGGCACTCTATTTCAACCATACACGCAAGCCAAGCCCCATCAGCCAAATTCAAACTCCGACATGCGGGGCAAGCCACTCACGCAAAGCCGATATGTGAAGTCTGTCCGCGCAAAAATCATACAAAACCATTAAGTAGCGATTTTCCGATCAAATAACCACATTTACACCCACTTATTGACACCCCCATGGTGTCTTCCCTTCTCAAACTCCGATACTACGCGGTGAGCCGCTTCGATAAGCCAGCAAGCCAAGTTTTGCAAGCATGAATAGGTGGAGAACGTGGGTCAGTTATATCGGGACATCTACCGTGGTAAGTGAAGCTCAGCTGACTGGATTCACGACCACGCTGCACCTCCGGGCTTCGAATCCGTGATCTAGCGTCGTGGTGAAAATGCACCTAGTTGGTACCAGAGACTCCCCGGTCTAGGCGCGGCTTACACATACCTATCTGTCAATGGGGCGGCACAGGCCCGCTCGAACAACGCGACGGACGTAACCGCGAGACGCTCTTGCCTCGTTCTGTCGCCATCTGCGGTCTTAGCGAAGCCTTGCCGGAAATAACTTTCGGCGACTAGTCGCCTCAGCTCTGCGGGAGCTGGGCGGCGTCTGCTGCGGCTTCAAATATCGCTCGCTGGTTTCCTTGACGGGGTACACATTCCCAGATCTCGCTCGTTGGTTTCTTTTGCACTTCGATATCTACTGCCTTCACTCCAATGAGACAAGGTATAAGAAGCAAACTCATGGGAGGGAGAGCATATCTCAAATTTTCTCCTTTTCCTCATTCTACTCATCAACTCTTTTTTCAAACTTCCTCATGAGCAGCTTGGATTCAACAACGGTCGCCATCTATGGGCTCGTGGCCGTCCTGCCGGTGGCGAGTCTTCTACTGGTCCAGAAGCTCAATGAGAAGGTGCGTCGCTCAGTGATATCAGAAACCTCCCACCGATTCCCGTTGAAACAGAATCCCGTCCCCGCAGTAATTGGCTCGGAGGGCTGGATCGCATCATTCAAGGCATCGCGGGACTTCATTGAGGAGCCGCTGAAGATCGTGCAGAAGGGCTACGACGAGTACAAGGGCGGCGTGTTCAGAATCCCCCGTCGCTGGCGCTGGGACTACGTCGTCTCAGGCAATCAGCGCATCAAGGAAGTTGGCTCAGCTCCCGAGGATGTTCTGTCCTTCATCGATGGAGCGGGAGAGGTGTGTTTCCTCTCGGGTCGCAGCGGTCTTTGTCGCCCATTCTAAATTGGTTCGTTCAGGTCATCCAAGCGAAGTACACCCAGGGCCATGAACTGTCGGACAACCCGTATCACATCGCGACCGTCCGGACGAGTCTGACGCGCAATCTGGGCAAGATTTTCCCCGAAGTGAGGGACGAGATTGAGTGCGCGTTCGACGATGTCTTTGCGCTCCCTGAAGACGGTGAATTTTATGTCGTGATTTCGCTACTTCAGTCTCTGATCAAGCCCCAGACTGGAAACTCGTTCCCGTCCTCTCATCCATCATGAAAGTGATCGCTCGGACCAGCAACCGTCTCTTTGTCGGACTCCCCTTGTGTAAGAGATCGATCTTCGTGGCCCGTATCCTGGTCTGATCCACATGCACACAAACAGGCAGAAACGAAGAATTCCTTCGCTTGAACGTGCTCAACACCATCGAAGTCGTCGAACGCGGTCAGCAACTGGCCGCTTACCCGGAATTCCTCAGACCGTCAGCTCTAGCGTGCCGCTTCTCTCCTCCCCATTGACATCTTATCTTAGACTCGTCGCGCCTTTTATCGTCACGAGACAGAAGCGCATGCGCGAGATGCTGGGCTTTGTGGGGGGCATGATCGAAGACCGCATCGCCAAGGATGATGCGCTTGGTACCAACTATGAGGGCAGACCCGTAAGCACTCTGACTCCGAGTATCTCCCGTGGGCTGACTTCGGGCAGAACGACATGATCTCCTGGCTCCTCGAACTTGCCGACGCGGAAGGCAGAACCCCTGATCGTATCGCAGGACGCATCCTGTCCCTCAACATGGCTGCGATCCACACAACGTCAATGGTATGAGCTACCCATCACCTCCGGGAACACCTCGCTTACACAACCACCCTCCAGGCTCTCACCCACGCCATCTTCTACATCACCACCTACCCGGAATACCTCGAGCCTATCCGTGAAGAAGTCGAGAACGTCATCCGGGCGGAAGGCTGGACCAAATCAGCACTGAACAGCATGCACAAGCTGGACAGCTTCGTCAGAGAGACACAGCGTATGGAGGGCAACGGACCAGGTACAAAATTCATCTATCCGGAAGCAAGAACCGTCTTGATGATTGTTCGCAGTGACCATGGCTCGCAAAGTCATCGGAAAGGACGGATTCACGTTCTCGGACGGAATCAATGTGCCTCGCGGATCATTCATTTACGTTTCTGCCAAACCTATCCACTACGATGCTAGTAAGCGGCTTTCCCCGCTTCCTGTTTTCCCATCGCTTACGCTGATTATAGCCCTGCATGAAAACCCAAGGGTCTTCAACGGGTTCCGGTACTCGCAGCTCCGCGACGAGAAGGCCGACAAGCACACCGTCGAGGAAGGCATCTTCAACAGCCACATGGTGACCACTAGCATTGACCATCTGACCTTCGGGCACGGAAAGCACGCCTGCCCCGGGCGGTTCTTCGCGGCGACTGAGATCAAAGCGATGTTGGCGCATCTGATTATCAACTTCGATATCAAAGCCGAGGTGCCCGGTGTCCACCCTCCCAGCGATGAGCATGGAATGGTTGCGGTGCCAAACCAGAAGGCGGGGATCTTCGTCCGCAAACGCCAGCTGTGATTTCTAGCCTCTACATCTACACCAATGTCTATACAATCACAACATCACACCCTCTTTTACATTTTACATCCCATTTCCTAGACACTTCTCTTTCACTTGTCACTGATATCGATGATGCAATCCGATTGACTGCTCGACTTCATCATGTGGAACTCCGTGTGCCAGATACATCCAGATACAAGCCGATTTTCCCAGGGAGATACGTCTGCGTAAAGAGGATCGACTACTCACGCGTTCAATTCGGCACCAAGGCTCTTGTTCGGAGAAGCGAACCTCTCCTGCGACGGAGGGTGCGCGTACGCGCAGCTCCATGACCTTTTCGAGCGAGGCCAACAAGCGCATCGAAGGTTGTTGGCATCGATGCTCACGGCCTAGACAAGCTTGGCCCTCGCCTCTATGTCCTCCGGGTCCGGGAAAAGTGTGCCGCCGTTGCCGTTGCCGTGCTTGGCGTCGACGTACTACGCGCAACTGCGCCGCTTTCCAAGAACTTGATTCCATGGCGCTGTTATTTAGACTCCTCGCTGATTTTGGCTGAAATCAGCTCGAGGTGCATGCCAACTCGTAAGTGGGTAACTGTTGAGCTTCAGAACCATTCAGCAGACTGGATAAGGATGGGGACGATTTGGGCTTGACAAGCCGGAGTTCAGTATGGACAGTCAAGGGCAGCAGTCAATCATTTCACGTATCAATCAACACCAGTGGCTATGTTCTGTAAGACAAAGCTACGACTTCACCGACTCATCGACGCTTGATTCCTCAGGTACATCAGCTTCAGCCGGAATGCCAACAGGTTTCACTCCCCGCAGAAAGACGATGGCCAACACGGAGCCTGCACGCGGATGAATCAAAGAAGAGAGATGATCAGAGAAACGTACACCCTATTGCCATGCCGAAAGCGGTCCATTGTGCCGCGTGATATGCTTCAAGCGGGGCGCCCATTCCCGCGCTTCGGCCCCCACTCACAGATGTCAGCACAATGGTCGATATCGCCAGTCCAAATGCGGTTCCCAGCTGTCAATCGGTCTCAGTCATCGATAGGCAGACCAGGAGAGTAGATGCACCTGCATCAGTGTCTGGAAGATCCCGCCGGACAGGCTCTGTTCGTGCGGGAGCGATATCTTGGCGATGAACAGGGTCCCCGCAGCGAAGACGAAGTCACCGCCGAACACAGAGACGATTGGCGATGGGAAGCCGTAGGTCCAGTACGGTGCGCCCGGATGGATTAGCGCCATCAGTAAGCCTGCGATTCCAGTGAACGTCGTGCCGAAGACTACATGCGCATTCTTGAACGACCGACGAGAATGAATGAGTTCGAGCATACCGACGAGGTAGACCAGATCGACCCGGCTGACGAGAAACACCACGAAAAAATTGCACAGGAATCCAGCGATGCTCATCGGCAACATTCGCAGTGCAGTCAAGATCGGAGTGAGCTTCACGTAGTCTTCGTAATAGACCTAACGAAGCGCGCTTCAATGCACGCGCTCACTTGAAGACTCGACATGCACGCACCTGGGACCAGAAGAACCACGTCAAGAATCCGGCCCATTCAAAAAACGCGATGACTTGCATAACAGCGAATTTGCCGTTCGCGCGGGACCACAACGAGAGCTTCATCAACGGCGGAGGCAGACGTGTGCTCCGCTCGGAGTTCTGCTCTAGATAGTGCTGCCATGCGAGAAAGAGACCAATGGCCAAGAGCCCGACAAATAGAAGTGCGAGGATGTCTACGGTGCGATGTGAGCCGGCATAGCTGATGGACAAGACGGTCCCAGGACACGCACATGGAGTCTTCCAGCCCTGTGACGCGAGCTGACCTTGCCCGAGGACGAACAACAAGAGTACGAGCCCCGTCGTCACTAGAAACGCGCCGATCCAGTCTACCCGTTTATCCATTTCTAGACTCGGGACGTCGTCGTCGATAGCGAGCAGTCCGCCTAGAGCACAAAGAGCGGAAAGCCCGGCGAGAAAATAGAACGGAGCGCGCCAAGATGCGCTGCAGATTCCCCATGTAAGTGCTCGAGCATTCGGAGTGGAACAGACTGCGTACGGTGTCTTCTGGGCGAGCAACGCGCTGATCTGCGTTCCGACAGCGCCACTCATAGGCGCCCCAGCCGAGAAAGTAGCAAAGGCAATGTTGCGTGCACCTGATTCGGGAAAAGCATGTGCCAGGATGCCCACCTGCCCTTGTCAATCGGGTAAACGGTGAGCCTGCCGGAAGATACACGACGCACGCAGGCGGGAAGGAAGGCCGCGGGGCCGATGCCCTGCAGACCCCGGAGAATGTAGAGCGTCGTCGAATCCCGCGCAAAGCCACATCCAAGTGAGAATACGGCGAGCCAGGAGGTGCCAATGACGAAGAATCGCTTCCGGCCCCAGAGATCGGCAAGTCGACCGAGTAGAAGCAGGAGGCAGCCCTGCCAGCCGAGTGAGTCATCGATACGGAAGCTGACACGGGAGACGTACAGAGGACAGAGAGAACGCGGAGACCAGCCATTGGAGCTGGCTTTCGGGTATGTGGAGATCTCGCGCGATGACCGGGAGGAACGAAGACACGGCAGAGGAGGAGGCAAGCTGGCGGGGCGCAGCAATGGGACTTCAGTATAAAGTATGCTGAGACGAATGCGTAGTGAACCGCATACATTCGTGATCATCGCAAGGGTGCATGTTGCGACCAAGAGCACCGACTTCCACGTCGACCGCCGTGGGGCAGACACCGGTGGAAAAGCATCGAATGCCAGCTCCTGGAGATCTGCCATGTGAGTCGAGGGGCGGAGTGGGGGGCAATCAGAGCGCTCGCTTACGATGCACCGTCCTTTAGCTGGATCAAGGGCTCACCGCCGGCATATTCACGGGAGAAGATCACAGCGAGAGCACGCAGTCGATTTCAGAAGCGAGAGAACAGGAATGGAATCCAGAGGGAAGATTCCGGAGAGTGCCATGTACCTGGTGAGTTCGTGGCTCAGAAGAAGTCCCGAGCGACTCGCGACGACATGATGACACGAGCAACTCTCATCTTCGATCACGCTCGAGGTTCTATGGTGGGTCGGTCCGAATGCTCAGAGGGAGAATCTGCTCGAGTTATCAGAGAGTGTGGAAGCGAGCCTGACGCTGAGATGGTTATCAATGAGACGAGCGAGTGGTGACAGTGACTGCCTGTGACTGCAAGTTCTCCCATCGTTCGGATCACGGCAGATGGCACAGCCACAACAAATGAAACAATGTTCCACAGTCCCGGGTAGCACATGCAGTTGCGATGCCTATCGAATATCTCACAGGTCAGGATTGAAAATATCACCCCGTCTCTGAAAGGATTGTTTTGGCCGCTCAATACTGAAACGTCCTGGCCTTACCGCACATGTACAGATGCTTCCCACTTCTCGGGCACGAAAGATTGTGCATATAGCACGACCAAGATATGCATACATTTACTGAAACATGGAAACATAGTATCTAAAGTTTAAATGGTTCTGAGCAGGTACGTGTTTGTTTTTATAGTGCTAATGCAAATTGTTACACATCTGATTGCATCACCATACTGCTCAACTTAAATTACGCCTAAATCAGATGAAGCCATTTGCCGTAGGCGCATGCCACATAACCAAGTCAAGAGCTCGCCGGGGCATATGCGTGGAGATCCGGAAGGATCACAGTGAGAGTATGCGGTCCATTTCGGAATCGTGGGAAAACGTGCTGTCGCTGTTGAGTCCGCGGCTCGGTACAAGTCTCGCGTGATCAGGGACGGCCTGGTGACACTACAAACTCCCATCTTCGAATCCTGCTCGAAAATGGATGTGGTTCAAGACAAGCAGGCGTGTGGCCGCTGCTGCACGAACACGCTGTGTTCCATGCATGGAGAGTCAGATGTTCAGAGAGTGCGAGAGGCCGTCGAGACGGATCTTCATAGGCGAGAGTTGCATAGACAGTACTCAGGCCAGCAGTCAAGGTGAGGGCCTGTGAGTATCACTTTCATTTTAGGACAGGAAATAGGCCGAGGCTCAAGAATTTAACCGGGTTCTCTCGTCTCGCGGGGATCTCATAAGCTCGGTAAACGTCTCGTGCTGTCGCACGCGGCCGGGACGGCGATACAGTGAGTTGGTCTCGATGATTAGAGAAGAATCAGCCGAAATTATCAGAGACTGTCTCTGGTCTCTATGGAAACCCGGAAGGCCCTGCTCAATAACCGAGGCGGCCTGCTCAATAACCGGGACAGCTGACAGTGATGGTGTGATCTGGGGTCCTGCTCCTCGAATTGTAGACTTAGACATTGGTAATATAGTTTTGTAGCCAGCTTTGATCATTAAGTCCTCAGTCAAGCCTGATAGGGGCAGGAAGACTGAGGATGCAACACGACAAAAATAGTATTTCAGTAGAATCACATGATCCGAGATTAGACACGTGACAGGCTGTGTACCAAGCTGCTTGCTACGTCATAACTGCCAATACCTGTTTCATCAAAGGCAGTAGATCTGGTGAGGTTGCTTAATCAGCAATGTTCAAAGTGGACCGCTTCACCGCACCTTTCGCAGTCCATCCCTCGGATTTGAAGTCATCTGAAACCCGTCAACTTCGAAGAACGCTGAGCTAAACGAGCAGAAATCACCCCAATCGGAGGCGGATGCCTGCGTTGAGCCATGAGACCCAAATTAGCCAGAGCAAAACAAAAACACAATTGAACTCACCCTTGTGTAAATCTAGAAACATTAAGTCATGTGAACTCGACTGTACTGCCCGAGTTTGCCGACTGACTGACCTGGAAATTAATACTATGGGGGTTCGGGTTATCTCTGCGGGGCTCATCGAAGAATGGCATTCTCACCTGCTCCCTCCGCCTGGTCGCACGGAACTGTGAGAGGAATATTCCACGAGGCGGTGGTCTACACACCGAGGATGTTCGCGCGTCTGGATTGAACAAAATCCGGTCACTCACATCACCGAGCGAAAAAAAAGAACTGGGGCACGCACGGGACAATGCTCTGTCTTCCGCGGAGATACGACGAGGCCTTCGTGTCGATGTAGAACGTGGCCTTGTCGTTTCTGTGGCCCGGTCAGCCCACTGAAGGCCCGGGTAACGCGGTCAGGATCACTTACATGCCGTTGCGCTGCATGTTGCGGACGTAGATGCCCGGTCTGCGATCCGGATCCGCGGTGAGTGGGAGGGAACGAAGCAGCGTGGGTCATGAACGACGGACCGGTAGACTTGAACACAAGATAATCAGAATCCTGCGCCGCAGATCGGCCACTCGAGCTTACCCAGGGATCGTCTCTGTTGTTAGCACCCCCTGTGAGTGTGTGCATCAGAGACCGGCTGGCACACGACGGGAGGAGTCGAGGCAGGCACCTTCGATGAGCATGACTTTGAGGGAGGGATCAGCAACCGCGAGACGGCCAGCGACGACACAGCCCCCAGGCCCGCCCCCCGCGACGATAACATCAACTTCTTGTGGTTGCACCATTGGACTGATTGCGGCGCTGAGAGTGGTGGGAGTGCACTAGTAGGCCCCCGGTGGGTGTGTTATATATACGCTCGCCGCTAGGATGCTGGGAAAACAGGGTGGGCAAGTGACCTGCATTGAATCGGTAAACGTCCCGTTCGTGGCATTGTGGGAGAGATGGGGATACAACTTGAGTCCATTGGGTCATGCAGCCTGCCCCCGTCAAAAATATTGTCGCAGCATCGCACAGCACGAATCGCAGCAGGTTTTTGCCGCGGGTTCGGGGTCAGCGGTTCCAGAAGAAAGAAGCAGGGCTCTTCTCGTGCAGTTCGAGATTATCCACTGTGGTCTGTTGTGAACTCACGGACAGACAGCGGCCACTGCCAATCACGGTTTGCTTTGCACCGAGACAGGCGGTGGGCAGCCCTCGCTGTGACGGCTATGGCGGGAGTGACGGGGCGCCCACCACTGTCCGTCGCGAACTCACAAATGGACAAAGGCTGCACCCCGCCGCGTGGCCGTGCTCCCCACCCATCTTGAACTAAGCCACAAGGTAACACTTTGAGAGAACAATGACGGGCGCTGGGGGACAACAGAAACAATGACAGGCACAGCCACCTGTCAACGTCCTGGCAAACAGTTCACGGTAACCGTGTGTATTATAATACTATGACTCTGACTGACTATGACTGAGTCGGATCAGCATGCTACTTAATGATCACAGTTGTCTACAAAACTATATTGCCGATGTCTAAGTCTACAATTTGGTGAGCGGGACCCCAGATCACCCCATCACTGTCAGCCGTCTCGGTTATTGAGCAGGGCCTTCCGGGTTTCCATAGGTCTCCCCAGGGCAGACTAGGCGCAAGGCGTTACAGTGCTCGAACATTTGATCGGGTTTCTGCGCTCTAATATACTGTATAGGGAATTCAACCAGAATAAATTTTGGTACTTTTGGTTGGAAAAAAAGAAATCTTTCCCATTTTGGTGACATATCTAAATACTTTTTTTACTGCGAGCGAAGCGAGCAATCATCAATTAAGAGTGCAGAGGCATACAAACGGGAAAAAACTCTACGCACAATTTGATGGCATGTTGAGCGCAGTGGCAACGCTCTCAAACGCGTTCATTTCTGCATGGTATCCAATGGAACTAGCTGTGGCAATGTAGTACTACACCTTCGATCTGATTCTCGAGTTTGAGCGGTATAAGTTGAGGAACGAGGTGCGTGTAGATATCCCTAATATGTTTGGAATTGGCTTGAGTGAGGATCGAAGCGAGCACTCGGCACCTGTGCGCTGCTCTATCTTTTCTCCGTCACACACTGTGTTTCACACCGATGAAGTCCAATACCCGGAACTTTACGTCAGCTTCGTTTGAGAGCAATTGTATCCGAACACATATGTTCCCTGGAGTTCCACATTATTGTGTTGAGCGCAGCGAATCGGATTAAATCATGGACATCAGTCACAACTGAAAGAGGAGTGTCTAATTATAAGAAAGATTATATAAAGGAGAGTGTACGTTGTTACGTTCTAGACATTCGCGTGGAGACCATACAGTAAATCACAGCTGGCGTTTACGAACAAAGATCCCCGCCTTCTGATTTGGCACCGCAACCATCCCATGCTCATCACTGGGAGGATGCACACCAGGCACCTCGGCTTTGATATCAAAGTTGACGAGAATGTGTGCCAACATCGCTTTGATCTCAGTCGCCGCGAAGAACCGCCCAGGGCAGGCGTGCTTTCCGTGCCCGAAGGTGAGGTGTTCCATGCTCGTCGTAATCATGTGGCTGTTGAAGATGCCTTCCTCGACGGTGTGCTTGTCGGCCTTTTCGTCGCGGAGTTGCGAGTACCGGAACCCGTTGAAGACCCTGGGGTTCTCGTGCAAGTCTGTGATTTGGTAAACGACGGGAAAAGGGAAGACAGAGAAAGCCGCTTACTAGCATCGTAGTGGATGGGTTTGGCAGAAACGTAAATGAATGATCCGCGAGGCACATTGATTCCGTCCGAGAACGTGAATCCGTCCTTTCCGATGACTTTGCGAGCCATGGTCACTGTAGACGATCATCAAAATCCCTCTCGGGTCTAGGTCAGCGCAAGAAGTACCTGGTCCGTTGCCCTCCATGCGTTGTGTCTCTCTGACGAAGCTGTCCAGCTTGTGCATGCTATTCAGCGCTGACTTGGTCCAGCCTTCCGCCCGGATGACGTTCTCGACTTCTTCACGGATAGGCTCGAGGTATTCCGGGTAGGTGGTGATATAGAAGATAGCGTGCGTGAGAGCCTGTAGCGGTCGCGTAAGAGGGAGGTGTCCTCGGAGATGCGGGGTAACTCATACCATTGACGTTGTGTGGATCGCAGCCATGTTGAGTGACAAGATGCGTCCCGCGATACGGTCAGGGGTTCTACCCTCGGCGTCGGCAAGTTCGAGAAGCCAGGAGATCATATCGTTCTACCCGAAGTCAGCGCCAAAAGGGTACTCGAACCAGAGTGCTCACAGGTCTGCCTTCATAATTAGGACCAAGCGCATTGTCCTTCGCGATGCGGTCTTCGATCGTGCCCCCCAAAATTCCCAGCATCTCGCGCATGCGCTTCTGTCTCGTGACGATGAACGGCGCGACGAGCCTAAGAAAAATACGTAAATGGGGAGGAGAGAAGGGTGCACTTGAGCTGACGGTTTGATCAAGTCCGGGTAGGCGGCCAGCTGCTGACCGCGTTCGACGACCTCGATCGTATTGATGACATTCAAGCGGAGATATTCTTCATTTCTGCCTGAGTAAATGGGTCAGACCAGGATACGGGCCACGAAGACCGGTCCCTCACACAAGGGAAGTCCGACGAAGAGACGGTTGCTGGTCCGCGCGATCACTTTCATGATGGACGGAAGAACAGGAATAAGTTTCCAGTCTGCGGCTTGATCAGAGAGCGAAGCAGTGGAAACCACGACACCAATTCACCGTCTTCAGGGAGCGCAAATACGTCGTCGAACGCGCACTCAATCTCGTCCCTCACTTCAGGGAAAATCCTGCCCAGATTGCGGGTCAGACTCGTGCGGACGGTCGCGATGTGATACGGGTTGTCCAACAACTCGTGGCCCTGCGTGTATCTCGCTTGGATGACCTGGGAAATATTCAGAACGGGCCGAAAAGACCGGTGCGACCTGATGAGAGAGAACACACCTCCCCCCCTCCATCAATGGCGGATAGGACGTCGTCCTGAGCCGAGCTGACTTCCTTGATGCGCTGGTTGCCCGAGACGATGTAGTCCCAGCGCCAGCGACGAGGGATTCGGAACACGCCGCCGTTGTACTCGTCGTAACCCTGCTGCACGACCTTCATCGGCTCCTCGATAAAGTAGCGCGCAGCCTTGAGAGACGCGATCCAGCCCTCTGAGCCAATAACAGCGGGGACAGGATTCTGCACAATCAGAATCGGCGGCAAATTCGCGATAGCAATGGACAATGCACCTTCTCATTGAGCTTCTGGACCAGGAGGAGACTCGCCACCGGCATCACGGCCACGAGCGCATAGACCGTAACTGTTGTTGAAATCAAGTTGCCCATGAAGGTGTTCAAAAAAAGAGTTGATGAGTAGAATGAGGACAAAGAGAAAAATTCAGATATACTCTCCCTCCCCTAAATTTGCTTCTTATACCGTGGCCTTGACATACCGCATTGAACAGAGTGGATATCGAAGCGCCGAACCCACCAACAACAGCCAGGAATGTGTACCCCGTCAGGTAAACCAGCGAGCCACATGTCATTCCGCAGCATGTGCTGCCCATCTCTAGCAGTAGTTGAGCGACGACTGGTATCGCGTGGCTCCCATCGTGGGATACTGGCGGGCCTATGCACGGCCCATTGACAGATTTGTATACATGTAAGCCTGGCCATGCGCCGGGTATCCCGGGCACAGACATGGCACTGTTCCACAAACATTGCAATATGCAGATTTGACGCCGGACATCTTCTGTGGCTCGGTGTAGCCACCGTATGCTTCTTGATCTTGGTGACTGCCACCCTCACCCAGAGAACATCCGAGCTGAGGGTGCATCCAAGAGGAGAGGAGAAATCGACCAAATTGACCCGGATGATACTTGGGAGCCCTCTGCATTGCTAGACATCCTCCATGAAATAGCTCCGCCGATGCAGCCCAAGAATTACCGGCAAGTTCAGAAAATGTTTCCGAGTCATCCGGGCCGCATCTCACCCAATGAGTGATGCCCGTGATGGCATCAATTGACCCTCGCTCATTTCCCCCGAGGGTTCGTGCGGGACATAAACAGATTCCGCGGATCCGTCTCCAATTTTTGAATTCGGAGACTACAGAGTTGGGCGATCTCCCAAGAAACAGTCATCAGTTGATATAAATAATACTTTCAACATGCTGAGCTTTGAATACAATAACATAGGCTTTTCGGATTGCTCTGAGCTCAAGGCTAGAAGGTCTTGGTGTGGAACAACAGTCTCATCATTTCCATGAATTAATTGAACCACGGCAGTTGATCGACAAATGGTAGGGTGCTGTGTCAAGATTGGAATCAGGAAGGTTTGAAGTATCCTGTTGTATCCTTTGAGCTGTACAGCTGGTCAGGTTGTGCTCCAAGACACTGAATAAGGAATTACTCTACTGATCCGAAACATTCGCTACAGTACAAGATTTTAAGACAAGGCCCAGCACGACATCAGAACAGAGGAGCCCCTTCGCCGAGGAGTTGGAAAAGTCTGGCAGATCAAACTGCGTCAATAACCTGGCATACATTTCAGTTGAGCGGCCCGATCGAAAGGCTATAAAGCACAGACCTTGAGCTCCGAAGCGCTGGGAATGCCATCATCTTCTATTTCCGAAGTGCTGAGAACCAACTGTCATCCCAGTTGGTCTTGAGAATGACACAATGAAGCACTCACTACTCACGGAATGACCGCCCGCCGATACTGAGCTATCGAATTTAGAGTTTGTCGCGAACACAGGACCGGCGCCGACGGTGGGAGCCATCGTGGCGCTGATGGGCGACAGACTGATGGTCGTGTTTCTATTCGTGGCATGCGGGATTTGCGAGCGAACGGTGTCGCGGTAGTTAAGCGTCGCGAGCAGACTGTTCGTATACAGCTTGCCGGATACCACATTGAAAGCGATGTGTATAAGATTTTTCGGCATGGTCAGGAACTTTGGGGCTGTCTTCAGTGGAAGGGAGGATCCCGATGAAGAAAGGCGACGTACGCAGACCATGTCAACAAGGACAACGATCCTGCGGGCCTGTTAGCGAACGATTCGTGATTTCGAATCTGAAGCCCCGCACGCAGTAAGAGTCCCCGTGTTCATTGCGTAGAGGATCAGCTTATTCACCACGGAGTCAGTGCTGCAGCGTAGAAAGATTCAGCCGCGGTGTTCCGCGCGATGAAGAGAGGCGAAGACACGCACACCTCCATCCCAGTCCGACTGCGAAGCAGATACCACGACAAGGACACTGCGATGATCAAATCTGCCACAGCCGCGCACCCGAGTCCGACACTAGCAGTCGTTTGGAACTTATAAAAGAGTTCGACCTTGACGAGCTGAAAACTTTTGGCCTTTGTTAGTCTGGATTTTAAACGGAAACACAGGTAGGACTCGCGTTCGAACCTTCACCTCTGCACAGCCTGAATCAGAAAGATCCAACAACGACGCTCGTGGACCGCGCACCCAATTCCAACCCATAGTAGCAGAGGGACAGTGCAATGATCACGCCTGTTAATAAGTAATTCTTTTTGCTGACTATGCAAACAGTTCAATTCCCGGAAAGTGAGAATGAAAATAAACGAACGAATCCAGACACGACGAGCGAGGAAACTGCGGCCCGCGCGTCAGCATGATCGCTCAGCAAGGATGCAGCGGCTGACAGTTGAACGATGATGACGATAGTGTTTGTGATCAGAATCCCGATCTACAAAGGAGAATCAGCGTTACTAGACTCGCGGTAGGATGAATTCACGACTCACATTGTAAGTCCAGGTGGTATCCGCAAGGATGGCGGGGTTCGCATAGTTGGTAATAACCCTATGACCAAGTCCATATCAGGCTAACGAAGTACGAACAGTTCGTCGAAGCATACCAGAAGTACAAGAAGGATCCAATCAGAGCGAGCTGCAAAGTTTCCAGAACCCTGAGAACTGATAGTCAACTCTCAGTGTGCAAGCTGCGGTGTTCGACTCCAACCAAAGACCGCCAACCAAAGTCTTGATCCACAAAGGGTCCTTGACAAAGATATGGTAGTAGCGGTAGCTCTGTATTGACATGACACCGTACAATCTGAGCACCACAGACGTCAGAGGGCATTAGAATCCAGGCTGATCTACGGAAAACGCACCCCCAAGCTAGCATGTACGCGACGCACAGTGCACCGAGCCTAGTGTCGTATTCTCCCATCGCACTTCGAATTGTCTGTTCTGGAGGAAGAAGATTGGCCAAGGAGCGGCTGAAGACCTGGGATCCGGGAGTAATACTATAAGTAGCCGGAGTTCCTTGGTCTCCCTGTTCACAGCCTGATTGACATCATTAGCCGGCCAGCTTCGCTGCTTCCTGTCTCTGTTCATCACTAAGTGGCGCGTGCAGTTCAGGAGCTCGGCACGACATCGCGTTTGAGTCAGCCATACTCATGTGTATACTTTCTATCTATGAATCTGTGGATAACAAGAATATTTCAAACCTCAGACACGTGGTATGTCCCAGCCGGCTGGAAATCATCCTCGAAACCATCGATTCCCAGCCTCGAGAAACACCGTGTTATAGCCGCTGACCTCGCCGCGCTTCTCGTCATGATGCGGATTGAGGAATCGAGAGGTGTCCTATGAGAAGGGGCGATTAGAGCGTGCTAGTCGAAGCAGGGAGAACTGGCGACCTCATTCAGACCGTCAGCACTGCGGCCAAGCCATATCTGTGTCCTTGAGCAGTTCAGTATTGAAAGCTCAGACGATGCGCACGGACTGCGATCCCGATCGTCTCCTTTGCTGTGCACTTACCGCGACACGCTCACCTACGGAAAGATGAATCCCCGCATCGGACGGGTAGCTGTGGCTTGTGAAGTATCTTCCCAATCCAGATCCGTAGCACCTCTTGGCGGGAGCAAACACAGGTTCTTCTCGGGTCACCTGAGCACAGAAGTCATGATGGATCGAGGGTGTACGATTCGGGGGACTCCTTTTCATGGCGATTCTGCGGACCAGGATCATCAGCGCTGGATATACATGGGATGGCAGTCGCACTAAATCCCAGCGCAGGGAAAAACCATCGCGCCTTTTCTGATCTGAGCCGATCACGCTGATCATCACCCGGGCGTAGCCTTGATGATCATGATGCGCATCTATGACGTACAGCGATCCGCCGCGCGCCCATCTGAAAGCTCTTTGACAAACGCGACACAGTATGGACTGGTATGGAGCACCCCTGAAAGCTCTGAATTCAATCACCGTCTATGCGTTGACCGTTTCAGAGTAAGAGAGGGAATTCATTAGATCAGTTCCTCCTTCGTGACTGATGGCAAATACTGAGGCCTCTGCGAACTCCCAAGACTGGTTCTTCAAAAAAAAACCATATGCAAAGCCAGAATAGACATAAATCCTCAACACAATTCATCTGGCACTCGGGTTATCTCAATTCCCTGAAAACGCTCAAAGACGGCATTTCAATAGAGGTCGGAATCGCCCATCCCTCATCGCCGGAGATCGTCATCATATGCTCGCGCTCTTGGCAGGCCCCCGGCTACTCCCTATAAAATCAGTCCGGAATAGTGCAAATCAAGGCCCGAAAACGGGCAAATCTCAGGCGGAGATATAGTGCAAATCGGGGCCGGAGGCCCCGACCCCAGGCGTATATAGTGCAAATCGCCGGCAAAGCCGGCGAATCTTGTTGAGATTATATGTCTCCCAGAGCCCAGATTTTAGCCAATTATCCTGGCTTTCTGCACTGAAGCAGCATCTGTGATTTTGTTGCCAATCTACGCTACATCTATGTACAGTACCCCAATCCAAGGCTACAACGGCCAAGACTAACGCGAGAGCGTCCAAGACGTCCAAAAAGTCTTCGAAAGTCTCCGTGCGTGTTGTAAAGAGGTCTAAGTAGTGCTATCGGCGCCAGCAAGGCGCCAGGGACGCTCAGAAACGCTTAGATATGTGAAATAGCGGTACATCAAAACTTTCCTAATTTGGTGACCTCGGTCCGGAATAGTGCAAATCAAGGTGGCAAGCGCCCAAATTTTTAGTGCAAATCAAGGCGCCGGGACGGACTGACCTTTGGTGTAGTAGCCGGGGGCCTCCCTTGGCGTCATCCACTGTTGACGGTGCCATGTGGCCCTGATCGCCATTCGCCGAGGTGCGACCAGGGATATCTGCTTGGCAGACGCACCGCCTTTTGCTCTTGCTTCCAGGGCCGTTTCCGGATCGCGCTTGGTCTTGCTGAGGCGAGAAGGCCTCATCGCCATGAAAAGTTCCGCTAAGGGCGATCTGAGACATGGCTCGTCGCCTGCACGGAGGAAAAGCACACACTCAAGCACCCAGCTGCGGCTACTCCACAATCGACGCTCATGTTGTTGAGTGATACAATAGGGAAGACGTGGGAAAGAGATCGAGGGCTAGGAAAGTTGAGGGGGGTTGGTGAGGGGTGCACCTGGGCCTGTAGGTCGTCTAGGTTTATATCACGAGACTGCCCCGGGGATGGCTACAAGCCTTGAGGTGACCGCAAGCATAATTCAATCGCGCCACATATCAATGATGAGACGTCAGCGAGAAAGGGCGCATGACGTCCATGGTGAACGCCACTGAGCTGGTGAGCCACGCCCTCCAATGTGTTTCTGAAGCACATGGAAAGCACATGGAAAGTAGATCGCGTTAGCATCTGGACTTGTTGGTGTGATCTTCAAGTAAATTTCCGGGCCAACGGACTCGAGATGGTTCGAGACCGTTGATGTATCCACGTATTAGTAGCAGATGGGATACACGGACAAAGCAGGTTCAGTCACCGAACGAGGCAGGATACCATGGCTGCTATGAGTGGCTTGGGTTAGGGTGATATGTAACGGCCAAACGAGGTTACATTTGCTGTGCTTTACAGCTTTGAATGTGATTGCACGGTTCTGGCTGTACGTGGTGAGAGTGAGGTAACATATATCTGCACTTAGTCAGACTCTAGCTACTTTTTCCTTGCATGTCTGAGGCGCAAGCACGGAAAGGGGATAAATATCCAGAAAGCGCTAAAGCAAGAGGATCGCAGTAGTCATTGACGACCCGCGAGACCAGATAGCAGACAGTAGGAGAGAGCCTTAGTGAGTTGTCCGATCACAGCTACTCAGAGTGAAGACAGTCTACGAGCTGTCTATGTGTCGGATAGTCTTGCTGTATTCCATGACATACTTCTCCTTCATTTCAGGAGAGTTCAACGCAGCGTCCGCATCGACTTGGTTCTGGAAGTCAGCGAATATTAATGGCGCATCCTTCCGAGTTCGGACTGTGCAGAAGAGGCAGAGATAGTCAGGGACAGAACAGAGCGACAAAGCGGCAAGACAGACCAAATCGCAATCTAGGCCCTCCGAACTTCGCGAACGACTCGCGGACGTCCTGTCGTCGCAAGCCCGCCATCGGGACAGCCGGACCCTCCTTCATGACGACGAACAGTGTCAGATTGGGTCCCTCCAACCTGGTCTTCGCGTACCCCACATCAAACTTACCCTTCAGCACTGGCTCACGCAGCACCGCGTCCGCAGCAGCCTGCGTCTCGTACTCCACGAAGAAGTAGTACGACTCGCCCTCGGCTACCAACGCAGACAGACACGCGGGGTTCAGTCAGTCTATCATTCAGTAGACAGAAACAGACCACTCACGCGCTGATACCGTGTTCGGTCCGAATCGTGCGAAGAGCGCTCGCTCTTCGGCGACAGTCATTCCGAGGGAACCCGCCTCGCGCGAAACGTGCAGCCGAGGACTAGGCTGGGTCATCGGTGCATCCCTCCGGACCGGCGCGAAAGTCTCGCGAAGGGCAGGGGAGTTGAGCGCAGCCTCCGCGTCTGCCTTGTTCTGGAACTCCACGAATGCGCGCGCCGGGCGGTCGGGGCTCTGGCTGACCACTGCACACGGGTTTAGAGGATGGGAGTCGGCGCGAGGACGGCACGCACCTATCTTGACGAAGTTCTGTCCGAACGGGCCGAAGGCTTCTTTGATGATCTTCTCGAGCTCAGTGGGGCTCGCATCGGCGCCCCTGCGTAGATGCAAACGGGCTCCGCCAGCATTTTGGTCGAGGCGGAAGGGTGTAGTGGAGAAAAAGGCTGCTAAGCGAGAGGAGGAGGGAGAGGCGGTTCTGAGTGACGGGCGCGCACTGACAGAGAGGAGTGTGCGGCGAAGTGCAGTCAACATTGGTCGGATGTCTAGAAGCAAGGGGAGTGATTTTTCGGCGAAGAGACAGACACGTGAGTGACACGGTGGGCACGGAGCACGTGATGATTTGCGCTCTTGATGAGAAGTTGATGAACCTCGTTCTTACTGAGCTCAGCTCGACCCTGCTTGAACCACATTCAAGACTCGAAACTCGGGACCTCAAGGCAAGTCGGTGTCATACGTCGAACATTTACCGCACGACATAGCTTCGCCACCGAAAGGAATATTGACTCACTGGTGGCGAATATTGTATGATTGAGTATCCAATTGATGGCGTCGAGGGCGTTGGTGTCTACTGACGAGATTCGTCCATATCGATGAATTTTCAAAACCAAATTACTGCATACACCCCACCAAAGTAAAAGTACCACTTCTGAACCTATGACAGGCTATTTATATCAGCAGATTTCTTCATGTAGTAAGTACTCGAAGGTGTAAGAGTTTGCAGAGGATGTTAGCCGCGCGCAAGATGCTCCGGGAATGGGGCAGCCAGCGATGGCTTCGGATGCAGCGGCGCTGCCTCTGACAGCGTTTCATGCATCTTTTACGATGAAAATGGGCTTACTGCTGGTGATAACACCTCTATGCCATTATTGGCCATAGTATCAATACATAGTTTTGGAATGAAATTGGCGGATCTCTCGTGCCATGTCACCATCACATCACGACCGGCACGTGCCGGTGTCAATCAGTGCCGACGTCAAGAAAAAACTCCGCCCTCCTGCAGCTCACGACCTCTCACCACCCACACCACACACCTCTCTACCCACCGCCGTCCAGTCCACCACTCCAACCATGTCCATGTTCGCCGCCCTCTTCCGCAAACAAGCCGTCACTGTCCCCCGCTTCTCCGCCCCCATATCGTCTCGGTTCTTCTCAGCGACAGCACGCGCGTCGGAGCAACACGCGCGCAGCCCACGCCTGTTCGTTGGCCTGCGTATCGTCGGACGGACCTACCCCCAGAAAGATATTGTTGCAGACTTCGCGCCTTTTGGACCGAACACTGTCGAGCAGGGTGCATCTCTTCTCCCCAGTTTCCTTTCGTCCCCCGTCCCCCGTCCCCCGTCCCCCGTCCCATCCCACACTTCGTGCCCACTTTCATTCACCCTCTTCCCACACGCAAACCCCTGCCCATACACACATGCCATACCCATACCCTCTTCTTCGCCCACCTGCTCCTGCCTTCTGCACACGACGCTGATATACTTCCTTCACAGTCTTGCGGCGCGACAAGCGCCCCGCGCCGTTCGTGTTCGTTGATTTTGAGAAGCAGGCAGATGCGGACGCGGCTTTCTCAAACGCGGCCTTGAAGGAGAAGTTCGGCATCGAGTACGCCAAGCCGAAGCCCGAGGGCGTTCAGACCAAGGCATGATGACGAGGACGATGGGATCGCTGAGGAGAGCGAGGGCGAGCGCCACTCCTGCGTGTGAAGAGTATCATAAAAACGAAGCTCGTGTTAATGTATGCGCGTCAAAAGTACTGTCTCGTCAGACATATGCCTGCATTCTTGACGGTGACCGCAATTTCCGCTGCGCTCTGGTCGCGCGAACCTCTCTCCACTCCCAGCTCACCGGAGACGATCGAATGGCTAAAGCCGCTCGATTGTCGATGTAAAGCCCAGCAAGCGTCGTGGGTTCCCTGGAAACGCGGCAGAACCGATACTGATACCAGATGCGTGACCGGTCTGGCCCGGTCGCTCTACGTTGGAGCCTTAAAACTCGGTATGCTATTATGTTATCGGATGGCACCGGCCGTCGTTGGTATTTGCATAGTCTTTCTGCTTCCCGCTAACTTGTGGGTACGAAACCGAGGTCAAAGTCACTCAGTAGCCTCTCTCGTCTTATGGCTCCAAAGGCTACCCATCTCGCAGGCGCGTACTTTGAACAAGAACTTTGTGGCCAGATTCTCCCCTGCGTGGGCTTGATGAGCGCTGCATATGTGTGTATGTACATACTTAAGTACCAACGCGAAGGTGGTTCTTTCCGCGTCACGTGCAACATATCCGGTCAATCTTACTATCCCTGCGAGCTCTGCCTCTCACGTATCCACTCCATACCTGCGCCGCTCTCTCAATCGCGTAAAAGATTAAAGTGCAATTGTCAGACAGGGCATGCAGATATGTTTCCTGGTGCAAATGACAGTGAGTGAACATATGTATGCTCGAGGAACGAGCTGCGAGCAGCAGGAACGAGGCTTCTATTAGGCTTACGCAGGCAATCGGCCCTGCACTGGTGACGATCCGAGCAAGTACATACTTGACGCAAACTTATTGAAGAACCACACACTCTCAGAAACAACGCCCGTGGCCGAACTGCATCGACACCATGAATCCAAGACCTAGCGTGGCCTCTGCCCTCGCAGGCGTCCCATCTGCGACAACAGCACTGTCTCTGTTCTCCCTCTCGCACCGAGTCGCACTCGTCACTGGTGGACACGGCGGCATCGGGCTCGAGATGGCACTGGCACTCGCTGAAGCCGGCGCTGTCGTCTATTGTCTCGACCTTCCCTCGACGCCCGATGCTGATTGGGTTAAGGTGCAAGGAGCCGCTGCGCCGGGAAGAATGGAGTACTTGAAGGGCGACGTGACGGACCAGAAGGCGCTGTGGGACGCCGTCGAGGACATCGTCAAGAAGGAAGGACGGTTAGATGTTTGCATCGCCAACGCAGGTATCTATGGGGGTCACGGATGTTTGGACTATCCTGGGGAGGATCTGCGCAAGGTGAGAGTTGTTTTAATCCGTTTCTGGCGCCCGTTTTGACACAGGCCGGCGTGGCAATTAGGTCTTGGACGTCAATGTAGCAGGTGTATTTTTCACCGCGCAAGCCGCAGGACGCCAGATGCAGAAGCTTGGCACTCCGGGTAGCATCATTCTCATTGCGTCAGTGGCAGGCACTGTTAGTCCCAAGGTAAAAATCCTTTGCACTTCCAGGCCACAGTCGAATCGCTCACCCATTCAATCGAAGGGTGTAGTCGCATATAACGTAAGCAAGTCCTCAGTCCTCCAAATGGCCCACTCTCTCGCCATCGAGCTCGCTCCTCTCGGTATTCGCGTCAACAGCATCAGCCCAGGATTCATCGACGCAGGGTGCGTGCAGAACATCCGGATCTGGCTCAGAGGCTGCTTCTTCTGACCACATTACGCAACCGTAGCATGTTGCGGGTCTTCCTGGATGAACATCCCGAGCAGGAGCAGTCGTTCGTCGCGCATACGCCGATGGGGCGGATGGCGAAGGCGGACGAGCTGCGCGGGGCTGCCTTGTGGCTCGCGAGTGACGCGTCGAGCTTCTGTACGGGATCAGAGTGCGTTTCCGTCGTTCCAGTTTATCGGAGACTGCTGACGTAGCATTCAGCATCAAGGTCGATGGTGGTTATTATGCTTGCTGAGCCGAACGGGATGCCAGTGCCACTTTTGTTTCCGATAGTGAGCAGTGAGAGACGAGGTGTTGCTGGAACACGAGTATGATGCGGTGATGCAGGAGTAGATTGCAAATCGCGCGTTCGTCCTTCATAACGAGTATCGAATGTGTGGCATGTCGGAAAGCATTCCGTGACCCTTGTAAAGCGTATCAACTCGTAGACGGATCTTCGAGAAACAGACCGGCAGCACAGATGAGTCTCAAAGGTGACGGACACTACAGTCCAGGGGTAGCAGAAAAGACGACCCGCACATGAGTCCAATCCGCTTCCTACGCGGACGCGTTTCCATCACACAATGCCGCTGCGGTCTACCATCCACCTTCCGAGTTCTCGCCCTCGGCGGCTCACCGGCATCTCGGATTGGCCAACGCTAGAAGAAGAGGCCGGGTGCGGGTCTCGATCTTTTAACATCAGCGCGTGGATAATAATCTATCTCGGGATCTCGTCATGTTGCGGGTGACCTGGAGGTTCGGCAGCCCTTTAAGTCAAGGATTAGCCGCATTGTACCAAGCAATGGAAGTCTTGAGGGTGTCGCTCAGGTTTCGACTTTCGCCGCTCATCGGGAAGTTTTCTACAGTGGCTCATTTATGACTCGTTTGACAAGAGGGGATGAACGCGTCGACCCACGGACCAAAGATTTTCATAGCGGCGGGCGGATCAGACACCACGGAAAGTAAGACAGGTCAGCCTCTGTCGAAAATGAGCTGTCTTGAAGTAGCACTCAGAGCGGGCGATAAAGGGAGAAGCGGTCGAGCAAAGATCCAGGGAGCAGCTCGCAAAGAAGACCACTGTTCTCATGATGTCACGGTGATCAGTCAGCACACTTGTTCTTTACATCAATTGTTGAATACGCTGGGGCGAACATCAGCGTTCAAAAGGGAGTAGAATCGCATCTGATGCTCACCGTCAGTTAGATATATGCGCGCGATTATCTCCGCGACGGACTGTTTCAACAGATTCGCACCCGCCTCTTCCAAAACGTCGCAATTCCATCTACTTGGAGGCGCCACATCCGATCCTGCGACGGGGGGCGGAAGCGGAGGATCGATCTGTACTGCCGGACAAGAGATCGTCCTTGCAACCCTCGATGAAATTACAGCGGAAGAAATTCCGGTCGGACTGGTAGGTACGGCGGTCACTACTTTGGTCGCTGCGTAGAACCGGAGTTTGGTCCCGAACGTGCTGAGGGCGTACAGCTTCGGCAGGCGGCAATCGGGAGCCAGATCATTCAGCCGGCGGCGGCAGAGTGCGTCGGCTGACATGCGTGCGGATGCCCAGCGGAGCCCGTGCGCCGGATGGACGTGAAGTAGGAGGACAGGATGTGTTTTGTAGAAGACAGTGAACACGAAGGGCGCCGAGATAGCGTCGGTTTCAGTGTTAGGAAGGGGTGGATAAGGCCCGGGGGCAACGAGGAAGTTGATATCCGCCGGGAAAAGATAATATAGCAGTTTGTTGTAGGGCGCACACAACGGCAGGTCGGGATCAGCTGCCAATGCCTCGAACGGCTCATGCACCACCAGGGGCCACGGCTGGGCTGGGACTGCCGGAGAAGATGCCGAAGTGGATGGAGGAGAGCTGGTATCGGAGGAAGGAGAGTGTCGTCGACTGCGTTGGTTCGTTGCGTGGTAAGCGGTGCAAGCGACCGGATAGGCTCAGGGGGCGGATGGAAAGCAGGTGACAGTGACTGATCAACATTCATTGCTGATCGTTCTACTCCTATTTCAGGCGGAGTTGGCCAACTGGAATATCGTCATTAACGAGGTGCTCATTTCATCGGATGTTCAATCGGAGACCGCATATCCAAAAATACGAAGGATCACAAGCTCAAAAGTCAGGACGCAGAGACTGGAATGCCTTCAACTAGAACGAATATAGAGCATGAAATTGATGTATTTGACTTGTTCTATACACCTCTAGCTCGCAGAAGCAAGGATGCTTCGAGATCCCACTTTGCACTGATCATTTACTGACCCGAGCGCTGATAAAGGCGTATCTACTGCTTTCTTCTCAGCATTACCGGTATCCAGTACAATCATTATTCCTTGAATCAACAAAGAACTTTTGCTTCCTCAATTGCTGGGCAGAGGAATCACGTCGGCCAAATGGGATTTACGCATGACGTAGCCGCATGCTGGTAGCACGTGATCGCGGAGTGCCATTGATGGTCATCGGCTCGTGACCCCTTGCGTCGTGCGATAATTCTCAGCTGGTCTGCACAGGTGTGCATCCGTCAATGTCAGCAATCTACGTCGAGACTAGTGTCCTTCTCGCTCTCAGGTTGTGAATTTGAGGAATCCAGTCGTGACCAACTCTCATCTTCGTGCAGAGCCAGCATCTTCTTCTCTTGTCGAAGATATCTGCTACACCGCCTCTACTCCAACCTCGAGGACCTGTCGACCGAGGCCAACGCGAAGTCAACCGATCCCCTACCCTCTCCCATTGCGCTTCGAACACCCTTGGACAAAAGCAAGGCTTCTCGCTCGAGTGTGTATCCAACGGTGTCCACTAGCATCTTTGCGGGATGCTTCTCAGAAAGTTGTCTGCTGTTCGTTCTACTGTTATTGCAGGGGGCGAATGTGTTTAGCTCTCGGTGACTCAATCCACGCGCGCTCCCACATCTTGCTCATACTGCCTCAGAACGCGATTGGTCAACTGGCAACTGTCCCTCTTCGCGTTGCTTCTCTTCATTCTCGTCATCATACCCTTTGTGTCCAGCTTCATCCTCGCACCTCGAGTGAAGGCCGCCGCGCCGCGAATCATATTCAGCTCCATCACGGTCTTCGCCACCCTCGCGCTCCTATCTTTCGTGCCGCTCCCCGAGCCCAGCCAGCACGGCGACGATCTCGCGACGCGCACATTGTCCCGCCTCGTGGTCCTCGGCATCCTCATCCTCGGGCTGCTTGCAGGATTTGGCGCCGTCAGCAACTCGTGGGCGTACATCCCATCCCGCACCGCCGTAGTGTATGGTGTGCACGCTCGCGCGTCGTCGGTCGCGTACTGATGCCACGCTGCAGATCCACACCGCGCGAACATGATGTCGCGAGTGCGGAGTTCGCGTTGTTGAGTGTCCGCGAGGATCTGGAGCGGAAGAGGGAGGAGGCTAGAAGGAAAGCCGATTCTCAGGTGCGTCGCCACGTCTGCGTTCAGGGCACCACATTGACCTCCCAACAAGAATGAGACTTGGATGACGCGTGTCATGCCGAGCTTTCGAGGCGACGAACGTCAGCATGCAAATGACTATTCTGCTGGACTCCCGCTTACCTTCTTTGCAGAGGCCCAAGAACTGAAAGGCTTGGAAGCCCTCGAGTATCAGATGAGTCGCAGCTTAGACGATCTGCGTCAGCGGCGAGCTGCAGTGAAATACGCCGGCACCGTTCGTGGCAGGATCATGGATGTCGTCGGCCGCTTCTTCGCGCTGTATTGCCTAGTGCGGTATATCATCGTACGCATCGTATCCTGCGCGCACTTGTGCCAACCTCTCATCACGTTGTGCAGTGCTTCTTCAACATCTTGCTGCCACCGAAGCCCCAGACGGCGTCCAGTCTGCCAGATGTTGTGACGGATACCATTGCAGCGTTCCTTGGCCGCGTTTCAGGCCCAGACTCGCATGTGAATGTGGCCGAGATCGCTTTGATCACGAGGCATCTCAGTCTAGTCCTCGTTGGTGTGATCATCCTCAGCAGCATACAGCTTGTTCTGCGATGGGTTACTCGTGTGAGTGTCCACTGGCGTTGCAGCTTGCTACGGCATCTGATGGGACATGCGTTCAGGCTCTCCGGGTCACTAGTAAGAATCTCGCAGCGGCATTGATGCTCCTCTTACTCGCGCAGCTTATGGTGGGTTGGCCCAGACTTTGTAACTGATCATTGCCCTCATCGGTTCTCTCTCAGTCGGTGTACTTGCTGTCCACCATAGTACAGCTACGGGCATCATTCCCGCCAACACAAACGACCAAAGACGATTCAGTCAACCTCTTCTCGACGATCCCCGATTTTCAGCCATTTGGCAAGTTGTTTGATTCTGCATTTCTGGTTTCCGCCACCGGATCCTTGGTAGTCCGTTGGGCAGCACAGAGAATGAACGGACCGGGTGTCTAGTCTATGCGCTTTCACACCATAACAGAAACCGAATATTAATATGTATGAGTACTTGGCGAATCCAGAGCAGCAATTCAAGCCCATTTCTGGACATCCTGCTCGCTTGGACCGATAGGATCCGCCGATGCCGCCAGGTTGCACTGATGAAACGCGCGAACTTGGTCTGGGGCAAACGCCCCCACAACCGAGTGCAAGACACCGCGATTGTGGAACAGGACAAAGTCGTTCTCGCGCCTGAGACGAAATGATTCAGCAGATACGTCGGATCGAATGGACGAATGCTTACCAGTCATGAGGGTACACAAGCTGGACGGACGATTAGCCTGGGTGAGCTTAATGGAAGAGTATGACACACCGAAGGAGCGATGGCAGGGCGCTGCATCTTGTACAGCAGACCGCGGACCTCCTTCAAGTCCTTGAGATGAGCGCCATCCGGGTACAGTGCACCTTCGCGAGAGGCCCCGGCGGGGAGCGCATCGATCAAAAGCTCGGCAACACCACATGGATGGACTTGGAACGACAATTGGCCGGTGACGGGATTCTTCCAGAGCTGGGCAGCAGTTTCAGCTGTGAGACGAATCCCTTGTCTGCAGTGACACACACCATCGGCAGCACTTTGACCTTACCTTCGTCCCAGGCAGGTAGGTCTTTCAGCGACATCTCCAAGCCCTCAGATTCGATTCCCAGTCCGGTCGACATCGCATGCGCCGGGGCCATCCATACATACGGGTGGGGCGAGTACCGCACGCGAGTCCGGACAGCCAGACTCTTGAGCTCAGCAGGGAGGATATCAAACATCGTGCGACCCGACACGAAGGCCGTCGTGCCCAGCGGGACAGCAAGCTCGTCGCCCGTGCCGTCGTCGTAGCGGCATGTCTGAGGCTCGCCGGCAGGGACCGTGAGTCCGTAGAGGGTCGTGACCTGGGGCGGCGAGAGGTCGTACAGCGCCGCGTCGATGTGCCATCGGTAGAACCTGGTGACACCGGCCGCCTCATCCTCGTCGCTGACGACCGTTTTGTGGAACGTTTTGTGGTGGGGGTGCTTGAGCTTCGCCTCGTTGAGACCTTCGTGGTCGAACACCGTGCCGTTTCCGATAAGCTGCACTTGCGGCACACGCGGGATGGTCTTGAGATCGGGGTGGAGGATGGATTTCTTCGTGCCCTCCGTTTTGTTATTCCCGTGTCCGTAGCTCTCCGAGGTGGGATCGAAAGCCTAAGGGGGGGGGGCAGAATGAACGTAGCCAAAGCAGAGGGCAACGCGTACCTTGGTCAATGCGTATTGCTCTTCAGGGGTCACAACCGCGTCGCGGAAGAGGAGGACATCATGCTGGAGTGGAATTCACATTGACCTTCGACTCGAGATTGGATTCGCACCTTATACAGAGCCTCCCTGACGGCTTCAAACTGGTCCGGCGTCAGCCGTCCGGGGTTCACTCCGACGACTTCCCGTCCGAAATCTGCGAGCTTGGATGTATCTGCGCTAGCTGGGGCGGGAAGGGGCAGCAGCTGGAAAGTCATATCGTCGTTCGGGCGAGAGTGTTATTGACACCATATGGGTTAGTGACTCATTTTGAGGCGGAGAAAAGGAGCAGCAGCATTGCCACTGATCTTCGAAGCTTCATTATCTTACAGTATCTGTATCTGTGCACCCTGATTACACTGATCAGTAAACCGAAGGAAGCATTTCAGGGGGGAAAGCTGAAAATAGGTCCCTCATCCGGTCGTTCTCCTCATTTGAATAACCTCTGCATTCATTATGGATCGTATTTCAATGATCACGATTGCGACAATGTTAGAATAACAATCACGTGCAAGTCCTCCGCTTTCCTGTGACCAAGTCACATCTCTCGGTAAACAACATCCGTGCACGCCGAACAGGCTCGAATTCTTCCGATCACCTCCTCAGTCCTCGTCGCCAGCTACATCACTATCCGGGCCTTACTCGCTTGACCTCTCAGGTCATCGATCGTTAGCACGCCCAATCGATGTGATGTGACTGAAAGTCACGGCGACCGGTACAAAATTTTCGCCCAAGGATCCCGCACCTTCTCTCCCTCATCATGCCTTCCGCTGGAACTCTGTACACCACCCCCCAGCAGCCTGTTGCCCGTGCGGTGCGCATCCCCACAAAGCCGATCCATCATATAACTCTGACATCGGGCATCCTTGCAGCTCCGCGCGATCGCAGCTTTCGGCGGTGTGACCATCGACATTCCGACCGACTACGTGCATTTCGAGACCAACAAAAAACCCGAGTTCTTGGCCAAGTTCCCGTTCGGAAAGATCCCCGCGTGGGAGGGCAAAGATGGATTCTGTCTCGCTGAATCAGTGGCCATTGCTCGTTATCGTGAGTGCCTCGTCCCTGCTTTCAACGGAACCAGTCATCGCGAAAGTTTCTACGTCTTCATTCATTGCTGTCTTGATGCTCATGTTGAAACCTTGAGACTGCGGCCCCAATGATTGCTTGACTGTTTCCGTAATGTCTACTTGAGCTAATCGCTCGCTTGCAGTGGCCACTCTGGCCCCCAAGTCCGGACTTCTCGGAAAAGACGCCAAGGACGCGGCACTGATCGACCAGTGGGTCCACTTGGCCGAGACCGAGGTCGACGTCAACACCTCACAAATCACCGGCCTCCTCAATGGCTGGGTCACCCCATACAGCAAGCCGGTCCGGACCCTCCGCTCCTTGCTGTCGACTTAGCTCACTCAGCTGCACTCACACAGATCCACAACACATTCCTTGAGCGTCAGCTCCGCGGCCTCGAAACCCTGGAGAAGCACATCTCGACGCGCACATTCTTTGTCGGCGAGCGCATCACGGTGGCCGACATCTTCGTCGCGACCACCGTGCAACGTGCCGCCAATATTAACATCGACAATGCTGCTCGCGCCAAGATCCCGAATTTGATTCGACACATGAACACAATCATCTTCCAGCCCAGCTTCGCGGGTATCTTCCCCCCGACTGCGGTCCTCGAGAAGGCGCCCGTGTACGTTGCCCCGAAAAAGGAGAAGGAGGCCAAGCCTACTCCCCCGCCTGCTGCACCGAAAGCAGAGAAGAAGAAGCCCAAGGTCGAGGACGAGGACGATGATAACGACATTCCGGCCGAGCCAAAAGTCAAGAACCCTCTGGACGACCTGCCCAAGTCGACATTCAACCTCGAAGACTGGAAGCGTGCCTACTCAAATAAGGAGACCCGCGGAACCGGTGGTGCCATCGAGTGGTTCTATGAGAAGCAAGTGATCTTTCCGTTGAGCCTCCGTCGGCGCTGCTGACGTCCGTCGCAGCTTTGACAAGGAGGGTTTCTCCATCTGGCGTGTCGACTTCAAGTACCCCGAGGAGCTCACACAGACGTTCATGTCGTCCAACCAGATCACTGGCTTCTTCAACCGGCTCGAAGCGTCCCGCAAGTACCTCTTCGGATCGATCGGTGTGCTCGGCACAGCGAACAACTCACTCATCTCGGGGACGTTCATCCTGCGTGGCCAGGATGCCACTCCGGTCGTCAACGTCGCCCCCGATTGGGAGTCGTATGAGTTCAAGAAACTCGACCTGGCGAACGCCGACGATAAGGCCTTCTTCGAGGCTGCTCTCGCCTGGGACCTGGAAGTTTCTGGCAAGACTTGGGCTGACGGAAAGAACGTGAGTTTCGCTACTATACATCGCAGGCCGGGGCTGTTCTGACTGTCCCTGCAGTTTAAATGATGGATGATTTGTGTTAGTTGTTGTAGGAGAGAGAATCAAAGTGCATGTACATATGTACAATTGCCGGACAAAGCCTTGTTTGCTCTGATCAACAAAGCCGTCGATTCCCATTCCGCTAAGCACGAAGAGTCTCCGTACCTCCGATCCTTGATTCTACCGGATGAGAGGCATGGGTGTCAAAGCCGGTTACGGATACTAGGGAGAATCTTGATAACATGGTACAAGTGATCGATACACGAACTAAACGAGGCTACAACATAGTTTGTGAGAACTTACAAGATTGGAACAGACAGAAATATCATCAGAGTAGAGCATTCAATCGCTCTTGCTGTGCCTGCAAAGCTCTGCGGACTTCCAAGGTGGCCATGAATGAGATGGGCACGATGCCGCTGCGAGGCACTCCGCCACGATTGAGCCTGTAGACCTCGCTGGCCTTGAGAGCGCCGATCTTGATCTGCTTTCTTTGGACTTCCACACGCCAGATCTTGAGCCTCCCATCTTCAGTTTGGGCGTTCTTCGAGCAGTGATCCACGAGGCTTTGCAGGACACGGGCGCCCCAGTCTATCTTGTATTGGACGGGTTGCATGTCCCGCACGGCGAGATCCTGCGTGCCCCGGATCGTGCCAAGCGAGTCAGGGAACCCGACAAAGATGGTTGAGGCACCAAGCAAGTGCGACTGCATGTCCCATTTGGCTCGATTGGGAAACGTTCTGCGGTCAGCGTCAGGGACGGGCTGCAACGCGGGTTGTCCGCAGGACGCACGATTTCATCTCATGTCGACGTGTCTTGAGTTCGACGTAGTTCTCCGGACACGGGTTGGCGGTGTATTCGGCTAGATGCGCCGTGAGACTGCAGGCGACACACAGAGAACGACGGACCTTTCACACAATCCACTTCACCGACGAGCAGGACCTTCAGATCTCCCAAAGTCCGTTTGATAGCCACCGTCCACAGCGTGTGCATGTCCACTTTGTCTTCATCCTCCTCGTAATCGGGCCGGGTGGTGCAGAACGTTTCGAACTTGTGTCTGAGATGCTGAGAATGGCGGAGAAGAGGAGAGGAGAAGGTCGCTCACCCCATATATGAGCACTCGGTGTTGGGACTGAGGCCAAGTCAGCCTCAGAAGGCAAGATGGGTCCCTGTCCACTCACTCATATTGTCGTACCGTACTATCCTCCTCCATGTACAGCACCCCGCGGTAATACGAGACATTCAGGTTCAGCATCTGTCCAGTCATGATCCTGCGAAAGACAGGACGAATGAGGGATCCGTAAACCACGAAAGCGCGGATGAAGCACTTGGTCAAGATCCCGCGCCACGTAACAACGTCGACGTCCAGCATCTCCTCGCTCTCCCTCGCCTTCAGGCACATCTCGAATACGTTGTCCAGTCTCCGCGCACGCAGGAAGGCGCGATCCTCCCACGGAAGCTTGTTGAACTCGTGCAGCCCCTCGCGCAGATTCCTGTTCAGGACCGCCGGGGTCGGTGCATCGACAATGTAGCGCATCGCAGCCGTGCTGTCGACGTGTACGGTCTCGTCGATGATCGACATACATGCAGCCTGATGCGCCGGACCAAGACGCGCGGGGAGGGGAATGGAAGGGGCGTCGCTCAGCGAGAGCAGCTGCTTGGTTGTCACCGGCATAGAGTCGATCGGGGAAAGACTTTGAGGGTTGGCCCATTGGGGGGACGAGGTCTATATGACGGAACTCTATGCCTCGTTGCTGGGCGTCTGGATGGTACATCCGATAAGGAAGACACGTAGTCACAAGAGCGGCTCAAAAGCTGTATCGACATGGGCCTCGCGTAAGTGGCAAGGCAGACACACCCTTACAGCGCCTCCTTAGCTACTTGTGTCTGAGACCAAAGGTCTAGTTTGAAATCCATCTGGGTTGCTGAAAAGCCAAGTTGACGGTCTTGGTCCAGGTGGGACCAAGTGGTGGGCAAGCCAGTCCCTTGACAGCCATCAGTGTCACCTGTCAGATCTCGGCCGAAGCCGCCAATTCATTACCGTTCATCCGCGTTCAATCAGGCCACATCCAAGTAGGACAGCGCTACTACTCAACAGCGTTTACGTAACGACCTAGTAATCATAATTACCTCAGGCTGACAACGTGCTGGACCCATGGTAAGTCAGGAGACTCCCACTGATCGCTGCATACCAATGAGAAGCGTGAGCAAGATGGAGAACCGCAGTAAAGAAGTAGATCCATGTGAATTGCTTGTAGCTATAAAGCTGTTCAACAGCTCTGCGACGCAAGTTGCGTATCTTAACATGGTCGGAGACATTAGAGCAGCCCAACCTCGGTACATGGACTCATTCTTTCTTTCATGGACCGCATCTCCCACAGCAACTCGATTTAGCCTCCACCCCAGATTCTACCAGTGAAAAAATCTATTTTTTCTTGCCATAGATATGAACAGATCGCGATCGTTGTTGATGAATGTTCGATCCCCAGATCTAATCAACTGTAAGAATATACATAGAACAGGCCCGGCGCCCTTCCTGCTCAGTCAAATATACAGGGCAGTAAAGGTTGATTTCTCATCGTTCATCCTCGTCATCTACTGATTGGATTAAATCTGGACATTCTTCAATTATTCCGGATACAAAATGTGATTCTATTGACTGACTTCTCCACCGAATCTCATCACGACGAAGTCACCGCGCCGCCAAAGACCCCCAAGTCCGCAGTCTCAAACACATTGAGTCAGGACGGCTTCCCCATCTTGATTGGCGGTGGAAATCGCGTCCAAAGCCTGAGTGACAATTTGTCTCGAGGCCGGCCTGAACGAATTCAGTTTTTCCACATCAAGATGCAGCCTCCAACATGGCCTCACTCTTGTATGACTGCCAAGGCTTGCTGCGCCGCAGCGAGGCCCGCACCAACCTGTGTCCTTGCCGCCGCCGGCGCTGTCTGGTTGCTGAACACAGCCTGGAGGATCTCGTGGATCGCCGTATCCACAGTCTTCAAGCCGGCCTGGGCTATCGCGATCGAGATCGTCGTATCAAGGCTTCTGCTCACATGTAAGTTATTCAGGCTCGGCGCTGAGATCTCAAGAGAACTTGCGTAGAATTTATTTGGGAGATGAGAGACTCGGCGTCCGCGGTATCTGTGATGATGCGCAGCCGCGAGAGATTGCAGTCGAGGTTGCCTATCTGACGAGTTTGCAGACCGACCGGGGCTGTATTGGAGTGAGTTGCCGTTGTCGTATAGACGGGAAGCATACCGGTGAGGCCCACAGCGATCATCGTGAGAGCCACGAATATGGATGAGATGTGGACCATGGTGTGGATTCGAAATGAGAAAAAAAGGATCGATTTACGGTTGAAGTTGGAAGGGGAAATGTGTGTGGATCAGAAAAGAATGAGAAAGAAGAGAACACCTGGCCTGGAGAGCTGTATCCAGCTTTTGAGCATTTAAGTGACCCGAGAAGGTAAATATCCGCAGTAAGCTGCGCTGAAACCACACAGTCCGACAAAGTGCGGATTACCAGGAGACGGATTGATGTCAGTGCTGTGCCATTTTCCGTGTGGACATTCAAGCCGATTAGGCAATGCCATCCGTTTCTCGGGTCTCGGCGTAGCTGTTTCGTGTAGAAGCGTGGACAAAATATGAAATCCCGTCGACTGCGCACTGCGGTGCTCTGATTGGGGTGGACACAACAGCTGATAAGTAATCACGGAAACATAACAGTCACAGTTATACATTATATACAAATAAACATGCATCCTTCAGCTATACGATTTCAGCCGCAGGTAACAGCGGCGCACATGACGCCTCTCGCTCGGGCCCCTTATCTTGAGCGCGTTGTCTTACGACTCTTTCTCCCGGTGCAGGGCCGAGAAAGTGGGACGGAATCTCACTCCTCAGGTCCTTCAACATCCCCCTCAAGATCCCGTCCGCTGCATTCCGGACGGTAACACAGCTGATCGCGCGGTCGCTCAGGATAACCGCGCGCAGCCGCGCGAGCTTCGTCAGCACGTCGCACTCGGCGAACTCGACCAGGACCTCCGCCACGGCCGTGGCCCACGCCTGCGCCCACCACCCGGGGCAGTTGCACCGCGGATCCAGCCGAGGAGCGCCCGCGTGCGTGCACCAGGGCGTCGGCAGCGGCGGGACGGTGCTGATGATCCTGCTCCATGCGTGGTTGAGCGACCACGCGCCGACGAGGATGCGCTCGCGATGGATCGGGTGGAGGAGGTCCGCGGGGACGCAGAACGGGACTGCGCGGCTCGTGTAAGGGTCGGTGGCTAGCGCGTCGGCGGCGTCGGCGTCGAGCATCTTCAGCACCGCGTAGTACGTGAAGCCGAGCAGCTTGCGCAGGTTCATCGACTCGCCGACTTCGATCGCCGTCTGGATGCTGCCGAGCTCGTCCAGACGCCGGATCCACGCATCGACGACGAGTCCCTCCAGATTTCCGTTCTTGACGGGGTGCTGGCGGCTAAGTTCGAGGAGCGAGACGTATGTCTCAACGGAGCAGCTGCGCAAGACCTCGTCGTCGTCGGCGCATAGGACGCGAAGAACGAGTCGATGCATCCGGCGGCAGAAAGAAGCGAGCTTGAGCCGGCGACCGACCGCTGTCGCTTGGATGAGGTCGTGGAATTGACTCCTCAAGGCGAGCAAGCGAAGGTCTGGAATATCGCTTCTGGGATGAAATGAGGAGAGTGGGCTGGATGTAGCAGATGTGGACGCACTTGGTATACGCGAACCGAAGAAAGGACCGCAGTTCATTGACGGAGACTCCAGCTAGGACTATGGGCTGCTCAGGGGATCCATCGGCCTCCGTGCTAGTTGCGGCCCGAGTGAACAGGTTTTCCTGGAGGGCATCTGGAAGAAGCAAGCTGTGATGGATCTGCAGAGGTTTCAGAAGAGGTAAAATCGGGATCTCAGTGTTGAACAACTCACATTAAAGTGCACATCCCCAACACGCAAACAGCAGTCGCCGTCGTCCATCCAAAACACCTCAGTTACCACCGCCATCACCCGGTTGCACCCCCGCGGGGGTCCTCCTGGGTACCCTCAGACGTAGCTCTGAGGGTACCTAACAGGTACCCCCCTGCGGGGCCCGCGGGGGGGATTTGGTCCATTTGGGGGCGGGGGCATATGCGGGGGTCAGCAGGGGGGGGTCTGTACATGTCATGTGATTTATCATTGGGAGCGGGCAGGTGGGCGCGAAAAAAAAATGAATCACATGACACATCCAATGGGCGGGATGGCGGCTGATGGCGGGGTAAAAAATCACGTGATGCACCGCATGAAAATTATCAAAAATGGCTAGCAGGGGTTGGCGGGGGTTGGCGGGGGCGCTACTGGCCCCCCGCACACCATGGCGGGCAGTGGGCGCATTATCACGTGACTTTTGGGGCACCTTTTGTGCACCATTCGGCATGATTTTGGAGGTGTTGCTTGATCCATTGCATGCTGTGGCAGACAATGGGCGCATAATCACGTGATTTTCCGCCCAAAAAAATGGAAGCTTTCCCCAAATCATCCTGGTATCATTTCTATTGGTAAATACACTAGTTAAGCATGAATTTGAGCTTAGAAAGCCCAAAATGCACCCTGCACAATGGGACTGGTGATGCACTTGATCCCATCATTTGGCGGGGTCTGCTGCGGGGGGTGCCACGGGGGGTGCTGCGGGGGGTGCTGCGGGGGGTGCCGCAGGGGGTGCCACAAGGGGTGCCGCAGGGGGTGCCGCAGGGCCCGCTGTGGGGTCAACCACAGGAGCAGGGGTAGGGGTGCATTGCATCATATTTTGATCTATCTATTCTCGCTGTGGTCATAGCATGCAGCATAATTATCCTTCATTTTGCCAGGAGTTTGGAGGCTGTGTCTGGGGTTGGTCTGCAGCTACAGCCATGTGACTCCCTGATGCTTCGGCAGGGGCTGGGATATCAAAACTGTGCAATATTGTCTGCATAATCCAGGCATGTAGGGTTAAAAAGAAAGTGTGATTTGTTCATTTTTTGGCTGGCAGGGTAGGTGGGCTGACATCATGGGCTGCATCGGGTCCACTGTCAACTCATTGATTGTTTCGTCTGCTCATTCTATACACATGCCCATTGGTAAACTGATCATGCTGTAGGCACAGTCTAATCTTACCCAGTGGATAATACCACACGTTAATTATGCACCTAATGTCACACTTCCTGTCTGGGACTCATTGAAGTTCATCTGTTCTGTGTTACTTTACAAGCAGTTTGCTTTAGTTGCAACATGAACAGATGTAATAGAGTGGATTTGACATGCCCTGAATTGATTCCTAGGTGGAATATGAGACAATGGATTCACCAGCAAGTTGCCTCACAATAGTCAGAGATTTATAATATTTGAATTTCAAATTTCATATACAACACTCTGTGCACTCAGAGCTCGTATATTTGCAAGATAGACTGTAGAGACATAGATGGTTACTTTTACTACCTCTGGGGCTGCACACATCCTTGCCATGACCCACTGCCTGCACCCCTGCTGGTACCCCCATTGGCACCCCCGCCGGCACCCCTGTTGGCACCCCCGCTGGCACCCCCGCTGGCACCCCCGCCAGTCTAGCACCCCCCGCTGCACGGGTGCCTTGTCCCCGTGATTTTCTTATATGTAAGATTATGTAAACTGACAGCTCGGAACACGTCAAGTCACTAGCCAATCAGAACCTGTATAAACGTCGTACCTAAGTGTTTACTGCTCTTCTAACACTGTTCCTACAGTTATGCAGCTGAAAACCATCGGAATAAGGTCTCCTTCTGCTATTCTTATTGAATATGTAGATACTTCATATCATTTGTCCACCTAAAATTCGAAACATGAAAAGAGTTCACCATTGCTCAAGGTTCCTATGTAGACAATGGTTCAACATGGTTCACTTTGGGTATGGCAAAAAATATTTTTTCTACACACAAGCAATTCAATACAGCTGAATGATATACTCTTTGGCAGTGTCTGAAACAAATTCTGAGAGCCCTGGACCCTGGAACTATTCAAAAACTTGAAATGAGTCCGAAAAATAGGGTCTTGATAAACATGAGATATGGGCTGGTTTGAAGAGACATGGGCCACCGGTCATGTTGAATATAGTATTTTACAATGTTTCGGTGCCCTACCTCTCATCACATGGCCTCATTTCCCACTAAAAAGGGTGCATACACACTCAAGCTCATAAAATCAATTGTCACCCAGAAACAAGAGCAGTGAAGTTGTTTCACTGGGATTGGGTAAAGGTTACCTAGAAGTCACTTGGGTTGCAGTACAGAAGCTTTGGAAAGTGATTTTGTAGTTGATCCACATTTGGTAGGCTGGCAGATGCTTGTGCACCCCCACGGCACCCCCCGCGGCACCCCCCGCGGCACCCCCTGTGGTTGACCCCCCCCCCCCAACCCCTGCAAGGATTTAATTGACAAATGTCCTGCTCAATCCATTGTAAGAGTCTACAGTATTATTGGATTCAGTAAAGGGCCCAAATGGTGTGTAGACAAGAAGTATGAAATCCGGAAATCAACAATTATGACACCTCCACGGAATATGCTGCAAATGGAGAGAAAAATTTGAGTGCAGACAGACTACCTGAAGCAAACAGACAGAGAAAAGAAACATTAGCCATTTCTTGTTGATGATGTTGGCTGTCCCTGGAGCATGTACTTGGGAGATTTGCCTAACAAATCAAGTTGCACATTTTTCAAATTTTTAGTTTGACCTGACAGCTTGAGCAGACCATGCTAAAATGAACCAAGTCATATATATCAGTGCCCCAAGCCAAGCCAAAAGATTTAGGTAAATTTGCACAGTTTTGATATCCCAGCCCCTGCCGAAGCATCAGGGAGTCACATGGCTGTAGCTGCAGACCAACCCCAGACACAGCCTCCAAACTCCTGGCAAAATGAAGGATAATTATGCTGCATGCTATGACCACAGCGAGAATAGATAGATCAAAATATGATGCAATGCACCCCTACCCCTGCTCCTGTGGTTGACCCCACAGCGGGCCCTGCGGCACCCCCTGCGGCACCCCTTGTGGCACCCCCTGCGGCACCCCCCGCAGCACCCCCCGCAGCACCCCCCGTGGCACCCCCCGCAGCAGACCCCGCCAAATGATGGGATCAAGTGCATCACCAGTCCCATTGTGCAGGGTGCATTTTGGGCTTTCTAAGCTCAAATTCATGCTTAACTAGTGTATTTACCAATAGAAATGATACCAGGATGATTTGGGGAAAGCTTCCATTTTTTTGGGCGGAAAATCACGTGATTATGCGCCCATTGTCTGCCACAGCATGCAATGGATCAAGCAACACCTCCAAAATCATGCCGAATGGTGCACAAAAGGTGCCCCAAAAGTCACGTGATAATGCGCCCACTGCCCGCCATGGTGTGCGGGGGGCCAGTAGCGCCCCCGCCAACCCCCGCCAACCCCTGCTAGCCATTTTTGATAATTTTCATGCGGTGCATCACGTGATTTTTTACCCCGCCATCAGCCGCCATCCCGCCCATTGGATGTGTCATGTGATTCATTTTTTTTTTCGTGCCCACCTGCCCGCTCCCAATGATAAATCACATGACATGTACAGACCCCCCCCCTGCTGACCCCCGCATATGCCCCCGCCCCCAAATGGACCAAATCCCCCCCACGGGCCCCGCAGGGGGGTACCTGTTAGGTACCCTCAGAGCTACGTCTGAGGGTACCCAGGAGGACCCCCGCGGGGGTGCAACCGGGTGATGGCGGTGGTAACTGAGGTGATCCAAAATCGGGGATCCTTGATAAACCCCGCATGGTTTGGAACCACTGCGATTTTCTTGGTCACGATGGAGCACCCGGTTAACGAGGCTCGCGCGGGGATGAAAGTCGGCATCGTTGACAGGACGGTGGCAGAAGGGATCCAACGTCTGTGCTTGTTTTATCCCACCACGTGCCAAGCGTACATGCCTCAGTGGAGCGGACAATGAGCGGATCAGGAAATGGCTTGTGTGCATTGCTGATCCTAACAAAGGCAAGGGTCTGGGGCGATGGTCACAAAGAGGCTACGGAGGACCTTGCAGGACAATTCTGAAACAAAGCGCACTGCGCCATCATGCGAACCTACCGACGTTTGATCCGCTGATGCGGTTCACATCGGGAAGTCCGTCCTGAGTCTGCGTATCCCCAGTGGTTTCAGTCACTCTGTATGCTATATCGAGTCCAATTTTCTCAATTTCCGTGTAGTATATGACAGTCTGATTTAGACCAGGTTCTTCCAAGGATGCAGTGCCCCTCAATTCACTGGCTTCTGTCTCGACATTGCATTGTCCATCCGACGTCCTGCAAATCCTGTGCAGGACAGATAAATTTCCTATTGTTGATAGAACTATGCAGGTAGCAAAAAAGACATCTTAGATACATGCTGCAGAGACAGAGGACATCCATTGAGGCTATATTGAGCAGATATGTCCCACAAAGAGACTGCGGAGGGTCATGTGACACATCCGCAACCATGTCACTAGCTGCTGCAGATGCTTCTGCGGATGGTTGAAATAGCATCCGCAGATAGGAGAATCACTGTTTGGCTTGCTTACATATCAAATTCCATGCAATATCCCTTCCAGAAATTGTGTAATGAATTGTATTGGTCAATAGCATTATTCATTCAAGTGATGTAATGTATTTGGGCTGTCTGGGCAGCAGCCACATATTTAGCTGGCCAATTTGGCTGAAGATGCATCAGCAGTTCATTTCCTTGTGTGCTCTGGATGTCCCCAGAGCCTCTGGAGCTCGGTGCACTGGCTAAAATGTCAGTAGATATATGCTGCATAAGATTGGCTTGTGGGACAGAGCCACAGCCCCCATTCCAATGTGCAGATCCATTTGTGCACTAGATGAACAATGTTTCAGAGGCTCTTCAGGCCATTCACATAGAAGAAGCAGGGCCTGCAAAGATTATTTTGAGTGCAGATGGATCTGCAGGACCCATCAAATCCCTGTGCGGATGTTCAAGGACCATCTGCAATGCACCAAAATGATGCCATCAAGGGCATCACCAGTAAAATGAGATGCGGATGGATCAGCAGATGTTTTTAGAGCCTGCATGCAGATGATTGGGCTGGATCTGCAGAGCTCTGATGCAGAGGGCGACCCCAGGCCAAAGAGTCTGCAGGGCCTGTGCTGAAATCTGGCTCTGGACCGCAGGGGGCGGATGCATCCGCACAGCACATATTCAAGCTGTGGTTGATGCAGGAGGATACTGGCTGCATGCACCAACTATAGCAGCTAACAGTGTGCAATTTTAACTGTCCACAGAGCCTGTGCCAAGCAGAGCCTGCCCCAATCTGGCCCTGGACAGCAGGTGGCGGATGCATCTGCATGGCACACTTTTAAGCTGCTGTGGGTGCTGGCAAGGGCTCTCTGGGTTCTAAGGAGCCTGGCAGCTGATGGTGTGCAAGTTGAACCATCCACAGAGCCTATGCTGAAATCTGGCTCTGGACCGCAAGGGGCGGATGCATCTGCACAGCATGCTGTCAATGCAGGAGGATCCTGGCTGCATGCACTGATCATGGCAGGCGAAGGTGTGCAAGTGGAATTGTCTGCAGAGCCTGTACTGAACAGGGCCTGCCCCAATCTGGCCCTGGACAGCAGGTGGCGGATGCATCCGCATGGCGCACATTTCAGCTGCTGTGGGTGCTGGAGAGGCCTACCTGGGTTCTAAGGAACCTGGCAACATCTGAGAAGCTTGCGTTCTATGTTTATCCTACGCATTAAGGTTCTGAGCAACCAATTTAGCAATCCAGAAACAATGCAGAGCATCCGCACAGCCTAAGCACTGAATTGGCCCAACTAACACTCTTTGTTTGCTGCACATAGAGGTCTTTGAAGCAGCTATAATCATTTGGGAGTCAAAAGCACTTGCATACATTGGCTACAGAAGGCTCAAGTCCACAGTGAAGCAATATATACAGGCTAGAACTGAAAAAATAAAAGAGCAAGAAATGCGGAGGGTTCCGCACTGGAGAACAGTCACATGACATGGTCCGTGGATGGCCTGCATGATGGCATCACAACGATCACAGGGAGAGCCAGGAGCGGATGGATCCGCAGCTGGTTACAGGGCTTGTTGCGGATGCTTGGCACCCATTTGCGGAGGTTTTGGTGCGGAGGATGGCCAAAAGTGTGGAGGGTACCCCCCCTGTTAGGTACCCAAATCAGTCGAATTTTGACCCCTAACAGGGGGGGTACCCTCCGCGGCGGATGTTCCTTAGGTGGAGAAACGAGAATGGGACGAGTGCAGATGTATGCATGGGGGGAGTGTGCCGTAGTGCAGACGCGCAGGGGACTGGAATCCCGGAGCTAAATCCGTCTGTGTGGATGTCCTTAGTGGCGGGAGAAGTGCGGGTCGGATGAATTCTAGACTCGTTCTCATGGCAATTCGAGAGCTTGAAACAGATGGCGAGAGACTAATGGCTTGGGCCAGCTTCCGCGTCCCTTCAGGTGGAGTGTCGAGGGAGTGTCAAGGAGGTGTCATACACCTGCAGGAAATGGAGAGTGGGATATGTCGAAGTTCCGCTTCCTGATGCGGAAGATTCGGCGTTGGAGCGGCAATGACGGAATTTGTAGAAACGGTATATTTCGGCGTTGGCCTGTAACATACATGTAAGTGTTAGCAGAAGCTGGAGATTAGATTAGAGCAGCACGTGCCGTTGACTTCTTTCTACCCCGTCCATGTCCGCTGCGACACCGACAATCGATTCAACGCTGTCAGTAGGTTGAACCGATCCTTCGTCTTCCCGACACTCCAACCATCTTTCCATTTACAGATCCCTCGCCGAGCGACGCGCCGCCATCAACGCATCTATCGCATGGTACTACTCCCAAATCACAGACCTGAAGTCCCCACTGAATCCGGTCAACAGGTTGCACGATGAAGTCCTGACGAGGATCTTCCACGAGGTGGCGTTCATGGACGGACAACCCGCGCGCCTCCCGTGGGTCCAGGCGATGCACGTGTGTCGGCGGTGGCACCGGCTGTTGCTCGCCGACCAAATCCTGTGGGGCCACATCCGACTCCAAGTGAGCTCATACAGGCCGCGTCGCGATCGGCTGCAGAACCAGCTGCGGCTCTCGGGTGGAGCGCCGTTGTTTCTCCAGGTCGAGTCATTCTACGAGGGGCGGCTGACCTGGGTGCGCGAGTTGCTCCCGGGGCATGCGGGGAGGTTACGGGAACTGGTGTTCAAGGCGCCCCTGTTACATTCATTGGAGGTTATCGAGGCGCTCGGGGCGCATGCGCTACCGCTGATGCGCAGGTTGCATGTGGACGCAATGCAATCCGGCGTCGACGAGGATGCCACAAAGGCGATGATACCCATGACGTTCTTCGATGGGCGAGCGCCTGCGCTTACTGATCTCGATTTGCGCAAAATGGACGTCGACTGGTCGTTTCTCCACGGGCTCACTCGTCTCCACCTCTCCGATCTCACAGACCAACCTTTCTGCGCGCTGCTGTCGGTGCTGGTCGCTTGCCCAGCCATGGTCACTCTGCACCTCGATGTCCATTTTGTGCACGTCGCTGAAGATCTGTCCGTCGTCCATCTCCCTCGTCTCGAGTATATGTGGTTGCGAGAGCACGCGTCGACTTGCGCGCGAGTCCTGCAGAGCATCGCCATTCCGCCCACTGCTCGTCTCCAGCTCCTCTCCGGCGGAATATTAGGCGGAGCTGACTTCCCGGAACTGCTCATGGAGATTCGCCGTCACACTCGCAGCTCTTCCGCGCCCCAGCTGCGGACACTGAGCCTGCAATCTATGGGGGATCCGCGCCAGTATCTCATGATCACGCTCTACACACAACTAGAGCTCCCCGAGATATTCCAGAACGACCACTGCCAGCTCTCGATCAACTCCCACCCACCCAACGAACTGGCGGCGTGTCAGATCGTCAACCGTCTGTTGAGTGCGGTCCCCGCCGAGAACATTGTGCTGCTCGATGCGCGGATGGCCGCGACCATCCAGCCCAGGACGTGGGTCACCGTCCTGGGCCAGCTGCCCAATCTGGAGTCCATCGCGTCCTTTGCCGATGCCGCGGCGGCCCACCTCTGCGGCGCAATCCGGCTGCTCGCCGCGCGCACTATCAGTCGCGTCCCCAGCACCTTGCGCCGCCTGCAGATCACGGTGCGGCGCAACTCGGAGAGGGAGCGGCTGGATGGCGAGATACGCGCGGCCGTCAACGCGCTCAAGGCCATGCTCGCGGAACTGCACGCGCGCGGCCGTCCGCTGCGTGAGCTGCAGATCGACGAGCCGCAGGGCGCGGCCTTTCCGCTGTCCCGTGCCGAATGGGAGGAGCTGTGCGGGATGGTGGGGACGTTGATCCGGGACGGTCGATCCTGGGATGCGCTTGCGGAGAAGAGGAAGCTCGGACGGCTCGTCGCGGAGCGGGATCAGTTCATGGCGGAGCTGGACCGAGAAATTGCTGCTGGTGACTTTGAAGATGACAGCCTGTGATCGAGAGAGAGAGCGTTCGAGAGAGTGAGAGGTGCCCTGACATTCTAGTTTCACAGGGATCAGCGGTGGCCAGGCTTTGGACGATCACTGTTTGCTACCTACCCTAATGGTCGCTTTCTAACGATCAATTGCGTCAAGCAGTTTCTTCAAGGTAGTTCGCCAAGGTCCGGTTACAAATTGCAATTGCTTTGAGGGTGAATGCATGGAATGTACTACTGTACCGAGCTGCGCGCGTAACTACTGCCTCCGTGCCCCGGAGGTCTGCCAGAACTGGCCACCAGGCAGTATTGGGATATCGGAGAACCAACGGTCGCGACCAAGGCTTTCACCAGGATAGTCCCGAGAATGCCCCAGCATTGGCCGCGGCCCAAGATATCCCTGCTTGTGAGGTTGGCGCTTCAGTTCGAAGTGAACGAGTCTAGACGCGTTATCACGGCAATCCAAGAGCTTGAAACAGATGTCGAGAGACGAATAGCTTGGGAAGGTTCCCGCGTCCCTTCAGGTGGAGTGTCGAGGGAGTGTCAAGGAGGTGTCATGCAGCTGCAAGAAATGGAGAGCGGGATACTTATGTCGGAATTCCGATTCCTGATGCGGAATATTTGGCGTCGGGGCGGCCACGACGGATTTTCCTGAAATGGCAAATATCGCGTTGGTCTGTAATATATGCACATGTAAGTAAATACCGCTAGGTAGTTTGTTGGCAGAGGCTGGAGATTAGATTACATCAGCACGTGCCGTCGACTTCTTCCCACCCGTCCATGTCCGCTGCGACACAAGCAATCAACTCAACGCTGTCAGTAGGTCGAACCGATCCTCAATCTTCCCCACATTCCAATCATCTTTTCATCTCCAGATCCCTCGCAGAGCGACGCGTCGCCATCAACGCATCTATCGCATGGCACTACTCCCAAATCGCAGACCTGAAAGCCCAAGCGAACGATCTGAACCCGGTCAACAAGCTGCACGATGACATTCTGAGGAAGATCTTCCACGAGGTGGCGTTCATGGACGGAGAACCCGCACGTCTTTCGTGGGCCCAGGCGATGCACGTGTGTCGGCGGTGGCATCGGCTCTTGCTCGTCGACCAAGTCCTGTGGGGGCACATCCGCCTCGAAGTGAGCTCATACAGGCCCCGTCGCGATCGGCTGAAGAACCAGCTGCGGCTGTCGGGTGGGGCGCCATTGTTTCTCCACGTCCAGTCGTTCTCGGAGGAGCGGCTGTTCTGGATGCGCGAGCTGCTTTCAGAGCATGCAGGGAGATTGCGGGAACTGGTGCTCAGGGTGCCCCTGTCGAATTCATTGGAAGTTATTGAGGCGCTTGGGGCGCATGCGCTACCGCTGATGCACAGGTTGCATGTGAACGCATTGAAATCCATTGCCGACGGGGCCACTACGCAGGTGATGATACCCACGACGTTCTTCGATGGGCGGGCGCCGGCGCTTACCGATCTCAATTTGCGCAAAATAGATGTCGAGTGGTCGTCTCTCCGCGGACTCACCCACCTTCACCTGTCCGATCTCACAGAACAACCATTCTCCGCGCTGTTGTCGGTTCTGGTCGCTTGCCCAGCCATGGTCACTCTCTACCTCGACGTTCACTTTGTTGACGCCGTCGGAGATCAGCCTGTCGTCCGTCTCCCACATCTCGAATCCATGTGGCTGCGCGAGCATGTGTCCACCTGTGCGCGAGTCCTGCGGAACATCACCATTCCGTCAACTACTCGTCTCCAGTTTCTCTCCGGTGGAATATCAGACGGAACTGACGCGTCGGACCTGCTCACTGAGATTCGGCGTCACACTCGCAGCTCGTCCGCTTCCCCACTTCAGACACTGAAGATCCAATCCATGGGGGATCCGCGCGAGTATCTCATGATGACGCTGTACACACAAACCGAGCTCCCCGAACTCTTTGGCAACGAACACAGCCAAATCTCGATCAACTCTCACCCATCTAGCGAACCGGCGGCGCGACAAATCGTCAAACACTTCTTGAAAGCGGTCCCGACAGGAAACATCCTGTCGCTTGATGGGCGGATGGGCCCGTCGATCCAGCCCAAGACGTGGGTCACCATCATCAGAGAGCTTCCCAATCTGCAGTCCATCTCGGTGTTTGCTGATGCCACGACGCCGCACCTCTGTGCCGCAATCCGGTTGCTCAGTGCCTCGGGTGGCACCGGCCGGGTCCCCAGCACGTTACGTCGGATCCAGATCTCGATCCAGTGCAACTCGGAGAGGGAACGGCAGAATGCCGAGATACGCGCGGCCGTCGAGTCGCTCAAGGCCATGCTGGCAGAACTATACGCGCACGGCTGTCCGCTGCGTGAGCTGCAACTCGACCAACTGCGCGCCGTGTTCTTCCCATTGTCCCATGCCGAATGGGAGGAGATGTGCGGGATGGTGGGGACGTTGATCCGGGACGGTCAGCCCTGGGATGCGCTTGCGGAGAAGAGGAAGCTCGCAAGGCTCGTCGCTGAGCGGGAGACGTTCATGGCGGAGCTGAACCGGGAAATTGCTGCTGGTGACTTCGAAGATGGCAGCCCCTGATCGAGAGAGAGCTTGATTGCGAGACGCCTTGCAATTAATACCAACGGCTCATCAGGGACGCAGGGATCGGTCCACTTTCACACTCATTGTAGGCTACCGGAGAGCATTTGACATCGCTGGAAATGGGAAAGACCTACCATGCCCAAATGCCTGAGCAATATCTGAGTTCCGCGGTGATGATCGCGTCCTTTCTTTGGAGGGGATTTTGTGCGGATGATAGGATGGTATTACATCTGAGAAATGTGCAGACAGCTCGCGAGTAGCTATGAGAGGCAGATCTAGATATCTCCCAAAGACAATTCCCTATCCTAACCCTAACCTTTCCGAGGCGCGTCAGTTGGTGTCGGACGAATCGTGACGCTGCTAGGCACAACTCGATCTTCACTGTGTGGTCACAATCCTCTCTTCGACGCTGTGACGTGCTCGGAAGCCATCAATGAAACCAACGTTATCTTACCTGCCGGAAGACATCATCTGTCTCATTGCACACATCTTCGTCAGCAGTGAGCCCGCGCGCGGATGGAAGGTATGGGGCGAAGAACAGAACGCGTATCGCTCGCTCTTTCCACTTTCCGAGGCCTGCAAGCGACTGCGCGAAAACCTCAAGCCGCTCCTGTTCAGAGCAATCCACAACTGGAACATAGATGAGAAGACGGTGTGGCCGAGAGCCATCTGGCCGCATGCGGTGTGCGTGCAATCCATTAGTCGTCGATCTTTTCGCGACTGACGAGGATCTCGCAGGGAGGTGAACCTCCGAGACCATGCTGTGCGGAATCTCAGAGTCCTAAAACTCACTGACGACGTCTACGCCGCGCTCTCCCACATGCCTCTGTTGACGACAGTGATTCTACGGTACAATGCGTCAGTGCCCTCGGACGCGCTCCGATGCGTCGGTGCTCTCTCAGGTCTGACCTCCCTTGAGATTCACCAAGCACGTCTCGACGGACCTGTCCCCTCGTCTCTCGACTTCCCGTCGCTGCAGAGGCTGCTCGTGTCCGTATCCGGGTTCCGAGGGATCGTGCGAGCGAGCGACATCGACTGCGCAACCGAGCGGGCGCATTGTGGAAAACTGCTGCGTTGTGTTGCAGCCAGATTGTGTTTCCTCCATGTCGGGCGACCTGTTGCCCGACGACTTTGGCGACATTCGCTGGCCACGTCTGCGGACCCTGACCATTTCTGAGCACACTCCCGCCACGTACTTGCCGGTGCCCGCGTTGATAGCCCAGATGCCGCAGCTTCAGAAGCTCCAGCTTCTGTATGCCGTGGACATGGCCCGCACCCCGGACGAGCTTCACCCGCCGTTCATATACGGTGATCCTGTCGACAAGACATTAACTTCTACCTTGTAGCGCGTCAGCCTGAATAAAAGAGTGGGCCTGTCCTGACCTCCCTTTCCTTTTCTAATCTCGCTGCGGACCACCCCATCTTCTCGCAGCTTCCACTGTCGCTTACTGCTCCTCATGTACACGCGAGGAGAGATCCGTGCATAGGTATTGTGCTTCCGCTTTGCCTCATCTCTCATCAATCAGTGAGCAAGATGTAACGTGCGGCCGGAAACGGATGCCGGCTTTACCGTAGCACGTTGCGTGGAGCATCAGTGGACTGAGTTGGAAGATCAAGCCAATTAGGCCGCATGGCAGACATGTCCCCAAGTCACATCTCCAAGGTCTCCACACCAGCGTCTTTGATGATTTGGACTTGCTTAGTGCCGGATGGGAAACCTCTGTGTGATCATTGTGAGAGAAGCAAGTAATAAGGCCTGTATGTCTTTGCACGATATACGGTCCCGCTTAGAATGCAGACACCTCTCTTCAGGGCTGCATGCATTGGCGGCGGGATACGCCGGAGTCCTGGATTCCTGCTGGGTTTGGTCTCGTTTGAGATGGGTTGGCGTGGGACTCGGACCCTCGACCTCGTCGTTCTTAACGATGTTAACACGGCAAATGATGCAACATGCGTGGGTTATCTCTCTACTACCATGAGGATTCATACTGACGTCGATTGAGCGTTAAACGGCGCCGTCGTCGTCGAGAGGGGGATTTGAGTTTTGCTGGAGTTCCGCTTGGCCAGGTCTACATAAGTCCCGCGGCAAATTCTGGATTCCCCTCTCTTCATATCCTTGGTAGTTTCATAGACTTACAGGCACCTCGTTGACAATCGATGAATCCGAGGCCTTCTATGAGTCTCCAGAGCTGACCAGATATCACCTTCGGTGTGCTGGACTCATGTGCTTACTCGGTGTGCCGGCCGCAGAATCAGCTTCTCTGTCGTCTTTTCAATGGGTGGCCATTACGAGGATCATGTCAAACGTCACTGAAAACCCTGGAACGCACTCTTAAAATCAACTTCTTTCCCAACTTCGGTAATAACTTCATGAGATCTCTTGTTTCATAATGGGTAAGGTCGTACCTTGAACCCATCCCGTGTGAGTTTATGTGGTCTACTGACCTTATGGCCCTCAGCAAGTCCCCATAATCAATCTTCGGTCCGCTCGTTCCCGTGCTGCATAAAAAGAGGTGAAGTGTGTTCACGCCAGTTACTCCGATGGATTTGTCTTTCGATGAGGATGACTTTTTGTGCATTCCTCTGATGTTTCAGAGCTTTGATTCCTTTGAAGACGCGCTGAAATATGTGTGTGACTATCATGTATCCCTCTCATTGGACAGAGCACAGACTGACCAGGCTGTGGTGTCTAGGAAGAGATCGCTCATGCACGCCATCCTGCTAGTCCCAGGGCTCAACATGTAGCGTCGCCTGCTGTCACACCTGCTCACACCGTTTCTCCCACGCCGGGCGCTCCTTCGACTTCTCCCTTGACTTCACCCTCTGCGGTTCATCCGAACACAGAGGTGGCAACTATAAGCCCTGCAAAGACCGCTGCGAAGCTATCCACGGCAGCGGCGATTACGACGACAGGATCGGAGCGGCGTCGGCCTGTGCACCCCCGATCACAATCATCATCGTCCCTGCATCCGTCTGGGCCTTCCCTACTCGTGCGCGTGGAATCGCACAGGACGCCCGGCCCTGCAGGGCCCATGATGGACGATGTGGGCCGATACCCGATGCACGGAGAGCTACATACCGCACTTGGGACCATCGGCAGTGACATTTTTAACGGTTCGTAATCGCCGCCCATTTACATACACCGTTTCACTGACTAGTTGAATGCACGTAGCGGGCTACATGTCCGCAAATCTTGTCTGAGCATTTCCGCCCTATTCGTGATGTGGCCTGATCGACATGGACAGGTCGTTGGAAATCGAGGCAACAGAAACAGGCCGCCCGTTGTAATCCCTGTTTTACTTGACCTCGGTAGGGCGAGGACTTACCTATCTTCGCTCGCACTGATCAATGTATACAGGCTCATCATCCACGTAGAGTTTCTCCTGACCGTTCTCGGATTTCACTGACGACCTTTTACACAGATTTTTCTTCAATGCGGGGTGCAAAATCGAAGGCGGGAAAGAACTGATCAGTCTTTCCGGGATGAATCCACTTGTAAATTACTCTGTGGATTACACAGACAACGGCGCAGACGTTTCGCATGAATACGAGCAGTCAGGCCTCGAAGTTAATTTTTACAACGATGAATGGGCGAGTGAGTGTCTCGCTCGGATTCCTGGTTATAAATTGACTCAAATTGCATTCAGAATACTTCGCAATAAGGGACCAGTTCTTTTTCCCCCCTTTGAATTGTCGCGATCTCCTCAAAGATCGCAGTCTGACGCCCTTCCAAGCTTTCCACCATTGGACAACAATGCACTTTGGATCGGCCTACAACGTATCAGCTAATTTGCACGGTCAATCCGTCCACGTTTCCGGCGCCCTTGGACTGGGACCTGAGTGCGTAGTCCTTCAAAAAACCTTCCTCATCTCTAATTCTCTTTGGAGTATCGTTAAAGAGGTGCCGCACACAGTGCCGAAACCAAGGCTTCCGGTGAGTAATCGTCCGCTTGACTCTCCGAATAGATTGGTTGACACATTCTCTGCGCCAGTCATTCCTAGAACAGCTTAAAAGAGCCATTGTCAGACTCCATGTTTTCTCATCCCTGGATGACATACTGACATAGCACAGTCAGACTGCGTGATGACCGTCATATTCGGCGAACAGCATGGGTAGGTCTATTCCGTTAATGTATATCTCGTTTAATTCGAACTGAAACGGGCTCCCTAGCGCGGTATACTTTGGGCCAAGACCCATGCTAGGGCGTTCTCGGGACCATCCTGGCGAACACCTTGGTTCTTGGTTCTCCGATATCCCAGTACTGCCTGGTGCCCAGTTCTGGCAGATCTTCGGTGCACTGCGGCAAGTGAACGGCATCGACTATTCATCGCTTGAGTCGAAGATTCTTTTTGACAATGGCGGGTTCTGTCTGCCCGGAGCATCATCGCCTTTGCTGATATGAGCATACCAGGATGCAATTGTTCATATTTTGGGAAAGCATTCGTCAAGGCCATCTACGATGCAATCAGCAAGGATTGTATACGTGACGAACGCGGCCGTTGGCCATTATGGCTCATTCCTGACACGGTCCAATCCGTTGACCTCAAAATCAAGATCGGCCTTGGAGATAACATAGACTCGGCTTCAGTGTTCTACCCCCAGATACTACACATCGGTACAATCACCTCGGTGCTGATAGGAGGGCAAATGCGCAATTTTCACGTCGGCGCGTTTCAGGAGAAGCACAACGAAACTGATTGTGACATTTTGGGATTGGTTAGACAAATTCCCTCCGCTTCTCGTGTTCTGAGTTCTAGACAGACGTGTCTGATGAGCCTGCAACTTGTCTTCAAGTTCCCCCGAGAGGACCGGCGATCGGTCTCATGGAGGGAGAAATCTTGGAACTCATCTTTGGGAATGCCTGATTTGATGACACTCAACCCAGAGGAAACGGCGTTTCTGAGGTATGGCCGGGCCGGATAGTTACGCGCGCTGCTCGGTACAATACATCACAAGTTGACATGTTACCTTTCAAAAAAAAACACTCTCGGAACTAATCTTGGCTGCGTGCATGAGGTCGAAGGAAACCAGGAGTAAAGTTGTATACAATAGCGGCGGCAGTGAACGTTGGACTGATCAAAGAAAACTCTAAGGCCCTGATCGGCAATCGCAGGAATTTTCCGCAGGTCCGCAGAAACAGAAAGATCACAAGCAAGTAACACCTTGCTATGGAGGCCCGTAACAGCATGCTGATATGCGATGACTTCTCACTTATAAGCAACGACTTGAATTATTGATCGGTGATCTATTGACTTTCGTCACATGTTCGTGAATCAGGACCCCATGCACCAGGCCTTATGAAGTTTGTTTTCCCGAATCTAGCTTAGAGACTACTCAGGTGGATACAGTTTATTCACTTAATAAGGCAGTAAGGCCAACAAGCGGCAGGGTCCGGTCCCCTGTTTGGGAGTCATGTGATCAGAAGGCTGTGCTAGAGACGCCAAGAAATGCATTTCTGGGCGTCTCCAGCACAGCCCCTCAATCTTGTATTTAGCTTGCAGGTGGCCTGCTGGTCCTTCAATTCAACAAATAGTTTTGGGATAATTAGGGAACTAGCTTAGAGACTATGTAGGTAGATAATTGCACATTGCTATTGTACCTTTTAGTGTTGGTATTGATTCTAGAGAACACAAGAAGGGTCTGAAATAAAGTCAAAACTATCATTCATTGGCATTAGCAAGCTCCTCGGGGCCTTTCTCATCCAAAAACCATGCAAATAGCTCATCTTTGTCATACAGCATCTGCTTGTCAACTTTGGGCTTAATGTTGTTGATAAGAGTACTGAGGCAAGCGTTATGTGCATCGTCTGGTAGGTAAATTGTGTCAGATTTGATTGATAAGTGAAAATGACGCATAATGACACATACCAATGCCATTGCCACCATTGACACCACCCATGTAACAGTTCTTTCCAAGTATTCCCTCTCCACCTCAAAGTTCTTTGTATCTGGGTAGGAGTGGAATTATTTCCTGCATATTTTTGTCTCCCTGACAAATTGTATAACCCCATCTCTTGTCTGCACTCTGATTCACCCCAGAAATATCATCAAGCTGCTTGCACTGGTATACAAGTTGCAAATAAACATCCCAACAGCTCTGCCATGTAACTGCAGGGGATCTGATCTTGGTGTATATTTTGGAGATCACGTTATTGAAGTTGGATGTACGGGCAACTCCTGCCAGCCCGAAGGAAGAGAGCACACAGCAGACAACAACCTCACATGAGTCTGAGTACAGAGGGGGATCCTTAGAGACTATCAAATACAAGGGAGGTATACTACTCACCTGAGCACAGAGGGGGATCCTTAGAGAACGATTCAAGGATCCATGTGCCCAGGTGTCACATTATATAGTCAGCTGTGACAAGTGACTGATGATGATGGGATATCATTGCCATGGAACAATGGCAGATGACAAGTAGATGATGACAAACCCAGATAAGGTAGTGAGTGGCTCAGAGGGGCCAGTGATGGCCAGCTCCTGAGACACCAACAGTGGAAGGCCACACTGGAGGAGCCCAGTGGCCAGGCCAGTGCCGGGCCAGCCAGTGGAGACATTGGAGGCAAGGACCAATGCCCAACTGGGAAGAGGGGTGGTGCAGATGAGCGCAAGGGCATCTGGTACAAGCCTGTACAGCAGTAGACCACATCCGCGGGAAGAAGGCCAAAGTGAAGAGGGAGGAGTGCGTACGGCAGTAGCACTCCCTGGTGCAAGGAATCGGGCTTGGCTAGACCGCTTGCGGGGATTTGAGGGAGATGGCCGGGGAAGGAGGAAGAGGGTGGATATCGGCATGGATGGAGATGAGGATCGGAGGAGGAGGAGGAGGCTGGGTGATCGACAGGTGAGCAGGCACGGGTCAGCAGAGAGGGCGCAGTGGGTCACGTGCATGGACACGTGCCCAAGGAGTGCAGCGTCCCCTGACATTGGACAGGACCAGCTCAAAGATCTGGAGATTGGCTGGTGCATACACCTCCCGCACCATGTCAATTGCTGCAGGATCTATGCGGACCTGCTGATGTGTTCAGTCAAAAATTGAGGGAGATGGAATGGATATGAATGCTTGCCTTGAAATCCAGGATTGCGTAGTCCTCTGGAAATTAGAACATATGGATGGGGACACCATGAGGCAGTACCTCATTTCAATTGTGCCTTTTACAAGTGTTATTTACTCAATAGCAATAGGCGTCAAGTTCAGCTTGAAGCCAGGGAATAAATATCCATTGAAAAATCAATCTGTATTAGAAATGAGGACAGGAAGTGGTCAGTTAAGGGAGAACACAAACACTTCCAACAGAATCTTGGGATCATACCATCCCTGGTTGATCCCAACATCCAGGAGATTCTCGAATGCGGGTGTGAATCAATGTCGCATCTGGCTCCAGGTAATTTCCAATATAACATTCTCCTTTTCTCACATCCACTGATGTTGCAGCTTCACATGAAGATTGGGATCTTGCTGTTGTCAAATCAGGGTGTGTCCATTTGCCACAGTGGTATTCTTGGTGTGCGGGTCACTCTGTGTCACTAATGGCATGACTAAGGAGCAACAGTAACAGAGAATTGTCAGGGGACGCTGTGCTCCTTGGGCATGTGACCATGCACGTGACCCACTGCGCCCTCTCTGCCGACCCGTGCCTGCTCACCTGTCGATCACCCAGCCTCCTCCTCCTCCTCCGATCCTCATCTCCATCCATGCCGACATCCGCCCTCTTCCTCCTTCCCCTGGCCATCTCCCTCGAATCCCCGCAAGCGGTCTAGCCAAGCCCGATTCCTTGCACCAGGGAGTGCTACTGCCGTACGCACTCCTCCCCCTCTACTTCGGCCTTCTCCCCGCGGATGTGGTCTACTGCCGTACAGGCTCGTACCAGATGCCTTGCGCTCATCCGCACCACCCCTCTTCCCAGTCGGGCATTGGTCCTCGCCTCCGATGCCTCCACTGGCTGGCCCAGCACTGGCCTGGCCACTGGGCTCCTCCAGTGTGGCCTTCCACTGTTGGTGTCTCAGGAGCTGGCCGTCACTGGCCCCTCTGAGCCACTCACTATCTTATCTGGGTTTGTCATTATCTACTTGTCATCTGCCATTGTTCCATGGCAGTGATATCCCATCATCATCAGTCACTTGTCACAGCTGACTATATAGTGTGACACCTGGGCACATGGATCCTTGAATCGTTCTCTAAGGATCCCCCTCTGTGCTCAGGTGAGTAGTATACCTCCCTTGTATTTGATAGTCTCTAAGGATCCCCCTCTGTGCTCAGACTCATGTGAGGTTGTTGTGTGCTGTGTGCTCTCTTCCTTCGGTGAAATGCTGAGGGCGTGCTCACAAGTGAATCTACTATGAAAGTAAACCCAAATATAAAACACGTTCACACTCCTCGTAATCAGCTTCTCAGTGTGTGAAAGATGCGAGGGCTTCGGGGTGGACAGAGCACCAGTATCACAACTCTCAATAGACACAGATCCAATAGTCGCGGAGACGAAGTCGACGACAAGAATATATATATAGTAAACAGTGGTATCTCAACCAATATCTCCTATACGAACACAACCAACACTAATCCAATCCACAACCAACAATATAACAAGTCAGAGCTTAATACGAAGTATTAAGATCCCTTGTAGCGACAGCGTCTAGATGGTGACGCAAAACCCAAATATCAAGTCGACGCACTGCCAACCGATACAACCAATATACTGAGTCGACGCACTGCCAACTAGTAGAACCAAAATGTCAAGTCGACGCACTGCCAACTGACACAACCAAAAGTACTGAGTCGACGCACTGCCAACTAGTAAACCAAAATGCCGCGTCGACGCACTGCCAACTAACAGCCAATATCCAATGTCCAAAACCCGAGCACAACTTGTCGACGCACTGCCAAGCAAGAAGTGTGGAACCAAAGTTCTCAAGTCGACGCACTGCCAACTGACCAAAACAACCCGAGCACAACTAGTTGACGCACTGCCAAGCTAGAGGTGTGGAACGATCTCAACAAAGCCCGAAGGCGACGACACTAAATGCCGCGACTAAACCAGATGCGGCGAATCCGACTTTCTGATGTCTCAACTCAAACTCAAATCACAGTAGCTACAAGTGCTCAGGGAGCAACTCGTCGCGACCGGGCAGGGGTAGCAGAACTTCTTAGGGTGGAATCACGCGGCACGCAAATTGTACAAAACAATCTGATATGAGAGTGATTCACAGTCCGGGGGAAAGCTTCTTAATACAAAGAAACGTCGTGCTACTTATACTGTCTACGACGATGCTTAGTAAAGTCCTGTACAACTGCATAGTAGCTACGCTATCTAAGATCGGTTGCCTTTTAGGGTAATTGAAAAGTTGAACGATCGGACAGGACCTGAGTGATCAGGACCCCGCCCCGTAGCCCATATGATACTTTTGATGTGGGCCAACTCACTGCGTCATACTTTTGGAATACGACGTGTTGGATTGGCCAACGGGTATGCCTTGGCATGTGAGACCAACGTGGGCGCCCCAAGAAGCCGTATGGCCCTAGGCACGCCAGTCGTCCCTCACATGGTTCGGTTCACGGATCTAGCCGTGCCGATTTTAGTGTGTTTAGGTATGGGCGCGACTCGCCGTGACACTTAGAAGTGTCACCGCGACGCGTCCACAATGTCCCGTGATCGAATGGATCCTGACATGTGACAAGTCGTCGTCGTGGCATGATCTGAGGAAACGTCCAACCCAAAACCGGGAGTTGCCGCGACAAGATGGTTTAAGTCTTGTAACGCCAAGTCCTGTCCAGTAGTAGTTCTATTATTGAGAACGTCGCGCATTGCTCAGCCCTTCAGCCCAAGTTCCCATCCGCAGAGAATGACCCTTTTTGAGAAGTCGACGCAACGACAGATCCCTTTCGGGGGAATGGTCGCGGTCCAAGCGTTCGTCACTAATGGCCCTGAGCCTGGTGTAGACTCTTAAGACCAGTTCCACAGTAGTGGTCTGACTGCCTTGCTATCGTCGACACTATCCACAGTCGTCGACTGGGCAGTAGACCCATAAGTCCTACTGAGCGCAACACTGTCAACCGCGACACGATACACCGAGTGATTCAAGAGTAAACTCTGTAAAAAGCGCAAAAATACGCCCTTACAGAGTTGGTGCAGAGCGCGTCTGGTAGCCAGCCTATCATCGGGCTGGCAGGAGTTGCCCTTACAGCAGAACGGTTCCACCCCATTGGACTCCACCCAGCCGAGCGTCAGGACAGTGGCAGTCTAGGGCGCCCTGTTGCTGCGCACTGGTGTGGCCTCCAAGCCGGCTGGCGGCTAGTGGTTGTGTAATTGGTGTGTCCCTGTCGAGTCCCTGGTAGTGTTAACTGGTCCACTCCATACATCGCATACGCATCACCCACGAACCCCCGGTCATCCCCCCCCTCCTCTTCCTCCCCCCTCATCTCCCTGGCCTACTGCCGTCGAGGCTCGTGCCATCCGACTCCGACCTCCTTCCCCCTCGTTCCCCTCCTGGATTTGGGACTTGGCCTCCCTCTCTCTCCCCCCTCCTGGCTGGATGTTGGTTCTGTGGATTGGTGGATTTGGATGGCTGAGCTGGGTTGGATGAGTTGGTGGTGGGATGACTGTCATATGTGCCCTGGTCTCTGGTTGGGTCCTTGTGCCCTAGATATGTGATTCTGCTCCTCTCCTATGCTGCTGAACACATTCTACCCAACCTGCTCTACTCCCCCTCCCCCATGGGCACCTCTGTGAAGCTGGACCCCCTGGTCTTGTGTTCCCTGCCTTCCCACCTGCCTCTACCCCTCTCCACCTCCTAGCTGGCTGCAGCCCTGCTCTGCCTGGGTGCCCTCTGTGTGCCCTCTCTCCATCCCTCCCATGGACTCCCCTCCCCCTGCCCCCTGCCAGCCCCACTCCCCCAGAGCATTTTCGAGTTTTTGGGGCAGTGGCAGTGCTCGAGTTTCCCACGCTGTCAAAACCCGGCCATCCTCGGGCTTGCTGGCAGTGGCAGTGTCTAGTCACCCGGCTGCTCTCTCAGGTGACCCCCATCACCCCCGCCCTCTGTGGCAGTGCCCCGCTCCTTGCGCAGCCACCGCGCCCCGCCCCCTGCGCAGCCACCCCGCTCCCCGCCCTCTGCACAGCCACCTGCCTCTCCCCTTTGGCAGAGTTTGGTCCGCTCTCTGCTCATGTGACCTCATGGCTGTGCTCTGGATCCCCACACTGCCACCTGTCTCCAGTGGCAGTGCACTGGCATAGCCACAGTGACAGTGCACTGGCATAGCCACAGTGACAGCCCATTGCCTTTGAGGCAGTCTGCTGTCTTGTGTAGCCACACTGTTGGTGCTCTGCCCCTAGGGCAGTCTGCCACTCTGTGAGCTGCTGCTGTGTGCTGTGTCATGTGCAGGGAGTCATGTGATGCATGGCTGCGCTATGTCACATGCATATCACGTGACCGCCCTCAGGTCATGTGACCGACATGTCACGTGATCCATGGCTGCGCCCCCAGGCACCATTTCTGCTGCGCTTTTTCGTGGCTGTGATGGGACCCTAGGCTTGGGTTCCTCTGTGGTGTGATGGATCTGGCATTGCTTGCTCATAGCTGCCGCCCTCTGCTGGGTCCAGGTCTTTCCTCATCGTGCGCTGGGCCATCTGGCCTCCTCTCTTCTGCTGCTTCCTCGTGTCCTTGGGTCCGTCCTCCTATGCCGCCAGTCTCTCCCTGCGCATCCAGGCCTACTCCTTGGTTGCTGCCCACGCTCGTCGTGCGTTATTGCAGGTGGGCTGCAACCTTGAAGGGGGGATTGTCCATCGTCCCCCGTGACCGTCCATTGGTCACTTGGCACCTGCTTCTCTGCAGGATCGGTTCGGATGGAGCATCCCTTGCTCTATCCCCAGCTGATTGTGATGTTGTACCTGGTGCCGTGGACCCTCTCCCTCCATCCCATCTCCTCTGCACTCCTCCCTCTGTTCCCATTGTCTCTGCCTTGGTCCATGACCCCTCCCCCCGCTGTCTCGCCTCTACGCACGTCTCCACGGGCATATACCCCCGGCTTTGGCCGGCGGAACATCCGCTACGTGCCTCCGCTGTTGTGCGAGGCCTTGCGCTAACCGTGTGATGGCTGGCCCCCTTGGCCGGCTTGTTACGTCTTGAGCGTCAGAGCAGTCGGTCCTTCTGTTGGCTCTGTTCCCCCTACGTGTGTCTCCATGGGCGTATACCCCCGGCTTCGGCTGGCGGAACATCTGCTACGTGCCTCCGCTGTTGTGCGAGGCCTTGCACTAACCATGTGATGGCTGGCTTGCTGTTGTGGCCGGCCTGTTACACCTTGGCTCCGGACATCCACGGCAGGTGGTAGACCCGTGCATCACCCGCCGACCCCATCTACTAGGTGGCTGGTGCACGCAACATCCCTCCCTTCCGCATCCGACACGTGCCTTTTTTTTCGGTTGCCTCTATGGCTGCTGTGCAGCCGGGACAACCGATTGGTGCGTCGAGGGCGCCGCACCTTGAAGGGGGGATGAAGGGGCAATGGAGGGAAGCGACCGCAAGGGAGCTTCTCTCTATAAGTGGGACGACTTCAGGAGTCCTGGTTGCCCTTACAGGCACCTGAGCTTCTGGGAGGAGCAGAGTGACGACCACCCTGACCATAGGGAAGGTCGTGGTACAGCCACACATGCATAGCTGTGGGGCTGGACCTTAGAGCGGGACAGCGACCGACCACTAGGTCATAGGGAGCTGACACGCAGCTCAGTGATGACGCACCGGACGACAGAGTGGGACGCGCAGCATACCACTGGAGTAGTGCGTCCTTCTTTTTCCCCCACCCACCCTCCCTTTTCTCCCATCTGCTTCGCGCTGCCTACGTCGGGACGCCGTAGCTTGAAGGGGGGATGATGTCAGGGGACGCTGTGCTCCTTGGGCACGTGACCATGCACGTGACCCACTGCGCCCTCTCTGCCGACCCGTGCCTGCTCACCTGTCGATCACCCAGCCTCCTCCTCCTCCTCCGATCCTCATCTCCATCCATGCCGACATCCGCCCTCTTCCTCCTTCCCCTGGCCATCTCCCTTGAATCCCCGCAAGCGGTCTAGCCAAGCCCGATTCCTTGCACCAGGGAGTGCTACTGCCGTACGCACTCCTCCCCCTCTACTTCGGCCTTCTCCCCGCGGATGTGGTCTACTGCCGTACAGGCTCGTACCAGATGCCTTGCGCTCATCCGCACCACCCCTCTTCCCAGTCGGGCATTGGTCCTCGCCTCCGATGCCTCCACTGGCTGGCCCAGCACTGGCCTGGCCACTGGGCTCCTCCAGTGTGGCCTTCCACTGTTGGTGTCTCAGGAGCTGGCCGTCACTGGCCCCTCTGAGCCACTCACTATCTTATCTGGGTTTGTCATTATCTACTTGTCATCTGCCATTGTTCCATGGCAGTGATATCCCATCATCATCAGTCACTTGTCACAGCTGACTATATAGTGTGACACCTGGGCACATGGATCCTTGAATCGTTCTCTAAGGATCCCCCTCTGTGCTCAGGTGAGTAGTATACCTCCCTTGTATTTGATAGTCTCTAAGGATCCCCCTCTGTGCTCAGACTCATGTGAGGTTGTTGTGTGCTGTGTGCTCTCTTCCTTCGGGCTGGCAGGAGTTGCCCTTACAAGAATTGAACAGAGAGATTAGAAAAGAGAGCATACATCCAAGAGCTTCAATAATGTTGAGGTAATATTTCAAGATAAGCCTCAGGTTGCTATTATTCCACCAAATTTTCATCCAGTGGATGAGACCAAGAAAGGGATCAATCCCTGAGTGAAGCGCCAGACCAAACTTATACTTCCATTTATCATGTTAATCCATAGCCCAGAGATCATTTGCTCTAGCAGCCCAGAAGCACTTTCAACGAAAATGGCCACAGCGGCGCTCACAAACCTGGGCCCATCTACCCATCTTTGATATCCGCTTTGTGGAGGCGGGGTTGCCATCATTCACAACCCCATGGCAACAGGTAAAACCGTCAAGGACACCAACTCCATCCGCCACACCTTTCTTAATGAAGAGTTGATTGAATATTCCGGTTTGCATTTATTTATTTGAGTGTATTTTTGCTCAAGGAATCTGCAGGAGACAACAATGAGTTGTTTGTCAAATTTATCAACAATGCGAGTGCAGTTACAGTCTGCTCCATTGGTCCTGACTCTGTACATTATCCTGTTGCAATATTTTTGTGCTTCATGCAGCACATTCAATACGAGAAATCCAAGGGCTTGGTATTCCTTTCTGACCTGCAAGGTTTGTTTCCTCTAATATCATCGACTCTCACTGATTTATCCACAGGTTTGCTGATGTGTTTGAGCAACCTCAGATCATGACATCTCCGTAAGATCTATTATCTCCCACGGATGATCTAACATTATCTTATTGGACTGGTAGGGAACTCAAGCAGGGCCTATTTGGAGGTGGAAACATTGGTTCTTTTTTCAAGAAGTTCCCGAGCCAACATTGAGCTCACAATACCGCCAATTCTTCCAGCTGTTGTCCCTTGCTTAGTTTAGTTTTTCTGTGCTCTACAATAGTGACATGCAAGCCAATCTCTCCATGAACTGCTGTATCTTGGATGGACACACAGCGTTCAAAGTTCGACTTTTGGCACGTGCAGTCACAATCAGTCACATCCCTTCCTCCATCCCGGGCAGCACTTTATCAAGATACTGTGACAATCGACAAGAAATAATGTCGAAAAGAGAAGTAAATTTGAAGACTGGAGAATACAACCAAGTAGCTACAGTATTTATACCCAAATCCAGTCTGAGTCATATCTACAACTAATGAGTCATAAGGCTATGTACCGCATGGAGCACTGGTGATGGGTTGTAGTAGAACCTTCCAGAGCATATGTTGTGCAGCCTTAAATCAATAAAGATGATTCCCCAGACCCCGAGCCCAGACCATCAGGTGCCGTGATCCGCGATAAGATAATCTGTGCCAAGATAAGATAAGATTGTTGACGATGATAGGCTGGCTACCAGACACGCTCTGCACCAGCTCTGTAAGGGCGTATTTTTGCGCTTTTACAGAGTTTACTCTCGAACCACTCGGTGTATTGTGTCGCGGTTGACAGTGTTGCGCTCAGTAGGACTTAAGGGTCTACTGCCCAGTCGACGACTGTGGATAGTGTCGACAATAGCAAGGCAGTCAGACCACTACTGTGGAATTGGTCTTATGGGTCTACACCAGGCTCAGGGCTATTAGTGACAAACACTTGGACCGCGACAATTCCCCAAAAGGGATCTTTGTTGCGGCGACTTCTCAAAAGGGTCATTCTCTGCGGATGGGAACTTGGGCTGAAGGGCTGAGCAATGCGCGACGTTCTCAATATTACAACTACTACTGGACAGGACTTGGCGTTACAAGATTGAACCGATCTTGTCGCAGCAACTCCCGGTTCTGGGTTGGACGTTTCCACAGATCGTGCCACGGCAACGACTTGTCACATGTCAGGATCCATTTGATCACAGGACATTGTGGACGCGTCGCGGTGACACTTCCAAGTATCACAGCGAGTTGTGCCCATACCCAAACACACTAAAAACGACACGGCTAGATCCGTGAACCAAACCATGTGAGGAACGTCTGGCGTGCCTGGGGCCAAACAGCTTCTTGGGGCACCCATGTTGGACTCACCCGCCAAGACATACCCATTGGCCAATCCAGCACGTCGTATTCCAAAAGTATGACGCGGTGGGTTGGCCCACATCAAAAGTATCATATGGACTATGGGGCGGGGTCCTGATCACTCAGGACCTGTCCGATCATTCAACTTTTCATTACTCTAAAAGGCAACCGATCTTAGATAGCGTAGCTACTATGCAGTTGTACAGGACTTTACTAAGCATCGTTGTGGACAGTATAAGTAGCACGTCGTTTCTTTGTATTAAAAAGCTTTCCGCCGGACTGTGAATCACTCTCATTTCAGATTGTTTTGGACAATTTGCGTGCCGCGTGATTCCACCCTAAGAAGTTCTGCCACCCTTGCCCGGTCACGATGAGTTGCTCCCTGAGCACTTGTAGCTACTGTGATTTGAGTTTGAGTTGAGATATCAGAAAGTCGGATTTGCCGCTTCTGGTTTAGTCGCGGCACTCAGTGTTGTTGCCTTTGGGCTTTGTTGAGATTGTTCCACACCTCTAGCTTGGCAGTGCGTCAACTAGTTGTGCTCGGGTTGTTTTGGTCAGTTGGCAGTGCGTCGACTTGAGAACTTTGGTTCCACACTTCTTGCTTGGCAGTGCGTCGACAAGCTGTGCTTGGGTTTTGGACATTGGATATTGGCTGTTAGTTGGCAGTGCGTCGATGCGGCATTTGGGTTTTACTAGTTGGCAGTGCGTCGACTTAGTATCTTGGTTGTATTGGTTGGCAGTGCGTTGGCTCAATGTTTTGGGCTTTGCGTCACCATTTGAATGCTGTCGCTACAAGGGATCTTAATACTTTGTACTAAGTTCTGACTTGTAATATCGTTGGTTGTGGTTGGATTAGTGTTAGTTTTGGCTGTATAGGAGATATTGGTTGAGACACCATTGTTTGCTATGTATAAATTCTTGTCGTCGACTTTGTCTCCCGCGACTATTAGATCTGCATCTATTGAGAGTTGTGATACTGGTGCTCTGTCCACCCCAGAGCCCTCGCATCTTTCACACACTGAGAAGCTGATTACGAGGAGTGTGAACGTGTTTATATTTGGGTTTACTTTCATAGTAGATTCACCTGTGACCGTGCCCTCAGCATTTCACTGGGAGAGGCAGCAGCAAGGTAGCAGGAAGGGAGCTTGTGTTCTCACTTCTCCTTACAGACTTGTGGGATTGGAGAGGGAGCAGGGTGTATGTCTATTGCTTCAACTGTTGCGGAGTGGAGGGAATTGGATTCATCATACAAACAGGAGAAATGATTATGTGAAGCAAACGAGGGCATACTACTCACTCATTACTGAGGGGAAAACCAAACAATAGACCGTGCAGCAACAAACAAGGACAATAGGAATAAAAAGTACAATAGCCATGACAGAACAATAGGAACAATGGCACCACCTGCCATTAAATAGACGTGCTTGGCGTGGCAGTCCGGGCCGCTGCGCGTGACAGCTAACAGGTCACATGAGTGTGATCACATGCCAGATCTCAGGCTGATTGGTCTGGAGCAGGGGCTCCCTTGACACGAGTGGAATGTCTGTGAAACACTTCATCCAGCCACGCAAGACCAATCAAGATTGATGTGTGCATGGGAATCGGTGTGTCCACTGAGAACAGTGACAAGGTGTAGAAAACAACTGCAAGGAGAGCAGTGTAGACAGCAGTGCATTGTTGGAGTGCACAGGTATGACATAACATATGGATCAACACATTGGTGGGTGCGCCGGGTGTGTATGAGGCCCAGCATACTGATGAATATGGTCAAATACAAGATGGAATACACAATTTATGCTACTGAATCAGGAAGGTATGGAGGCCCACAACAGCATGCTAATAAGCAATGGCTTCTTACTTATAAGCGACGACTTGAATCATTGATCAGTACTCTATTGAGTTTTGTCACATGTTTGTGAATCAGGACCCCATGCACCAGGCCTTATGAAGTTTGTTTTCCAGAACCTAGCTTAGAGACTACGTATGTAGATACAGTTAATCAAGTGTATCTGTCATAGTTCGGCTGCTTTTCATCTTATCGTTGAAATGCTGAGGGCGCGCTCACAAGTGAATCTACTATGAAAGTAAACCCAAATATAAACACGTTCACACTCCTCGTAATCAGCTTCTCAGTGTGTGAAAGATGCAAGGGCTTTGGGGTGGACAGAACACCAGTATCACAACTCTCAATAGACGCAGATCCAATAGTCGCGGAAGACGAAGTTGACGACAAGAATTTATATATAGTAAACAATGGTGTCTCAACCAATATCTTCTATACGAACGAAACCAACACTAATCCAATCACAACCAACAATATAACAAGTCAGAGCTTAATACGGAGTATTAAGATCCCTTGTAGCGACAGCATCCAGATGGTGACGCAAAGCCCAAGTATACTGAGTCGATGCACTGCCAACTAGTAGAACCAAAATGTCAAGTCGATGCACTGCCAACTGACACAACCAAAAGTACTGAGTCGACGCACTGCCAACTAGTAAAACCCAAATGCCGCATCGACGCACTGCCAACTAACAGCCAATATCCAATGTCCAAAACCCAAGCACAGCTTGTTGACGCACTGCCAAGCAAGAAGTGTGGAACCAAAGTTCTCAAGTCGACGCACTGCCAACTGACCAAAACAACCCGAGCACAACTAGTCGACGCACTGCCAAGCTAGAGGTGTGGAACGATCTCAACAAAGCCCAAAGGGCGACGACACTAAATGCCGCGACTAAACCAGATGCGGCAAATCCGACTTTCTGATATCTCAACTCAAACTCAAATCACAGTAGCTACAAGTGCTCAGGGAGCAACTCATCGTGACCGGGCAAGGGTGGCAGAACTTCTTAGGGTGGAATCACGCGGCACGCAAATTGTCCAAAACAATCTGAAATGAGAGTGATTCACAGTCCGGCGGAAAGCTTTTTAATACAAAGAAACGACGTGCTACTTATACTGTCCACAACGATGCTTAGTAAAGTCCTGTACAACTGCATAGTAGCTACGCTATCTAAGATCGGTTGCCTTTTAGAGTAATGAAAAGTTGAATGATCGGACAGGTCCTGAGTGATCAGGACCCCGCCCCATAGTCCATATGATACTTTTGATGTGGGCCAACCCACCGCGTCATACTTTTGGAATACGACGTGCTGGATTGGCCAATGGGTATGTCTTGGCGGGTGAGTCCAACATGGGTGCCCCAAGAAGCTGTTTGGCCCCAGGCACGCCAGACGTTCCTCACATGGTTTGGTTCACGGATCTAGCCGTGTCGTTTTTAGTGTGTTTGGGTATGGGCACAACTCGCTGTGATACTTGGAAGTGTCACCGCGACGCGTCCACAATGTCCTGTGATCAAATGGATCCTGACATGTGACAAGTCGTTGCCGTGGCACGATCTGTGGAAACGTCCAACCCAGAACCGGGAGTTGCTGCGACAAGATCGGTTCAATCTTGTAACGCCAAGTCCTGTCCAGTAGTAGTTGTAATATTGAGAACGTCGCGCATTGCTCAGCCCTTCAGCCCAAGTTCCCATCCGCAGAGAATGACCCTTTTGAGAAGTCGCCGCAACAAAGATCCCTTTTGGGGAATTGTCGCGGTCCAAGTGTTTGTCACTAATAGCCCTGAGCCTGGTGTAGACCCATAAGACCAATTCCACAGTAGTGGTCTGACTGCCTTGCTATTGTCGACACTATCCACAGTCGTCGACTGGGCAGTAGACCCTTAAGTCCTACTGAGCGCAACACTGTCAACCGCGACACAATACACCGAGTGGTTCGAGAGTAAACTCTGTAAAAGCGCAAAAATACGCCCTTACAGAGCTGGTGCAGAGCGCGTCTGGTTGTAAGGGGAGTGGAGCCCAGGGGCCAAGTCGATAACAAGACTGGGGATCAGAGATCCCCAGCAACTATCTATATACAAGTAGATGACGTAAGAAGCATGACACCGCTGACTGATAACCCTCGGATCACCGCCGGAACACCGCCGGATCAATACCGATGACCTCATCCTGCTGACACGTCTCCCCTGACACTGGTAGCCAGCCTATCACCGCATGGAAGTTGGATCTGTCAGATACAGACCAAAGACACCTGGTGTTCAACAAGTCACTGTTGACACTCTATCACAAACCACCCCCCCATTGCCAAGAGAAGAGACCCGTGGCCAAGATGATCGGAGCAGCAGAAGAGTGGGAAGTCGAAGAAATTGTGAAAGAGCGGAATGTCAGCCAAGGAAAACAGTACTTGGTCAAATGGAAGGGATGGCCACATAGTGAGAATACCTGGGAACCATCACATTATCTTACCCATGCAAAGAAGGTCCTAAAAGCCTGGCAGAGGAAACAATCCGACCCAGACACATGCATTCGCCTCTTGCCAATGCTCAAAGTTGGACATTGGGACTATCTCATTCACCGCTACAAACCCAAAGACGAGCACCTCCCATATCCCCAACAACAACTGTTTGTGTCAGGGAAACCCCTGCTTTTGTCCGATCATCATGGGATCTTGCATGTGACCACGCACGTGCCATCTGTCAGGCGTCACATGCTTCGGTCTGGACTTCCCTGCCAAGCGCGTCCACATGACACTCCAGCCCGGACCCCCATTGTTCCAATGGTCCGGCTCCCATTGTTCTCCCCGATCCGGCCCCTCATTGTGCCCTGGCCCCATTGTCTGGCGCTTCCATTGTGCTTGGTCATCCATTGTTCTGTAGGCTATATATAGTAGGCCCTGACAAGGAGAGTCCCCAACTCAGTTTCTCTTTGGACTCTCCCTTGTCAGGTTTGCCAAGTCTCCTGTATTAGTCAATCCCTTTATCTGATGCTTTGGACTCTCCCTTGTCAGGATTCCAAGATTGGGCCTCAAGGTTGCCCTTACAGTTTGACCCTCATGAAAATGTCTTCACGCCCATTGACCCAGTCAATGAGGACATCGACCCTAGAGAGGGGGTAATGTCATAGTTTGGCCACTTTTTCACCTTATCATCAATGATCTTATCTTACCTCAGCACGGTTAATCTTATCACGGATCATGGCATCTGATGGTCCAGGCTAGGAGTCCAGGGGATTATCTTTATTGATTCAAGACTGCGCAATATATGCTCCAGAAGGTCCTACTACAACCCATACCCAGTACATCATGCAGTACATAGCCTTATGACTCATTAGTTGTAGATATAACTCAGACTGGATTTGGGTATAAATACTGTAGCTACTTAGTTGTATTCCCCAGTCTTCAAATTCACTTCTCTTTTTGACTTTGTTTTTGGGTTGATTGTCACACGTAGGGGGGCTTCCCCGCTCTGGTCCCTTGGGTGAGTCTGTCTGCTGTGTTGTATTTTCTCAATTCTGATATATGCCTTATGAGATCTCCCAACCGTAGAAAGAGTTAGCCTGTTGTGTATTGTTGCACAGCCAATAGGCAGGCTTCTGGGAACAGGTGCAGACTCAGAGGCTCTGGCATTCTTATGTAATCCCACCTCATCGGAGATTGGCTCTCTTTCCATCATTCTTTCATCTTTGCTTGTGTCAGGAAGCTTCAAAGACACACATCTGAGCTATCTTATCCTGTCTTGCCTTCCTGATTGCAGTCTGGGAAGCACCGCTAACCAGTCTGTGGCAATGAAACACATGATCAGAAGCCAGGACGCGCTCAGCTTGAAGTGTTATGACCCAAAGATTGAGTACCAGCATACTGTGACTGAGGCTAACCTTCTTTACTGGGTGATCTGTATCTTCCAGTTCATGCACTTGTTCATTGAAACAACGCTCCAACAACTTGGGTCTTCGCCTGCTCATCTCACCATCCCTGATATCTGTCTTGTTGATAGGGCTGTTGCTCTTGTCCACAATGATGTGGCATCTGGAGCTACTGTCCGCAGTGCTTTGTCTCTCCGATGCTCCTTCTTGATTGCAGAGTTGATTGATGAGCTGTTTGTCAAATTTGTGAACAACAGAAGTGCAAAACCCTGCCTGGCCGCCAATCATCCTTTGTTTTTGATTGCCGAGTTCCTTTGCTTCACTCAGCATGTACAGTACAAGAAGCTAGGAAAATTGGTGTTTCTCTCCGACTACCAAGGTCCGGACCTATTGATGATTTCTGCTGCATCATATTCATTGTTCCATTCTAGGATCAGGCACACTCCTGACTGATCCACAAATCATGACTTTGCTGTATGTATCTGCTTCCGCTTCACCCAGTTTCCCATTCTTATCTGTCATCTATTCAGGAATATCTCCAAAGAAAGCAGAAACTCTATGTTTGGTGGTGGAAATGTTGGCAGGCTGTTTGATGTGTTTCCGCTGCAACACCAATGCTTGGATTACTGTACCTGTTTTAAGCTCTCCCCGCTTCACTAGGGTCCAATATCATGTATTCCAAGTATTCAATTGCCCGTGCGCATCCAGTGCTTGTGCATGATACCACAACACATGCTTGTGATTTGAGATCAGACACATGACAAGTCTCGACACACCAAGCTGCTCGCTACATCATCAAAATCTCAACAATGGTGAATCAGGAATATCAAACGCACAGCATCAAAACTAGTACATCTACTCTAATGTAGCTATATACACTGTGCAGACTCTCACTCCAACTGAAAGCAAAGGGCCTAAGGTGTGCATATTGAAAAGCACATGCACTGCGGTTTGAGGTCCATCAGTCATGCTCAGTAACAAGCAGGGCCTTCTGGGCCTCCATACATCTCAGCTCTTGTTAGACTTGCCTTGGACATTGATCCTCTGTTCTAGACCTGTCAGGGTCTAGTTAGTAGTTACCCATAGAATGTAGTGACTGGATGCACTCACAACATGTTGGAATCATGCTGCAAGACTTGTGATGCAAATTGGGGCCAGAATCAACACATTCTTCTAGTGGATTTAATATGTTTTCAGTAAAGAATATCATCTCTTTTTGTTTCCATTTTCAGTGAAAATTGATGTCTATTCCCAGTGAGAATCAATTGAAAAAAAGATGATCTATTTACAGTTCTATTTCCGGGAGGAATAGATGTCTATTCATGGTAAAAATCAAGCCGTAAATTGACATCTATTTCCAATATATATATATTGTCTGAAAACAGAACGGTGAAAATCGGACTTCTAGATTGTCATGCGTTTTCCATGGAGAAAAAACAAGTCCCCCCGCAGTGATGTTTTCCATGGGAAGAATAAGGCCCCTGAAGCCACTGTATCACAAATGTATTGTCGTCAGTGACATCTGCCAAATGTGTCAGAGCATGTCCACAGCACATTGCACGCAGGGCCAAAGAGCAACCAAAGCTGCACAGCCGCGCCAATTGCACTCTGTGGGAAGGAACTCTGTGTTGTGTTCTAGTACGGTTGCTTGTGTACTAACTAACTTGAAATGATGCAATGATATGCACTGCCACTGCTGACAATTGTCAGACTGGCTCTGCAGCTTCAGCTCCAGCAGCGAGGGCAAGAGGCCGCCGGCTGCGAGATTACTGTCTATAGTTCTTGATTCCTTCTCGATGCAGTCCCAGATAACCTAGGTTCGTACTACCATGATCGGATGGGAAAGGCGAAATACCAAATCAGCCGCACTTTTTCGGTCATACACGATCCAGGGTATAACGTTGGGGTCCCACCAAGGTAACCATACACCATGGTTCAAAAAGGTGAGTTGCATCTCTTCGAGGGAGGGGATCCCGTCGAATATCCACTGGACAACCTGGATGTAATTTACGTGAGTCTCGACCCGATTCCGAAGGAGATCGAGTGATAGTCTGAGCCTTTGAAGATGTTTCAGGCCAGCCAACGCTGCAAGCTTAGCAGGCTAAAAGCCAATCAATACCAATATCAGGTCAGGTACATGCACGCACATCTCTTGCATCCCACAGTTCGTCGTATTGTCCTTCACGAGGGAGGCGGTACGTCGCATGAGAAGCCTCTAGGAATGTCAGCCGCGGAAAGCGAGACGCAATCACTTTGAGAAGTTCCGCTGTCGGGAACTCGCGCAACACGATAGTGAGCTCCTCGAGATCTGGAAGGTATGATATACCATCGACTACAGACATCGCCTCTGCATTGGAAAATGCGGTCTCCCCCCGATCCCAAAAGTCGCGAGGCTCGCCGTAGTATGGATCTCGTCGCGCGTGAACATGAAGAGCAGTAAGCGACAGGGGAAGCTGCGAGAAAATGGGGTCGTCCGCAGCGAGATTTGACAAGGCAAGGGAGCACAGGAAAGGCAGGGTGTGAACCAACGGCTTGCCCACGGTATCACCGTACACGAACGGCGGGTAGAGCTCGTCCGAGGCGCGGCCCATGTCAGCGGCATAAAGCAGCTCTAGCGTCCGAAGCTGTGGCATCCGGGTTGTAAACGCGGGAACGAGCAAGTACGTGGCGGGGGTGTGCTCGGAAACAATCAGAGTCCGCAGGCGTGGCCAGCGAATGTCGACAAAGTCGTCGGGCAGCAGGTCGCCCGAGACATGGAGGAAAGACAGACTGGCCGAAGCACAGCGTAGTAGTCTTCCAACGTGTGCCTGCTCGGCGACACGATCAATGTCCTCTGCTCGCACGATTCCTCGGAACCCAGATATGGACACGAGTAGCCTCTGTAGCGACGGGAAGTGGAGAGAGGAGGGCATGGGTCCGTCGAGACGCGCTTGGTGAATCTCGAGGGATGTCAGACCTGAAAGAGCACCGACACATCGCAGCGCGTCCAAAGGCACTGACGCATTGTACCGTAAGATCATAGTCGTCAACAGAGGCATGTGGGAGAGCGCGGCGTAGACGTCATCAGTGACTTGCAGGCATCTTGGATCCCCTACAACATGGTCTCGGAGGTTCACCTCTCTGTGAATCCCCCGTTAGTAGCGAAGAGATCGACAAGGAATGGATTGCACGCACACCGCATGCGGCCAGAGGCCTCCCGGCCACACCCTCTCCCCGTCTATGTTCCAGTTGTAGATCTTTCCGAACAGGAGCGGCTTGAGAGTTTCGCGTAGCCGCTTGCAGGTCTCGGAAAGTGGAAAGAGCGAGCGATACGCGTTCTGTTCTTCGCCCCATACCTTCCATCCGCGCTTGGGCTCACTGCTGACGAAGATGTGCGCAATCAGACGTATGATGTCTTCAGGCAGGGAAGCGAGTGTTGGTTTTATTGTCGCTTTCGGAGCACCCCACAGCAGCGAAGAGAGGATTGTGACCAGACTCATACTGGCCGCGAGGAACAAGTTGTGCGTCAGCAGCGCTTGTCTGGGCGTTTGTCTGATTCCCAAAGGTTAGGGTTGGCATGATCTTCATCTGTTTCGATTTCGCAACATTACCCTGACTTCTGCCCAATAACCTCAACCCGTGACCCACTCGTCTTGACAGCGGTCCATCGAATCACACGCGGGTCTCGTTACATGAGAGCGTTCACGAATGATAGTACGTGAGGAGAGATGTCGAAGTGCATGGCCCAGTCGCTGTATATTCCGATGTGAGCACAACGGTTGAATCCAGAAACTCCGACACTTACTCTGCCGTGTGGTGGTAGTTACCATGCCGCCTCATGCACTGTGGTAGCTGCTTCGTCCTTAGCGAGTCTATTTTACGCACTACACCTCCTGCTCTTTCCTCTAAAGATTCTGAATTGAGAAATCGACCCACATTCAACTCCACTTTAGAACTTCCCAGAAAGCGACTCATATGAAGGACACTCATTGACTGTATGCGGAAAATGAGCAACCCTGACCAGCCAGCAATCCCCAGCGTTGGGGCACCGCAGCGCTTCCCATAATCCAATAACGTTTGAATGGATGACCATACAGTAAGTGGACAAAATGATTGACTGATCAGTTTTTTGATTGTCCTGGCTCACAGAGCTGATATTGCCCAAGGGTCAATTGGAATGAAATGCACCTTAAGAGTATTAGTTTCCATTTGTAGAATATCTAGAACTCCAGATTACAGTGTAGTAAATGAAACTCTTGTCCATGTTCAAATGTGCCCACCCTTGCCTGGAATCCTCCTTGCCTGATGGCAGTGGGTGCTGACCTTTCACTATATGTTTGAGAGAGTCCTACATGTGCTAGATGACATTGAAATCAGGACTCAAGGCTGGCCACAGAAGCAAAATGTTGTCTTTATTGTAAAACCAGTCATTGATAATTGGTAGTATATGGGCTCACTGAAAGTGCCGCGGAGTGCCGCAGGAGCAATCCTGCGGCACTCCTGCGGCACTCCAAATTCTCCACATGATTGATCTCAACGGCAACGATGACGATCAACATGCTGTCCACGTCGGCTGAGACGTTGATGGACGTGGGAATGATCCGCGCAGGCAGCGGGACTATTCCAGACGTCATTGTCGTTGGCGGCAGCGATGGAGATCTCACCCCTGCGGCACTCCAGAACAGTGTGCCGCAGACTCCACAGCACACCGCGGCACTCCTGCGGGGCCTCTGGCGACACTCCAAACAAGTCTGCGGCACTCCAGAAGAGTCTGCGGCGCTCCAGTGTGACGCATGTGACATCTCTGCGGCACTCCAAAGCACAGCCACCCTCTGGAGACCGCCGCAAGCACATCCAACGCTGTCTGCGCTGGTCAATCCCTGATATTTTGAGATGGATTAGTTGTATTTCAATAGAATTGGATATCTAGACGTCCTGAAAGCTTGTTTTTGGATCATAGGCCTCTATGATGCCTGGAAGGTGATTGTCTCGAGCTCGTTGACCACTGGAAGGGTGGACTTGACTTAAAATTACAGAGAGCATTTTTCATCACAAAAACACTCTCAAGGGTTTTTAATACCACCTATTGGGTATGATTTACGTTCGAAATGGATAAAAAATGAGTTATACACATTCTAGTGAAGCTGAATCCATGAGGTATTGTATTGTTTCGACATTTGGGCGATGGTGAATGCCTCTAACTATTATAGAAACCAATAAATCAGCTGTATAGATTGTTCTCGACTTCGTTCTGGGCTCTGCAACGAAGTGGACTCACAAGAGTGAGCAAAAACGGCCGCTCAGAAAGCCATCAAACCATATTGATGGGACATCAGCACCGCGAGGACCATTGCTCAGAAATACGGTGAGAATGCCTTGGCCTGCCGATTGCTTTTTTGAGTACTTTCAATGAAATTGTACAAACATAGATATGTAAATATCCTGCCCCGTAGGTCGCTGCGGCACTCCAGCGTGACGTCTGCGGCGCGTGACAGAAATCCTGCGGCACTCCAGGCTCGAACATGCGGCACTCCAAATGTTTTGCGGCACTCCAACAGCACTCCGCGGCACTTTCATGTAGCCCGTAGTATATCTCTACAAATAATTTTGCAACAACTTCAGGGGCTCAGTGGACTATTCTACAGGCCCAAGGCTACATTTTGTTCTTAGAGACCCTAGGATGATATGAGCTCTAAGAGCCTGGAAAGCCCATTTTTAATCAAAGAGAACTGATCAGTCAATCATTTTGTCCACTTACTGTATACAACGGAATGATGACCCATGTGCCACATGGGAATTGATTGAGAGCAGGCTGTTCATTGGTTGCTGAGGGCCGCCAGCATATAGCCCATCAACTTGATAAGCCGACCTCCAACGCTGACGATTGAATTCAGGGATAAATTGATCGCCGGACGCGCGTCGCGCCTGAAGCATTTGAAACGCCATGATCAAAGTTGGCCTGTCACAGACTTGAAGACCGCGCGAGTATGAGCAGTAGAGGGATCAGACCATATCGCAGACTGCACGATCGTAGATGTGATCATGACCCAACGCGCCTTGTGGTCGAATGCCACGCGTGCGTTGGCTAACTGTCATACCCCGAGTCGGCGTTCTAACATTCAATGTGAACGATAAGATCTCCGTGCGTTGTCCTTCCATGTGTAATACAGAGACTGTCCGGAATAAAGTTGAACAAGATCGAATTTTCTCCCTTTAGCCAGACCGAGCTTCTCGGAGCCGAAGTAGTCCAGAGATAGAGTTGCAACACCGGAAAAGTGAGAGTTTGACGCATTCTCAGCCAGTTTGGAACATTTCGGGGACGATCTTCTTGTCTAAACCACGGATACATTGCTTGGCTTTTTTCATCCCCTGCGCGTTAAGCCCTCCATGCGTCCCGACTACAGATAAGCCCTCAATTTAAATTGAAACAGCTCTAAAGAGCGAGAAAAGGGATCAAACGGGCTAAGCCGGCAGAGGAGCACTATACGCACTGTCCATGGGCATCGTTCCATCCTTCCACACGATTGGCGCTGATTACAGCGAACCCCGACGGCTCCAAACTCTGATGTTCCCCGATCCAAGATCCCATGTTTCTGACATTCAATTCCGGCCCAAGCGATATGTTGATGATCTTTTGCATCCCGCAAGATATAACAAATCTCTTCCGTTCCACTGGCTTGGATTTCTCGTACGCACGCCGCCATCCTACATGACGTTAAGTCATCTGATTTCGATTCTTATCGGATACTTGATGTGTATTCCCGAGTTCTTTACCTGGTAATCACGGGCCAAGCGCCCCCCAGAAGGTGTCCAGAAGCTCGCGGAGCCAAGCCAAGCGGAGCAGCCAGAGAAAACCTATTATCGATCTGGAGCCCGGCTACATGGCGCGCACCCGGTTCAGGCCAGGCCATTTGCCGACTTAGTCGGCGCTTTCTAGTCAGATGACGACCTTCCAATTCAACTTCCGCACTGTCGTCCCAATCCCAAGAGAAACTATTAATATAAAGAACAATACGGTACGGTAATTACACACAGTCAATCCTGCATCGCGGATATATGCAACGGGATCTGAAATATGTCCATCTCGAGAAAACTGTTCAACGACGCTGAGATCCCCAGCTCTGAAAACACTGTACCAGCCGCGGCGGCCGTGGTTTCTGGGTGCCCAACGATCTCTGTCAGTTGCGGCGCACTCTGCAAACCTGCTTCAACTTGGTCGAGCAGGGCGCAATTCTCGGGGTCATCGTCCACGTAGGTGATCGCTCTCAACTGGATCCTCAACCTGCGAAAACGAAAGCAGATAAATACGTGACAGAAACTCGGAATCGTGACGGCGATTGACTCACTGCCTGAGAAGTTCCGGATAGCCCTCCATCTCGCGAACACAGAAAGCGGCCCATCGTTTGACGCAGGACTTGAAGATATAATCCCCACCCGCCATCCAGGGATATATCTTCAACATCTTCTCTACATCGGGCAGCGCTTTGACAATCAGATCCCGGACCTGGTCGCGCAACACATCGACCCTCCGCTGCGTCCACTCTTCTTGGTTCACGGACCGGAATCCGACCAGTTCGATGTAGAGTTCCATGATCAGATGTACATAGGCGAGATGCATCGCACATGCACACGACCTCACTGCCCAATCTCGTTGAAATTGTGCGTTCTGCAAGGCAGACTCGCCAGGCGCGACGGAATGATCATGAGATGAGAAATCCGCGTCGTTGAACAGGACACTCGTCATGGCCCTTAATTCCCGCAGAGATTCAAGGAAAGTGATGAAGAATGGCTCGTCCAGTGGGGTTCGATGGGCGACCTCTGTAAAACAAAAAGTGAGACCGATGCATAGAAAGATTGAAGTACGGACCGCCAGTGATTTTGTTCTGCAATTCTCGCGCGAAAGCAGTAATATTCGAGAACACTTCAAGTGTTTAATAATAGATTGCAACGGTGAGAAAGCGCTTACTCGGCAGAGCCACTTTAAGGATAGCATAAGATTTAGGTTGGTGGGGGTGGGAATTATGGTACAAGCTTATTGTATCCATGAGAGCGTCCAGCGACGGGGGAGGCTTTCCGCAGAGAAGAATCTGGTCCTCGTATGATCTGCTAATGCTCGGGACATTATCGGCCGCCAGTTTTTCAGCACTCACGCTATGATTGGTGTTCGCTTGAGACAAGCAATGAAGGTTTCTCGCATCTGGGAAGATTCGATGAACTCAAAAGAACAATATCAAGTCTGATTTCTCACCAAAAATCCTCCCCATCGTGAGGGTTCGATTGGTGGGGGAACGGTGAGGGACATGGAGATACAGCGGATATGAGACATGTACGAAGTCGCCCAAGGCCTCGTCGTAGGCTTTTCGTCCACTAGGAAGGCTTGAGTTCCAAAAAATTGCTCGTTCAAGCACTAGAAGTCTCACAGTCGTCCAAACACGCCAGCACAAAGCACGATGCTGCGTTGAGCTCCGACGCATGCAGGTGGATTTTAGCCGCACACGCCCAATCCACGGCTTTCTCGAATAAGGCCTTGCGTATCGGCGCCCGCCGTCGGCCATAAGCGCGTAGGTCCGCGCCAGGGTAGAACACAGATTCGTCGAGGAGGGATGTCGGGCAGATCCCGGGGCCCAGGATTGATGGGTGGACGGAGGAGACTGCGCCTGCTGCGCAAATGCAATATGCCAGAACGCGCGGCTCGATCGGAAGAAGCTCCGGTCTCCAAGACGCGGAACCAAGGGTGGATGCGAAATTAAGGCTATGGAAGAACGGGTGCCGATACGTCATCGAGTGGGTGAAGACTGCGAGTGTGGTCAGTGCTGCGGACAGCCTGCGGGTGGGATGAAACGCGACCGACATTCCCATAGATGTTTGACCAGTTCGGGTGACAGATCTGGCGAGGGTAATAGGGATGACGGATGGAGGGGAGACGATAGGATCAGGCCGGCGTTCGTATCGAACGCTGCGCTTCGGTACGCGACGACGTCTTCGGGGGGAGACGCACTCGCGGACATACTGCTCCCATTCCCACTCCCTGTGATTGCCGAGTCGTGATCGCTAGACGTGCATGCACTCCCGTTCTTGCGTGGGCGGCCGCGGGGCACATAGGTCGTCTTACATCTGCAGTAACAAAATTATGAGTCCCATCGAATCCATCGAGCCTCCCCGCGAGCAGACCACGCGACAAGAGGCGGGAACGTGGAATTTAGAAGAAAGCACGCACATTTCCCCTTTCTCTACGCAGCGTGGACATGGCATGCCATTTGGTTGGGGGTGACAGAGCACGCGGCGCGCCTTGCACGCGTCGCACGCGGGTGGTTTCTTCTTCTTCTCGAATGTAAAATGCATGCCTGCAGCAGTAGCAGCAGGGGGTGTCGGTCTGGTGTGGTATGGGGAAGGAATGGTGGAGGAAGAGAGTGACGAAGTAGGCCAGTGTCATTCGCCAATGTGATTGGGATATGCATCGCCACAGTCATGTCCGGAGAAGTGATCGACGGGTCGATCGCAGGGACAATCGTCGCGTGATCCCGCCCCGGATTACACCGTCCATGTCAGCAAGCCCAGTCAGCTCGACAGAGGCCTCGACGTTTTGCGATAGATGGAATTGGTGGATATGTACCAGGATAATGATCAGCATGAGAGAGTCTCATCCTTCGTAAGAAAAAAACTTGCGGCATCTATTGGAGTTCCGAGTGACTAAGCGAGATCGGGCTTCCGGCGGATTTACCTCTCTTGTGCCGTTTGGCCACCCTAAGCAAGACCCTAAATCTTGCCCTCAATTCCGCACATCCGATGTCCGGCATTCTGTTTCGTTTCCACAACTGAGCAAGTTGTCTCTCAATGTGCACACTCATGATAGCTATAATACGGTACTTGACCGACCGACGGAGCAGCGCATAAGCGACCTCGTGGCGCTGACAGAAAACCTCACGACAACTCCTCTGGGCACACGAGGACCCACGGTCGCTCAGACGATGCATCCTGATAGTCGTCACCAATGTGCATTGCGCTGACATCCATGCTGTACTGCACTAGTGGGGGTCGAGAATCGTACAGTCATGTTTCAGATTCATCTGCCAGTTGATACGTATCCTGCTGCTTCTTGCTACTCCTCAGCCTAAGAAGTCACTCTCTCCCTTCTTGATGAATGCGTCCAATCCTTCCGCAATCGGCGTCTCCCCGCCGACTATATCGATCCCCAGTCCAGCTGCACCCTCCCGGTCAACAAGGGACGCCAGAGCCAGCGCAACATCCTCTCGCTGTAAGTAAGCAAGTGGGATATCGTCGTCATCAGTCTCGGTAGCATTGTGCAGACCCGACGTACCGAGATCATAGGCATCATGTGTGTTCTGCCGATAGTGGCCTTCCCAGTTCCAGGCTCGTTTGTGAGGCCCGTGGGCCGCAGGATCGTCCACTTGAAAGCGGTGCGCTGCGCCAGGTTCTTGTCTGCGTCGTATTTGCACTGCATGTACGTCCCGATCGCTGCGCGTGTGCGCGTGGAGATCGCGATATCGTCCTCGTTCTGTCAGCAGCATATATCGATCCAAGAAGCCTCGAGGGAGGGAGAATGAGACGACGCACGTAGTGTGCAGGCACGACAGCCGGATTTCGCACATCGATAGCGGAGAGGAGGACCAGGCGCGGGCGGCGCGGCGCCTCCACGCCCTCAATCGCATCGAACACCTTGATCGCCCCGTCGCAGTCGACCGCCCGCGTGCGCAATGGGCCGCCCTTCCCCCCCGCGCCGGCGGTGAAATACACGACGTCTGTGCCGGCGAACGCCATCGACAGCTCGCTGACGGGCGCGTCCTCGAGCGAGAGCAGCAGCGGCGTGGCTTGCGCAGCGCGGACGTCTTCTGCGTGTGCGGGGTTGCGAATGAGCGAGGTGACAGAGTGCGCGGCGGAGCTGAGGATGCGGGCAAGTCGCAGGCCAGTCTGTGCTGCGTATCAGGAGGATCATGAGGAGATGCAGGTGTAAAGGCTCTACGTACATTGCCGTGGCCGCCAATGATGATCACTTTCTTGCTAACGGTGGACATTATCTTGGACGCGTGATGGTGGTTCGTATCAAGTGGAGTGGTGATGCGGTATCATTTGAGGGTACACTTTTGTACTCTCTTCAAGACCTGCCCGTTGAAGCCCGCACAATTAAAAAGGTACGACGAGTAGCTTACGACGAGTCTTTAAAAGACAGGACTAGCTCCGACCACCGAGGTGGAATTTACATTCTCGTCGACATTTCCAATCACGTGACCGCGAACGCGCGCCTGATGAAGTGTCGGTGTTACTCGCTATTTCGAATCCTCAGTATAGGCAATTTTTGACGAGGTTGGTCTCAGTGTCCATCTTTAATTCTTGCTAGATACGTTCGCTTGTTTTTTTTTTCGCCGAGAAACAAGTGTTCATGGTAAAATATGCTGTCAAGTTTTCATTACGCCAGTGAGCCGCTGCATACGTTATTATTACGACATTATGAGTCGCTACTTATTTAGAGCGCTTCTGGAGCTATCTTAGACCTTTTTCCTGCCATGACATCCAAGTTGATGCAGGTAACCATCACCGTTGATCATTGTCGTAGTCACCGGCCCAGCAGATTTATTGCCATTGATTATCGTCTTCATTCAAGCTGATCCAGCCAGAACCACCGTCACCATTTTTCCGTCTCCTCCCTGCCTCTCTAGATCGTTCGCGAGTCAAAACTGATCACAAGTAATCTCTATTGATGTGTCCTTGATGTCCTCTACATATATGATCAAGAGACCGTTCAAGTGAGGGGGA